CGAGGAAATAACGTTATTAAGCTCCGGATAGGCTGTAATAACTATCTCTCCCCTTCCCTGGCCAACCTGGAAGCCGATTTCATCCATGTTGTAAAGGTCTGCTGGCTGGATGTGATGCTGCCTCATGGAGATCTTTAATCGATCAAAAAACGTCTGTATAAGCCCTAGATCTTCTACCTCGATCCTCTTTGGGTCCATTGGCTTCCTCTTTACCCTCTCGTAGCCTGGCAAGCGCTGGATAAACCGATATGGCCACATTTTTCCAACAATAGGTGGTTCAGTATCCGGATCTGTATGATTTCGTAGGAGGATGCTATTTGCGCAATTCTTCACCATCTCCACGGTTGGGGCATGGCCGGCACGGTCTAATTGATGAATCCACTGTTTAACTACCTTCTCCTGATCCTCCGTAAGGCATTTATTAGTTGGTTGCGTAGATAACTTCGATGGGATACCTTTTGACCGGCGGAGGAGTCGCTGATACGGAACCTCATATTCACGGGCAAGAACCGCGAGTTTTTGCTTTTTATCGCGAGAATATTGATCTAGAGCCTTTTGAATGCGTATTTCTATATCTTCTGAGCTAGATAACATATTGGTGGTTAATAAATAAAATGATGAAGTTGATAAAGTGATTATTTAAAAATAATTATCATTGCGCTGATATTATCGTTACGCTGGGGCGCACCAACAGGCAGGTTGGTAGCGCGGAGGCACGAGTAATAGATTTCCTCTTTATAAATTAAGCTAATAGTTTATTTTCAAGTAGCTAAATCTAGTATTTTACTAGTTTTATTAGATAGAACTATAATATTACTTAAAGGTTTAATAATAAAAGGTAATATTAGGGTTTGTTTTCTTTTCTAGGTACTATAAGTTAATACTTACTAGTTATAAATTCTTAGTACTATTTTTAATAGTTAAAGGAATACCCTCTTTTAATAGAGTAATTAGAACTATAAGGCTATAAGACTTAAAGATACTATAATAGATATATAATAGTTAGAACATAGTAATATAGATTAATAGTAAGCTAATCACTAACTTCTAGAAGGGAAGTCAGACTTTGCTAAATAATATAGGAACCCAAAGGGTTGGGCACGTGACCTTGACGCTGGGGGGTCACGTGGGGGCCTCGTGGTCACGTGGGAGGCCTCTGAATGCACTGGTATAACAAAGTAGAAGGTAAAGAAATTAATTTAATATAATAGAGATTAGGTTTTTATAAAATAGAAAGGGTTTAATAACTCTATATAGAAACTAATTATAGTTATTTAGATAGATATTCTTAATATTTAAACTAAATTTATTAAAAGACGTTAATAGTTATAATAATATATTTAGTAATATTAATTTATATTACTTTTATACTATTATCTATTTTATTATTTATAATAATAAAGGTTTAACTATTTATTATTTAATTAGTATTTACTCTATATAATATTAAATATTATTTACCTTATTTATATTTTATCTACCCTTATATATATAAAAACCTTAATATCTTTATCTCTTCCTATAGTGTTATACTTCCTCCTTTATTTTAATATATTAAAATTCTATTTTCTTTTTAAATACTATAGATAAAGCAAAGACCTTAAAAAGTATTAAAGTAATAGTTCTAAAGGAAATAGTTAAGTAGTATGAAGTATATAAAAAGAAGAAGTATAGTAGCTTTATTAAGAGAATATAAAAATAATATAGCTATAAACTTATAGAGTTTAATATATTGCTTAAGCTAGCTAGACTATTTTATAAATAGTTTAATCTTTAAGAAACTTTAAAAGTTTAGGAGGCTATACTTAAAGATATAATAATAATGGAAATATATCTTAATATATTTAATATTAGAGCTATAACTTCTAAATTTAAAGAATCTATCCTTTTACTTTAAATAATATTCCTTTTAGTAATACCTTCTACTACTAATAAGCCACTATTCTAGATTTTATTAGATAGTAGTAAGTCCGCGCTTTAAAACTCCCCTAATAATATTATAATAATAAGTATTATAATATATAAGAGAAAAGCCCTTTAAGATACTAAAGATAGAAAATAAAAACTCTAATAAATAAAAGAGGCCTTTAATAAAGATACTAGTAAAAAAGATTATAAACTATTTAAAGACTCACTAAGCTAGATAAAAAGCTTCTATATTTAAATAAATTAAATTATTCTATTATCTATAGTCCTAATTTACCTAATTTCTTTAATATCTTATTAGGTAATAACTCTATAAGTTTTTATTACTAACTATAATTCCTATAAGTTTATTAGTACTATAATCTATATCTAACCTTATATATTTAATCTATACTTTAATTAATAATACTATTATTTAGTTTATAAATCTTATTACCAAGATTTAGAAATTTAATACTATTCTTTTTAATATAAAAGATATCGCTATTAATCTTAGGTAATAAAATAAAGATAAAATATAATTTTAAGAAGTAGATATTAGATTTTATATATATTTTATAAAAGGTATTTAATACTAATAACTCTAAGCTTAAGAAGTATATTAAATATATTATTACTAGCTATAAGAAGAATCTCTAGCTAGAAGGATAAACTATATTTATTATAATCTAATTCCTTATTATATTTCTCCTTATTTTACTATTTATTCTTCTATATTTTAATATATATAAACGCGATGATCTATAAATAGTAGCTTAAGGTTACTTAGCGCGCTATTAGAATACTTTTTACTACTATATTTAATAGTATGTTTTTCCACACCCTTATTATAGACCACCTGCGGCGCAGCTCTAGAATATATACCTATTAGATAGGAAGGACACGGGCTAGGCCTTAAGAACACTAGTCACGTGACTAATAACGATAGAACTAATAAGATAGACTTAGTAGCTTCCTATTAATACTATTATAATAACTAATAGGAATAATAGGAACCCCTTGACGGAGAACTATTATACCTATTACTAGATATATAGTATATATATAAAGATACTTATTACCTTAGGATTAAACATGAGGATGAACAAGCCGAACCTATAGGTAAATGGGTGGGCGCGCGCCCACCGCCCATTCGGGCGGCCCTCTTAGGGGCCTAACCCACCGCTGGCGGGCACCTAATAATCAAATGGGTGAATGGGCCGCCCATAGGTCCCACGCTAATAAAAAAAGAAAATAAGATATTAAAAATGCTAATAATAGTATCAAAAAAGTATAATATTAGGGATTTTAAACTTTTACTAGCCAGATTAGGAAATGATCTTTCTAAAAATATATATTACTAAGCAAAAGCTCTATTATTCAGCGAGATATTAAGGTTTTGGGCAGATGGGTGAGTTGATAGATTTGACCCATGAATCAATAGGCCACCCACCATCTCTATGAGTTTACCCGCGCCCACGGTGGGTCTAAAAGAAGGCCTGTGGGTATACCCATGCGCGTCCATCCTTATATCTACTTAGAATCAAGAGTCTTATACTTATAATTAAATTAGCTATAGTTTTATTATACTACTTAATATAAAGTACTATTTTAGTTATCTTATACTATATTTACTAAATACCCCTTTACCTATTAATATAGGTTAATATTATCTTTACTATTTATAAAGACCTTTAGCCTTTATCTAACTAAGGTATTAACTAAAGCTATACTTAGAACTAAGGGATAGTCTTACTATAGTATTCTATTTTATCTTAATATTAAGCTATCTTCTATAATAACTTATCTCTAACCTAAACTTTCCTTAGGATCTTTATACTTTCTATCCTGTAGTAGATGTAAACCTCTAATTACCTTTAGGTAATTAAGGAGCGCTATCAGCTTATAACAACCCTCTATTTTATATTTAATAGCACTAACTATTATCTTTCTACTCTTAGAATATATAGTGGGCCTACTTTTAAATATATAATACAATATATAATCACGCCATATCTAGGGCTTAATATAATTAGATAGATAGCAATTAATTAACTAACTATATTATAATAAGTGATACCATATTAGTATATAGAGCTAAGCTCCTATTAAAAAGGAAAAGGATATTACTAAACTTAAGAAAGAAAAATAAGTAAATAAATAAATAAATAGTAACGATAACTAAGAAGATAGAATCTTATTAAGCTTAAGGATAGAATAAATAAAGAGATTAGAAGTAAATATTATATAATAAAGTCCTTAAAAAATAGAAGATATAGTATTAATATTAGAAAGGGCTTCTTTTCTAGATAGTAAGAGAAATAAATAGAATAAAGGACTTTTAGAACTTTAAAAAAGACTTAAATTAATTAATATTAATTAATAAATATAAGATATATAAAAAGTATTAACTAAAATAGTAAAAATATTTACTTTTAAATAGTTTTAAAAAAATAAAAAAAGAATAAAGAATAACCTATATATTAATTTTTTATAAATAAAATAAAGATATTAAAGGATTTATATATATTTATACTTATATATTTAGTTATTTATCTTTTTACTATTAGTTTAGCTTCTTATTCCCTTTATATCTTCTTTAAATTTAACCTACTATCTTTATAATACTTTTAAAATATTTAAAAATAATTATCCTATATTTAGAAAGAATAAACTAAATATTCTATATAATATATAAGATATTGTAAGCCCTAGAGTATTAATAAGAAACTAAGAAAGATATTAATAATATATAGAAGGATATCTAGAAGAGTAATATTTAAAAAGGGTTAATATAGCTGCTTCCTTACTACAATATTTAAATCTATTTATTTTTATTAAATAATTTTACTTTACTTCAATATAAAAGTTAATCTTTAATTAATATAATTAATATAATTTCTTATTATATAAAGTATTCAATTAATCTAATATATTAAATTATTTAAACTATATTAGAAAGTTTATATAGATATTAAATTTTATATAGCGGAGCCTGGCTGAACCGCTTCTATCGTAGGCTACACCTTTATAAAATTTTCGTTACTACTCTATAGATAGTAAAGAGTGAATCATTTCTTATTATAGAGTATATCTTAATCAACCTGCTTCTCACAACCGATCCTATTCAGTAGTTCTTTGCGGTGGCCTTGCCCAGATAACCGAACACTGGTTGAGCTTGCACCTCCCCCAATACCAGCACGTCGCACCCAGTCTTTCAAGCCAATTGTTTCCACACCAACTTCTTCCTCTCGAGGTTGAGCTTCGTCCTTATGCTCTTCCTCTTCATCACCTTCGTCTTCTTCGTCATCGCTCCTAATATCTTCTGCACCGTTGCCTTTAAGCACTCGGATAGCTACCCTGATAATTGATACGGACCATATCATCATCATGACCTGCAATATCAGAAGAAAGGACAGGAAGCCAATCATGATGTTATTACCCCAACAGACAGTACCAACAGGGTTAAGGAAGGGCTCCAAGAGGTCAGACCAGGTGGAGGAAGCAGGCAGTGGCCCACGAAGTTGCTCTGCTGAACCCCTGAAGCACGCAGGCTTTGTTACCCGAGGAAGGTCAAAATAAACGCTCCAGCAGGTCATAATGTAGAAGACGTGACGCGACACAAACCATACGGCTATAAATACGCCAAATAGGATATCACACACTGTGGTAAAACCGAGATATTTGAAGCATTTAGCAAGCTGCCCGGCGTTAGTGAGATGGTAGCGTATCAAGAATTAGCGCCTGACTTACGGGGAAAACCAGGTCAACAACGTCCATCAGCACCATAATCAGGTTACCGACACGGGTTTGGTGGTAGGCGTAGCATGCACTCACTAGGGTGATGCTAACGAAATGATGTGCCAGCATCTGCCAGTGATCTTTCCGCCGATCCTCAATATGAATCACTAAGATTTGCTGCAGCCAAAAGGACCACTGGCCAAGCATGTATCCTTTCATGAGCCCACCGAGCTCTCGCTGAGGCCAGTCGGTCCAGAGTTCTTCCATATTGAGAAAATACGGAGACTTGTAATAAATGTACTAGAGGAGGTCAGTTTCAAGCGTGACTCGCGGCTGGCCGTGGAGAAAAAAAGGTATATAAATACCACACCCAGCGGCCAGAACACATTGTAGTAGACAAGCATCCATCCCTGTTCCGAGAACCTGAGAACTTCTTTTCTCTTGGATAAACCCCACCGTTTGGCTAGTGGTGTTATAATATATTCCATCGTGCCTGCGCGTAGGCCGGTCAAGAGCACAACGAAAAAGGCAACGAAGTATAGATCATTCTGGCCTGCAGCATATTTCCCAGTATTTGAGTTGTAATAGGATAGCGTTAAAAACTTGGATGTATATGGCCGTGCGGATGCCATGCTAGTGTGGGTGACCACGAGGGCACCGAGGAGACAGAAGGAAACTTCTGTAGAAAGTATAGAACTGTTAATAATCGACCGAGCCATAAAAAATCGAGGGCCACTGGATACGAGAAATGGGGAATTTGCCAGAGGCCTCGGCGACGTACCAGCTTGTTTGTTCAGCAACCAACGCGTCAATCGCCTCAGCAGCGCATCGCCTCTCTTCTTCGTCTTCTTCATGCTATTTATAGCCCCATTGTGCCCTGGTGGCTGCCTCCTGCGCGTCTGAGATGTGTGCTCCCTGTGAGCGAGCTTGCTGCACTCGTTCGTAGCTGTGGGCGGAGAGATTGGCATTTCTCGTGATATTTTAACGTTTCTGTAAACATGCACTAGCAGCAAAGAAGCTAGCCAAACAAACGAGGCGCTCTTATATCTCCTGGCCGTCAACAACGTATCTCTGGCGGGACGAATATACGGCGGTCCTGTAGTGTGTGTGCCTGGCTAAAAACTCCAATTCCAACCTGCTGAAGCTGAAGCTAGGTGCCAAATCTTCCCCAGGCTCACGCTAAGCGCGGCGGAAGCAGCGGGCCGGGGGCTTGGCAGGGGTATATTGACGCCAAGTTATACAAGCTGTACAGACTGTGTTCGATGTATAGACCGTGCAATCGCGGCTTTGGGGATGGCTTATCACAGCTAGTTGCCCGAATTACTACTATGCTCGCACTCCGTATTATCCTCAGTGTAGATGCAGAAGCTAGGTGAGCGCTCTAGTTCGCACAGCCTCCATGCATCCTTTTCTCTCTCACCCTCACTCTCTCCTCTCCTCCCATCTCTTCTGCCTTCATCTCTTTATTATCTCTAAACCTATCTCCTCTGCCTGCATCCTCCTACTTCGCCTTGCCCCTTTCGAGATTCCTGGCGGATATCTCACGTGACAGACTAAGAGCGGTTACCATCACGTGACCACTTTAAGTACGCGCTGCTTCTTTTTTTTTATCCGAACGACTCTGGAAATGGTTCATGACGAAATAATATCCTTTTTCCTTCTCTCCAGCTCTGGCACTGACGCGCTTCTGATGTCAGCATAACCACGCCACGGACTCCCTCGCTGCACTTTCGACTCGCTATAGATACCGAGCTTTGTGACAGTATGGCCTCCGGTTCCTACAACATAAGCATTTCTACTCCATGAGCTCGCAAGCATGGAAGACCGCGTTCTCGATACTCCTCGACGAAACATGGCGGCCGCGCGCCAGCCTCTGGGTTTGGGTACGGATGCTGCCTTCGATACCCTTGAGCCGTTGGAGCAGGACACAATAGCCACCGTCCCCATCAACGCCGACCATCCTCATCTCGTGCCTACTCAACCCACCCAGTTATTGACACAGCCTACCCAAATAATTCAGCAAGCAAACCATCTCAAGAGCTCGCCGCAGCGGGACTCTGTCATTCAAGTAGCCAGCTCATCCCCCCTCGGCCCATCGATGCAGAATTTGAACAGAAAATTTACAGCCTCTATTGCACCAACTGGTACCCAGTTTCGACCCCCAGCCTTCGTTGCCGCTCCAGTGAGACGGACACCGGTTATAGATCTAAGTGAGGATGATGGTCCCACTTATCGCGGCGGATCCTCTGATGATGATTGTTCTATTGTCCGAACTACCGATATTAAGCCCACGACATTTGCAAAAGCGTCCCAGAGTCCAGATAAAGACGGTGATCTATTATCGTCTCTCACGACATCTGGAAACGCTACTGCTAGATTTCGCGAGATCACTGCAGCTGCGTTCTATAATTCAGACGCAAGCAAAGGCCAGAAGCGATCCGCGGACAATGCTAACATCACGAAGAGTGCCTTTCCGGAAGGGGCCCGTAAACGAAATCGGACTGGATCAACGACGCCCGATGCCGAAGCCCTTTCATTGCAAAAAATTGAAGACTATAGCCTGAGAGTGAAGGTCCAGAGGTTACGCTCGGTATACCCCAACAAATCTGTTCGGTTCTGCCTTGATTCGCTCATGAAGCATCGCGGCAATTACCAAAATACTTTAGACCATATCGCCACCTCAGAGGAAAACGGGGCTGCACATCAAACGTCGGAAGATGAATTGAGCCTAGATTGTGAGGTTCCTCGAGTTTCTGCTGTAAAGCAGCAAATCAAATCAAATGGTCGAATCCAAGATAAATGGACAGCCAGCCAAAGGCCTGTACCCACCCGCCAGGTTTCTGACGACATACCATCGGTTCCTCGCCGGCGCCTAATACGTGGCTCCAAATCACGCCGTGAATCACCCGCGGATACCACAACCTCTGAGCAATCTACGCTCGTTAAACCTCCCAGAAAACTTGCCACGCGTGGGAAAGTGCGTTCGGACTCCCCGAAAATTTCTCACGACGACGACTACACTTCAGACTCCGATGCTGAAATCCCTGCTCCTGAGGATGGTTCTCAGGCAGCCAAGGTCCTGCGTTTTTTTAACTCTTGCTCTTCGGATGATCTCGCTGATATCGCGGAGATACAACCTGACATCGCGTCCGCTTTTATCGCATGCAGGCCGTTCTCTACACTAGCCGCTGCTCGCCTCGTCTCCCCCGAAAAACTCATGAAACCTGGACAAGCTTCAAGTAATAAGAAGTCTTCTAAAAAACCTCTTGGTGATAAGATAGTCGACAAATGCTTGGATATGTGGACCGGTTATGAAGCAGTTGATGCTCTGGTAGCTAAGTGTGAGTCTCTAGGAAAGCCTATAGCGGCCGAGATAAAACGCTGGGGAGTTGACATATTCGGATCAAAACGGGACGCCGGCGAGCTGGAGTTGGTATCATTGGATAAACCTTCGCCAGATGGGCTCCATGACTCTGGTATTGGAACTCCATCTAGCCGCCGATGTGCTAGCGAGGATGCAGATGGTATTAAGGATCAATCACGGGGTAGAAAGTTCATTTCTCAACCGGCCATTATGAGCGATACAATCACCATGAAAGACTACCAAGTTGTAGGGATCAACTGGCTTAAGCTGGTTTACGACCAAGGTCTTAGCTGCATCCTCGCTGATGATATGGGACTAGGAAAGACCTGCCAGGTTATAGCCTTTCTTTCTCACCTGTTTGAAGTCGGTATTTATGGCCCACATTTGGTTGTCGTCCCCGCCTCGACGCTCGAGAACTGGCTCCGCGAGTTTTCTCTGTTCTGCCCAAAGCTCAAGACAATGCCCTATTATGCAGGCCAAGCTGCTCGAGCAGAAATCCGACAAGAAATAGAAGACAATAAAGATAATATCAACGTTGTCATTACAACATATACCATCGCGAAAGCCAAGATAGATGCAGCGTTCCTTCGATCGGTGAACTTCAACGTCTGTGTTTATGATGAGGGCCATATGCTGAAAAGCAGCAAGTCTCTACTTTACGAGAAGCTCATCCGCATCCCCGCCCAGTTTCGGCTTCTGCTTACGGGCACACCTCTCCAAAATAACCTCCAAGAGCTAGCCTCGTTGCTTGGGTTCATCTTGCCTTCCGTTTTTAAAGAGAGAAAGGATGACCTTGAGTATATATTCAAGGCGAAAGCCAAAACCGTGGACGATACGCACTCGGCCTTACTATCAGCACAACGGATTGCTCGAGCAAAATCCATGCTCATGCCGTTTGTCTTGCGACGGAAGAAACATCAGGTGATTGACCTGCCGGCTAAAATTTCTCGCGTGGAGTACTGCGAAATGAATGAATCTCAAAAGGAGATATACCATAACGAAGTCCAATCTGTCGAGAAACATATGTCCGACCTGGCGGCCGGGAAGAAATCTACAAGAAATAAATCATCTAATATACTTATGAAGTTGCGCCAGGCCGCAATTCACCCCCTCTTTTATCGCCGGTTATACGATGACAAAACGCTAAGTCGAATGTCGAAAGCATGTCTGAAAGATGAGAAGTGGGCACGGTCTGACCCTGATCAAATTTACACCGAACTTTGCGCCTACAATGACTTCGAATGCCATACCTTATGTACAAGCAACCCTGCCTCCCTTGGCAAATTCTCGCTCAAAAATAACGAATGGATGATGTCTGGAAAGGCCGACAAACTCTGCGAGCTATTGACCAATTATATCGCGAATGGTGACCGGGTTCTAATCTTCTCTCAGTTCACGATGGTGATGGACATTCTAGAACAGGTCCTTGAGACGCAAAAGATCAAATTCTTCCGCCTCGATGGGACAACCAGCGTTGAAGACCGGCAATCCATCCTCGACGCTTTTCATGAACAAGTGGAAATCCCGGTGTTTATGCTCTCGACAAAGGCCGGCGGTGCAGGGATCAACTTGGCCTGCGCGAACAAAGTGATCATATTCGACTCGAGCTTCAATCCGCAGGAAGACATCCAGGCAGAAAACCGTGCCCACCGTGTTGGACAGACACGTGAGGTTGAAGTTGTACGCCTTGTGACAAGAGGGACAATCGAGGAACAGATCCATGCACTCGGCCAGACGAAACTAGCGTTGGACCAGCGAGTTGCAGGAGAAGATGAAGGCGCACCTTTCGGCGGAAAACGGGAAGACGGAAACCTTAAGGCTGTGGAGGAGCTGGTCATGTCGACAATAGAATTAGAGGGGCAGAATAGCTCTTAATGGATACATCGCTATCACCATCGCATCATCTCCCTCAAGCCTCCTTCCCTCGGCTCTACGCCCGCCGCCTCTCTTCTCTTCGCCTGCAGAATGGATGCTGTCTTCGCTAATACGCCATCTGCTGAACAGCCACGTGAGACGGACGATATGGTTCTGCATCAATTTTACCATGTCTGAGGCAAAATTGTGTCTGATGAGCTGTGGCTCGCCTATTTTTGCTGGCCGTGATAGGCCTCCTTTAGAGTTACAGGCTAGATTCGACTAAGCAGCGTACCTGAACTTCTTGAACCTTCTAGCTGAAGATAAATCACGGCACCTAAACGCCACATACATAGATAGCATTATACGTCCGAGAGTTTAACCGGCAGATATAAAAGAGCGTTGTCACTTTAAGCGGGATATCAGTGTGTTGTATAGATTATCTCGCAATGCTGCCAAGCCATGTCTCGCCCCAAGGGCGCGCCGGCCATCTAACGAACGTACGGGGTATATAGAATAAGAAAGTAGATGAGAGAATCAAACGCTCGCTTTGACCGGGAAACATACTTTCAATGTGTTGATGATAAGCCCGGAATATTAATGCCTACCTGCCATCCCTGGCTGCGGATCTCTTATTAAATGCGTTCATATATATAGTACAGATACTGAGCGGAGCACCTCGGAGACAGAGGATGGCCTTTTGGTGCGCTGACCCGGTACAGATACGCCCTCATCACTGGTATCATCACATCCAGTGGCGGCCAAAGACTACAACTAAGTATATACGGAGTACCATGCCTACTGATGCGCCGTCGATTCACCTTTGATTAGCACACCGCCTACCCCGACGGAGAATGGAGTGCATTTATTTCCAGGACCCTTTTACCCATCCTGACGGAGATACTAGCTGGGTATGCTTGCGGCGGAACAGCGTTATCTTGCTCGCTTCGACCCGAGCAAGGGTCTAACCCATGACATCGCGTATATGTATATATATATGTATGTATATATATATATATATGGACGTGGAATAAGATCATCCGACTGTAGCCTTCGTGTGGAATTGGCAACTCAAAGAATCCTCCTTGACAACCCCATGGCATGGGGGAAGGGAGAAAAAAAAAAAAAAAGAGATCGAGAGGAGCATAGAGTTTTAATGCCAGCCCATAATCGGTGATACAGACGAGGCTATACGGGAGAAGCTCATTTCAGGGACTGGGGGAGCAAGATCTCGATCATCTCGGCGTGCTGCTCTCCGCCAGGAATCGTGTATCTGAACCAGCATCACGAAAATATAATGTCACCTCAGGCTTCCCAGAACTCGCCATATCCCTGCGCTGGAACCTTCTTCCTCGTGATGAATGGAGCGGGATCGCCTTGTCCGGACGAAACTACGAATTAGGAGGCGGGCGAGGAACCCATATTTGCCTCTTGGGGGTCCATATCTACACCGGACGTCAAATCACAGCCTGCTCCTATCTCGTTCGACTCTTCTTACGGAGTACTCCCAACGAGCTGGTCTTCTTGGTATCTTGTTGCTTCCATTCTTCCTTGAAGGTACATGGAACCTCTTGGCCTTGGCAACTGTATGCAGGATATTTCCATCTCCGAGGTCGACATCTCGGCTGCGAATTGAGGCATTCCACAGCACGACATCCCAGGTTACGGCGGCCGAATAATAGGAATCCCAGCTCCGCCCTGACAAGACATCTACAAGTATCTACGGAGTACATGCACGCTGGAGCCCATAACATGATGCCGTTGCACTGTGTTATCTCTGTGAGACCCGGTTGCCGCCAAGAGAGAGCTAGCTAGGTCAAGCGAGCAGATGGCTCAATAAAATGACATCCTTGCATGCAGGGATCGACAGCGGAGGAAATCAACTTTGCAAGGGGTTTCGAACTGGGGGGATGCCTGAGCCCTCCGCAAATTACACACTCGCCTGCGTCCAGCTCAGCAATTGACTTGCGGGGGAGAGGCGGGGGAAGAGAGACACAGCTTCTCTCGAGCCAACCCCACAGAGAGAGAGACATCCAATCCTGAGGGAGCAAGGATTCGAGGAGGCCCAGCTCTGAGTTCCCGGAATACACATCCATGCGCTCAGTTCAGTGCTCGTGAAGCCACGATACCCGGCAGGTTGCGGCCGTGGGAATGGAAATTGGTCCCCGCAAGGAACCGAGCAAGAGAGATGAAGGGATGCATTGGCTGATATGGGAAGCTGTTTCTCTCAGCCTCCCGGGAGACTGCTATATATATTAAGCACCGCCAGGCCCAGTTTCTGGATGAGATCGGCAGGATATTCAATTAGGAATCCCATCTCCATTCTTCTACCAGCCGACCTTCTCCCTTCCACCTCACCCAGCACATCAGTATGAAGGCACAATTGTTGAGCCTGGGCGTTGCCCTCACAGCCCTCTCCCAGGGAGTTGTGGCCGAGCAGGGTGATTCCTTGAACTGGCCGTTCAAGCCTCTCGTTACAACTGTGAGTATTGATCGATCGATCGCCGTCCCTGTCACACTCCACACAAAACTGGAGAACCACGTTCTGATGAAAATTCACTCCTACAGGAAGGCATAGAAAACAAGATTAAGCTCAAGGATCTTATGGCCGGTGCCCAGAAGCTGCAAAGCTTCGCAGACAGTCACCCTGAGAAGAATCGAGTGTTCGGTAGCCCTGGCCACAAGGACACCGTCGACTGGATTTACAATGAGATCAAGGCTACAGGCTACTACGATGTGAAGAAGCAGGAGCAAATGCACCTGTGGTCGCACGCTGAAGCAGCCGTCAACGCTAATGGCAAGGATCTCACTGCCAGCGCCATGTCCTACAGTCCACCTGCAGAGAAGATTTCTGCGGATCTTGTTCTGGTGAAGAACATGGGCTGCAATGCCGTACGTTTCTTTTCTCTTTTGTGGCTTGTCAATCGAAGATAGGAGGAACTAACGTTGCAATAGACCGATTACCCAGATACCGCCAAGGGCAAGATTGTCCTCATCGAGCGTGGTGTTTGCAGCTTCGGCGAGAAGTCCGCCCAGGCTGGAGATGCTAAGGCTATCGGTGCCATCATCTACAACAACGTTCCTGGATCACTCGCCGGCACGCTGGGTGGCCTTGACCCCCGCCATGCTCCAACTGCTGGACTCTCCCAGGCTGACGGAAAGGACCTCGCTAGCCAAGTTGCTTCTGGCAAGGTGACCATCACCATGAATGTCATCAGCAAGTTCGAGAACAGGACGACGTGAGTACCCCCATGCTTCATACACCTGTATCGTAGACATACTAATACTGCTTTATCCAGCTGGAACGTCATTGCCGAGACCAAGGGAGGTGACCACAACAACGTCATCATGCTCGGTTCGCACACTGACTCCGTGGATGCTGGCCCCGGTATCAACGACAACGGCTCTGGCACCATTGGTATCATGACCGTCGCCAAAGCCCTCACCAACTTCAAGGTCAACAACGCCGTCCGTTTCGGCTGGTGGACCGCCGAGGAATTCGGCCTCCTCGGAAGCACTTTCTACGTCAACAGCCTCGATGACCGCGAGCTTCACAAGGTCAAGCTCTACCTCAACTTCGACATGATTGCCTCCCCCAATTATGCCACCCAGATCTACGACGGTGACGGTTCCGCCTACAACATGACCGGCCCAGCTGGATCTGCTGAAATCGAATACCTGTTCGAGAAGTTCTACGATGACCAAGGAATCCCCCACCAGCCCACTGCCTTCACTGGTCGTTCCGATTACTCTGCTTTCATCAAGCGCAACGTCCCTGCTGGCGGTCTCTTCACCGGTGCTGAGGTCGTCAAGACCGAAGCTCAGGCTAAGCTCTTTGGCGGAGAGGCTGGTGTCGCTTACGACAAGAACTACCACGGCAAGGGTGACACCATGGACAACCTCAACAAGGCTGCTTTCTTCCTCAACACCCGAGGAGCTGCCTACGCCACTGCTGAATATGCCCGCTCCCTCCGCGGATTCCCAACCCGCCCAAAGACCGGCAAGCGTGAGGTTAACCCACGCCGCGCCTCTATGCCCGGTGGTGGCTGTGGACACCACTCTGTCTTTATGTAAACAGATGACTTTTTCTAGCTGTGATGAAACTAGCTATCTAGAGTAGAAATATTATACCATCTACGTTCAATTCTGTTTCATACCTAAATTTATTGCGCAGGAGCATTGTAGTGAAGTCTTGATTGTAGTTGTAACGTGATGGCTGAGCCTTGAATGTAATATCCTATCTGCTCTTTTTGATATATTTATAGTATAATGCTTCTAGACTCTATTGCCGGAGGAACATGGCAAAACACCAGATGTCCGTTGACAAAAAATAAAAGGACTATGGCCGACTGAAGACGTCAGATGCTCCACCAGTTTTCCAGAACGCCAGGCTTATGATGAAACATGCAGAAACAAAGAAAAAAGGCCATCGTCTATTCATTAGGCGGTTACCTGACTGGCGAGCGTGTCACCTCTAATGGCGTTCGGGCCAGCAGATACGTCGATTCCTCGACCGATGTCACCAGAAGGCGTAGTAGTAGCATGAGTAGGAGGCGTATGAGAGACCCTTGCAGCCTTCTCGTGGACTGCGGGTTCCAGCACATCGGGACTCCGCTTGACACCCGCCTCTGTCTTGTCAGTAATGCCCAGGATACCGTCCACATGGTTAGCCGCCGGGAGTAGATCATCGAACCCCAAGATGGTGCAGCACTGAGTGTACGTCCTCGCGGCCTTGGCCATCTGGGCGTCCTTGTCCTTGCCCGGCAAGAAGATATTGAGCAGGTATTTTGTATTGCCCCACTTATTCTCGCACTCCATGGCCGTAAGGATGTATGTGTGTGCGAGTTCGCGCCAGGAGGCCCGGCCGCCGTCTTCAGCGCTGCGGAAGCAGGAGAAGTTCGACTCTGCAGAGGTAGCAATCATGGCGCCGTCGACGTCATACTGCTTCATGAGTTCGAGTCCGTGGTCTCTAGACTTGACGTCTCCGTTCATCACGCATGCCACCCCGGCCGCGCGACAGATGGAGGCGATCATGGGCAACTGGTCACGTATGGCGGCCTCCCGGGGCCGCATGGGGGTAGTGCGGCAGTGGACGGTCAGGCCGGTGATGCCGGTTGCACAAAGGGCAGTGACCAGCTTCTCAGTCTCTGCGGGGTCTCTGAGGATGCGTATCTTGACGGATATACCGATCTGCCAGGGCTGGCCGACCTCACGCACCAGTGCTTCGAGTATGGAGACGAGCAAGTCCGGAGTCCGCAGCAGGGCCGCGCCCATGCCGCCGAGCGTGCTGAACGGTTTGGGGCAGCCGGCGTTCACATCGATGCCGGAGACGTCTGCGGCCACGACTTTGGCAGCCTGGACGGCGAGGTCGGGAGAGGCGGTGCCGAGCTGGAAGACGAGCCTGCCTCTCTCCCTGGCCGGGTCGATGCGATAGATGACGGACACCTTGTCGGCTGCGGGACCGGGGTTGGAGGGCACGCGGGTGAACTCGACGGTCTGGTTGCGAGGGTTGACGCGTCTGACGGCGCCTATGAGGGAGCGGTCGATGGTCTCGGGCCCCCAGACGAGGTCGGCGCCGTACCTGAGAGAGACGAGTCGGGAGGGCAGCTCGCCGGAGCGGACCATGGGGGCGAGCACGATCTTGCCGCGATAGTCGACGCCGTGCTTCGGGATGGGCACCGGGGCCTTGGACACCACGGCTTTGGATGCCGCAGCCTTTCCCAGGGCGGCCATGACGGAGCGAGCAAGCCTGTTCATGTCATTATCTTGCGTGGTGGTTTCGGACGGAGGCTCAGGGTGAAGATTTTGATGCCGATTTCTCAGCGCTTACATAAGAACAGCGTCCAGGCCGCGAAGATCCAGCATTCGATGCTCCGTGTTGATAAGAATAATAGCAATTGAGCCAAGTGTGAGTGCCTGCAGATACCTCTGAAACGGACTAGCAGCCTGAGACAGCTTGTCGTCGCATCCTTGCTGGCCGAGATCTGACGAGATACAGATACAGACGACGAGAGACAGACACGAGACCGACGAGAGAGAGACGCTGAGTCTTGGACACTGAGTCAATTGGATAGAGAGGTCAATTGGACAGACAGACAGAGAGAGGGAGAGAGCAATTGGATAGAGAGAGAGATGGCCCTAAGGTGTGTTGTGTTGTGTTGAAGTGTATAAGTGTAAGCTGACTGAAGAGGCCCACCATCTCCGAGACTGCCCTTCGCCTGCGCTGCCCCTCGCTCTCCCTCCCTCCCCCTCGCTGCTTCACCCCGACCGCCAGGCTGGCTCCAAGTATAAAGCGCGCCGCCCTGCTCTCCCGGCACCTGGCTTCTTCCTCTTCCTCCCCATATCCAGCTATACCAACCATGGCCCCCAAGTACACCGTCCGCAACGTCGGCGCCCTCAACACCCTCGAGTGGCGTGCCTTCATCGAGAAGGATGGCGTCCCCGTCTCGCCCTTCCACGACATCCCCCTCTTCGCCAACGAGGAGAAGACCGTCCTGAACATGGTCGTCGAGATCCCTCGCTGGACCAACGCTAAGCAGGAGGTCGGTCCATACCCTGATATCTACCTCTTTGATATCTACCTCTTTGGTGTATATACTGACCAGAGCAGATCTCCAAGGACGACTTCCTCAACCCCATCAAGCAGGACACCAAGAAGGGCAAACTCCGCTTCGTCCGCAACTGCTTCCCCCACAAGGGCTATCTCTGGAACTACGGAGCCTTCCCTCGCGTAAGTCTGCCGATGTCGATGCTGGTATAGATGGAGACTGACGGAGACAGACCTGGGAGGACCCCAATGTCGTCCACCCCGAGACCAAGGCCAAGGGAGACAACGACCCCCTGGATGTCTGCGAGATCGGTGAGCTCGTCGGCTACCCCGGCCAGATCAAGCAGGTCAAGGTCCTCGGCGTCATGGCCCTTCTCGACGAGGAGGAGACCGACTGGAAGATCATCGTCATCGACGTCAACGACCCGCTCGCCTCCAAGCTCCACGACATCGAGGACGTCGAACGACACCTCCCCGGCCTCCTCAGGGCCACCAACGAGTGGTTCCGCATCTACAAGATCCCGGACGGCAAGCCAGAGAACCAGTTCGCCTTCTCCGGCGAGTGCAAGAACGCCAAGTCAGTGTTCCCCCTCCTTCTTATACATGCTCAATGTCTAACCGATGCAGATACGCTATGGATGTCGTCCACGAGTGTGCCGAGGCCTGGGAGAAACTCATCTCTGGCCAGTCCCCCGCCGGAGGAATCTCCCTGTAAGTTGATCTTGACTTCCATATCGACGTCTAGCTAACATTGACAGCGCCAACTCTACCCTCGAACACGCCCGCGTTGACGCCGGCAAGCTCGAGTCCATCCCCGCTGGCACCAACCTCCCACCGGCCCCAATTGACGGCAGCATCGACAAGTGGTTCTTCATCTCCGGTGCCGCTGTCTAAGCGTGGCCCGTCTTCTTCTCTTCAGCTAAGCCGGTATCAGTGCTTCCGTCAAAGCGTTTTAACGGTGTTGATCACGATTTAAAAGGAAGATGAAAGGGTGGCCTTTTCGTGCTGTAGATTCAATAGACAAAACGGGAAAAGCCTGCGGGCATCTCTGGTTCTAGTTAAAACATCTCCAATGAAAGCACGTTGTTCATATCAACCTCCTCTCTTCCCAGTATCTCTCCCAATGGATAGACCTTTATATGCATGATGGTATTCGTAATGGTACAAATCTAGTATACACTGCCCAACGCAAAGAATATAACTCTCGGAAAATAATTTCAAACTCCTCCCTTTGCAATTATACTCGAATTTATGCCTTCAGACTCTCCTCCCTCTGAATCAACCTCCCCACCCTCCCAACCTCCTCCATAACATCTCCCACCGAAAGGCGTAGCTTGCCCACCTCCAACTTCATTTCTTTCCCGTTCCGAAACCCTATCGTCATCTCAGGCAGCTGCTTCGAGTTCTTCGGCAGGTGCGTTACGTTGATCTTGATGTGTGCGGCAGACGAGGGTGAGGCCGTAGTTGGAGTCTGCAGGAGGGCCAGGAATAGTCGGCATGGTCGCGACAGGGGGCTGAGAGGGGAGAATGAGGTGCGGAACGACGTTATTGATCGAAGCGGAAGAGCCATTGTATTTTATGATGGCCTGGTTTGATGGTGGATGTTCTGGTGAGATGTTAGAATTTGGGCACTGCTTTCTGGAGTAGACGGTTCCCGCACCTTAAACCTGATAATCTCAGCACGTGGACATGCAATTGACACCCGACAGCAGTTGGATAACGGGTAGTTTTGTGTATATAGACGAGTTCTCTGTCAACTATCCCGATCTCCATCTTTCATCGTCGTTCGCGGTCACAAAATAATTAATATGTCACGTGAGATGTTTGCAAAGTTGTCAAACATAAAGACCACCATGACATCAAACATATACAGGCAGCGAGGATGATGATATTGAATGAATTAATATGATTTACGTCTTCTTCGATACTATAATACCAAGAGAACAGTTGTGATCATAGACGGCCGACTTTTCACTGATACCCAAAATGGCCACCTCTCTTCATTCTCGTCTTACTTCTGTCGAGGCAAACATCGAGAAGGTCTACGGCCTGATACAGCGTTTACAGTCTTTTGGCAGCTCGGAGAGCCCTGACGACGATGGGCGTATCAATATCAGTACCGACATACACCAGGCTCTAGGAGAAATAGAAGAGGAGATGGAAATTTTACGGGTAGAAACCCACCCCCTCGAACGGAGACGACATCAACGCAGGGAAAGTGCACAAGTTGGACCTGCTGGCGGGCAGTCCATGGTACTAATGGCGAAATTGGAGGAAGACTTGAAAATGTACGAACACATCGATACCCTATACGTTTGCCTTGCGAGATATACGATGAAACATTCCATGCTGACAGCTCGTTTATAGAACAAGGTCTAAATTCAGACGGGCGCAGATAGAAGCCAAACGCAATTCAGAAATTGCAAAAAACAGACAGAGGCAGCTCCTCTTCCAGCCTGCTATGGATGGAGGGGATGGACCGAAGAGGAGATCACCGAGATTCACTCATGGTGATATCGTTGCAAACTCATCGAAAGATGTAACTGCTGCATTGAGGCAAACACACCACCTCATGCAGTCTGAACTTTCAAGAAGTCAGTTTGCACAAGAAACGTTAGGTCAGTACCACTAATGCAAGATGCCTTTTTGGCAAGTTTTCTACCTTTGGCTAATACGAGATGTAGAACAATCTACCAAGGCCCTTGGCTCCCTCTCGGAATCTTACAGCAACCTAGACACCCTCCTTGCCTCATCTCGCTCGCTTGTAGGATCCCTTCTCAGGTCCCAAAAATCAGACACATGGTACCTCGAGACAGCATTCTATATTCTGATCGGCACAATATCATGGCTCATATTTCGTCGAATACTCTACGGGCCCCTCTGGTGGCTACTCTGGCTTCCCCTAAAGCTCTTTGCTAAGCTTACATTTGCCATCTTGGGAGTCTCGGGGGGTGTCTCACAGGGCATATCCGGTAACATCAAATCGATCTCATCATCTACTCAGTCATTACCTACCGCTAGCCTGGGGCCAACCGTAACCAACTCGTTGTGGAACCCCAAGTCTACTGACACAGCTAGTATTCCTGACATGGCGGAAGATGTAAACCGTTGGATCGAGACAGGACAAGAAGGCGGGAGTCTAGTCTCCACGGATAAAGATAATCACCAACCTACGCAGCTGCCGGACGGCCCGAAGGTTTTCCCCAACCCTAATAAAAGGATGTGGGAAGAACCGGTAGTGGACGAACTCTAGTCGTCAGCCCTGGTACCCTGAATTAGTTTGGATAAGAACGGAGGTTTAGAGTTAATTTTTGATAATCCTGGCAATGCATTCACGAAACTATACCGAATACCTTTCATAGGCTACCCTAGTCACTACTTAAGTTACTTGTCTACTTGATATGTACTCCGTAGTTTGATCAACTTGCCATCTCTAGAGGCTGAGGTGGCACAATCTCTCTATACGATGTTCTATAATAAATGTTATATACCCAGCTAGCCCTTTCTCCCTTAACAATAATACTTACAAGGTGTCTCTTGATGAGAACACCTACATACAACAGTCAGTAATTGGATCTGTAGACAGGGATAGACTGAACCCTGGGTTGGAAAACGCCTTGCGCGGATAGCCTGCAACCCATCCATACCCGTCTAAGATATACCGGTGCGTTTGCCGTAGGTAATAATTTGACCTGGATAATCAACGAGGAAAACCGCGGGAGAGAAAGGGAAAAATTTATAAACTCGGCCCGGGGGTTTTACTTTTGCATTCGGCTATTCTGTGTAGCCATGAAGTTCGTCTTACGTATAGATATCAAATATATATATATATATATATATATATAGATCCCTGATATTTCGATAGGTAGAAACTTTGACACTATAGCGGTCAGCCTTAATTTTAGAATCATGCTCGTTATTGGTGCTCTCTTTTTCGGTAAGCCCGGTAAGCCGCAAGCGTTGAGGGCCAGTGCATGATAGTCAGCTTCCGAAGCCCACCGGTCGACGGCAGGTCTATTAGAAGATCTCTAGAGAAGTAGGGCTCTATCAGCTTCTCGGTCAATAATTATGGGGAGAAATAATCGTGGGGAGATATAATTGGAAAAATAGATTCGTCAACGAAGGAAATGGCTAGAAGTAGACAAATAGATACAAGATTAAACATTTACAATACAAAAGAGCATATAATTAGTTACGAACGGGTTATATCTACCCCTTTTAAATGTATCATACTATTATATGTAATTATTTGAAAGCTAAAAGGACTGTCATCACCTAGCCGAGTAAAGAGATTACAGAGTAAAAAATAACAATCCAGAGCATATGATGAAGCATACAATATATATGACGAGGCAGGATCTCATTTTGGCAGGACAGTGGAAGATTGGTCTTTGATCTTCGTCAATCAGCAGCTGCCTCAAAAGCGGCCGCTTGGGAGCTGGCATATTGGGTATCTCCGCTAGCCATGGCTTGCATATTATTTGAGATTTCCGGATGAGAGATGTTAATGATGTGCAGAAGACGGGAGGGAAAAATTGGCCCAGAAATCAATATATAGGATATATTGATCATGGCATGCATGGCTTATGTAGGCTGAGTCTCAAATGGCCAGAGTTGCAGAACGTTGCATATTAATTTGTCTCCTTTTCCTCTTTACCCCAAATTCCCTTGTATTTCCGTCGGGGCCTCACCTAGGCCCTAAATTCGGGTATCGAAATCGCTAGTGTTAGGATGGGCCAGAGTCTGGTTTGTAGCGCCATTATACTTCTAGAGATGTCGATACTCAGTAGATATCCGTAATTTGTTTGAAGGAAGGCAGTCCATCCCGCTGCTTCGCCTTGTCATCATCTACCTTGGGCCCTACCCTTGACCATAGAAAACAATTCACAATGCAAAAGCCCGATCGAGTCACATTGTTGGTGGTTCCACCAGGTCAGGCTCATGAAATGTGTGAAAAAAGGGGTATCTTATGATAATCAATAACCTGAATCAGCGTACAGAGTATGCCATATGGTGATATCCGCCATAAGATATTCTCAGATATCTCAGTTCGGGTTGGTCGACATGTATCAGGTTATGATGTTGAGAAGTCGAGATGGATGTGGCATTAGAGTCGCGGCTAAGTTAAATCGCTTTTTGACGCGCTTCTCCAACGCGACGTGAATAGCTTCACACGCCGAGAACATCTCATCTCACCCCGCCGCCGACTTCTCTTCTACGTTGCTATCACAAGTTCTCTATGGCGTCTAACTTCTTCAATAATAAGGCTCGGGCTGCTGCAGCCTCGACTGCCAAAAATAGCACGAGTAATGGCCAGGACTCTGACCAGCAGACTCAGCCATGGGTTGAAAAATAGTGCGTCAGGCCCAACTTCTCAAGCTATACACGAAGACTAACAATGAGGATGTGAAATATAGCCGGCCCAAGTCTTTGGACGATGTGACTGCCCAAGGCCACACAATCGCTGTTCTCCAGCGAAACCTACATGCGTCTAATGTAATGGACAGCCTAAATCAATCCTCGCCATTTCCTACATATTTTCTAATGCATTTCAAATACTGCAGCTTCCACACATGCTCTTCTACGGATCTCCGGGCACCGGGAAGACATCGACTATCCTTGCCATGTCCAAGTCTCTCTTTGGGCCGGCCCTTGTTCGTTCGCGAGTTCTAGAGCTCAATGCCTCAGACGAGCGCGGAATTAGCATTGTCCGCGAGAAGATTAAAGATTTTGCTAGAATGCACCTCTCTCAGCCACCAACCGATCCTACATACCGCTCCCAATATCCCTGCCCGCCATTCAAGATTGTCATCCTTGATGAAGCCGATAGCATGACACACGACGCGCAATCTGCTCTTAGACGAACCATGGAGAAGTACAGTCGCATTACAAGATTCTGTCTCGTATGTAACTACGTTACGAGAATCATTGATCCTGTGGCAAGTAGATGCAGCAAATTTCGGTTTAAGGTACTGGATGGCTCTGCTGCTCGAAGTCGACTTGTTGACATTGCAAGGATGGAAAAACTAGATTTAGATGATAATGTGGTTGAAACTCTACTTCGGTGCAGCGATGGAGATCTACGAAAAGCTATAACATTTATGCAGAGTTCTGCAAGGTTAGCCCGTTACGGTTCAGGGAAGAAGAAAGAGGATATGAATGATACCCCTAGCAAGATCACTGTGAGAAGTATCGAAGAGGTATCAGGCATGGTTCCAGACAGTGTTATGGACCGTGTCGTGGCGGCCCTGCGTCCAAGCAAGCGGACATCAAAATACGACGAAATTTCAAATCTAGTAACCGACCTGGTAGCCGATGGATGGAGTGCCTCCCAGGTCCTCTCACAGGTATGGTGTCCAGTCGCCCCATGAGCTTCGAGGGTTATACGCTAACAGTAGACCCAGACATACAAAGCCGTACTCCAGGATGAGTCGATCTCAGACGAGCAGAAGAATCAGATATTAAAAGTCTGCTCTGAATTTGATAAACGACTAGTAGATGGAGCTGATGAACATCTCTCGACGCTGGATTTCATGTTGCAGATATCTGGCATAATACAGTCGAACTAGAAATGGCAAACTCGAAACATAGTTATTAAGCTTCTCATTTTCCCTATCTTATATTGATCTTCGTAGTTTTATATACTTGCTCCCTACTTCCTCTTGATAATACTGCGTGTTCCCTTTTAGGTTGTGCGTGGTGATAGATCGCGCCTATCTCTGATTACGTAACTGTTATATTCTTTCCCCAAGAAAGCACCACGGCTAGATAGACAGAATACAGATACATTATCGCGAGCATTGTGCTGGGAATTCAAGGATTAAACACCCTTGATAACAATATCTACTCATGAGCCGACTACGGGTACTCAATCGCTTGACCCTCTCTACACCTCGACTTCTCTCCCGAAGCTACTCCCGGTCATCTGTTCCAGTTCCACCGCGAAACTGGACCCCTACACCATTTGTGACTGAGACTGTGGTATGTCATTGCGGACGCTCGAACTTGAGGATAGAGTTAAGAAGCTAACGATTGCTGTGTTTCCAAAGGGAGGTGGCTGGCACACCTGTATGCGACGGCCCTAAACCACATTCCTTTCACGAGCAGTACTGACACAACTCTCAAGATGACATATTCTCACGTCTCTTAAAGGTAGGCGTTGACATTTGATATTCCTTATACCGGTGCTGACTCTAACTCTCTCTTCTAAGGAACGTATTGTATGTCTCAATGGCGAGGTCGACGAAAGCCTATCCGCGGCAATAGTTGCGCAGCTTCTATTTCTGGAAGCAGATAATCCCGAAAAGCCAATCCAACTATATATCAATTCCCCCGGAGGGTCGGTGACAGCGGGTATGCTATATATACTTGAACCGGTGATTGACCTGGCCTAGCATAACTAACATTGACTTGCAACTCCATAGGACTCGCCATATACGACACGATGACTTATATTCAATCCCCAGTTAGTACGATATGCGTGGGCCAAGCGGCATCTATGGGATCTCTTCTACTCTGTGGCGGCGAGGCTGGGAAGAGATACTGCCTTCCACATTCTTCAGTTATGATTCACCAGCCGTCTGGAGGATATTTTGGCCAAGCGACAGATATCGCGATCCACGCGAAGGAGATTCTTCGAGTACGCCACCAGTTAAATAAGATATACAAACGCCACTTGACAGGGAAACCGATGACTTTAGATGAGATCGAGAAGCTGATGGAGAGGGATTACTTCATGGGCGCGAAGGAAGCTCTTGAAATGGGTATCGTGGATGCTATACTGGACCGTCGAGTACCTCCAAAAGAGGAGGTTACCATACCCTAGAGTAGGAAACTAAAACCTAGCTCTGTACGATAGGTGATCACAAATCTAGACGGTATTTCGTAGCGTTACTGTGTATTGCTACAGAATTACCACGCATATTCCCAAGACTCAATCGCACACTGTAACTTGCTATTAATAGATTATTCGTTATTGTAGTTCATGGCTAAATATATACAGGGCTCTATGCTCAATGGCATATATGGCCAATGGTAAGTCTTCTAGAGAAGATTAAGATAGGTGATTTGGGAGGGGGTCATGCGCTAGCGGTTTCCGTTTGAATGCCTAGTTGGCGTCTAATAAACGTGCTGGCCGGGTCTCTGGTGCTACCTAATGAGGCAGAGGGAGGTACAAGCGTTGTGTTGATTCGGTTACGCCACTGCTGTCGGAGTGTGCGTCCGACGTCCAGATCCATCACCACGGCTTCCCCTGAATAGAAGTAGTCTCGTGGATGAATATCATAGGCTGGGTAAACATCTCTCACACCGCTCCGATTTGAGGACTCAATTCCCTCTTGTTGCTGGTCTTCTATATCAGGCTCCAGGCCAGATAAATTCTGGGGAGCTCTCAATAGTCCCTGCTCTTCGGAATCGTGGTCTTGCTCCTGCGCGGCAGGAGACGGTGTCGACCCAACAGTCCGCTGCGATGAGCTTAATCCAGATACCTTTTCTTTCTCCAAAAGAGCTCCCACCATAAGTATCTGGAGGCATATGACCAATAAGTCGGCCGTGAGTAGCTGGAATTTTGAAATGGGCCCTCTTTGGCCGACAAAATCAATGAACAGCCCGCCATGAAGGTATCCTCTTGAAGCTTCGCCCGCGGACGGGTTTGTTGAAACAATGTGGAGAAAAATACAGATTAAGTTACTTATGATAATTGCTCCAATATAAGGCTGGTTCTTCGGTGGCTCGGGAAAATTGGCAGCCTTGGGGGTTAAGAATAAAAACTGCACTATGGCTCGCACGGCGAAGTGTATGATAGAGCAACTAGCAGGAGAGAATAGATATTAGTCAAACAGCACCATTGATGGCAGGTTGCAAGGGCATATCTTACTCCATATAATAGAGAGCCGAAAGCTCACAATATATCAGCAAGTCGAAATCACGAGTGAGGCGACCTAGAAGTACGGACTTGGATTTTGCAAAGGTCGCTCTCCTACTACCAACATCGGATTGGCTCTGATCTGGGGTGAGCGTTTCGGCATCTTCAGGATCTGGCCTGCTAGGTATATTTAGGACGTCTGTGATATACTCGGCATCCGTAATTGGAGCCTGGGTTGTCATAGAGATGTTTGGGGGCAGAATGTGAAGTAGTGGAATTTAGGAACTAGACGAAGCAAGCTGATTATTATATTAGAGGGAAAAAACACCCCAAGAGCTCTCCAGTATGTCGCTGCTCGATGCATATTATTCCATCGCGGAAAGTTGTTCTGTATGGGTTGAGTTGGCTTCAAGCGCGAAACGGCGAGACGTCGTCCATACATATGCTTACTAAGCAGCTTTTTTGGGTCTGAGCTACATCCTAAGCAAAATCGACAAAACTTCCAGACGAAGGAGAAAATAAGATCGAGAGAGTTGCAGAGAGCGTGTCATTTCTTCTTCTTCTATTTTTATGGGAGTGTTTAAATGGAAATATGAGCTGCGGAAATATACCATAAGATGAGACGAAGCCGTTTTTGCTTTAAACGGTTGCCATATTCGCGGTCTTCAGTCGGCCATGCAGTGTTTTCATCTGCATTTCACCAGCCCAAATCAAGGTGCCATTCAATGGCAGCATCGACAGCGTCTTGGCGCCCGTTGAACTTGTATATTCGCCGTCAAAAATACCCCAGGGTTTGCGGAACCATTCATCAGACCGCGCAAAACTTTACAAATCGACGATATGGCAGCATGTCAGGGGATGACGGCCCCCCTGGTTCTGCTGCTCCAGATGGCCTTGTGGAATCTCCGATAATATTAAGAAGATCTGAGAAAAGAGACCGCCCGAGTAACGCGGAGAAGAGTGATTGCCGCAGCAAACACTGGGATTCTGATGGATTATTGATCCGCAACCCATGGGCGTTAGCTCTTTCAACCCCCCCTCGGCTCTGCCGTGCAACACACACTCGACTCCCAACCGAGTTGCTGCTAGATTTTGGCCTAGTTCAACATCCTGAAACGTCAGCCCCGTGGATATTTCCTACGACTCTACTCGAGGATGAGTTAGCGGAGTCGGAAGCGACGAATGACTCGGTTTCTATGGATACCACCCAGGCAGATACCTCTGCAGTGAGCGAAGAGATACCTGCAGTAAATGATGACCTCTCTACATTGAGCGAAGACATACCTGCAGTAAACGATGACGTCCCTGCGGTGAGCGATAAAGTCCCTAGGGCGACTAGCGAAAAAGCGCCAATCAAGAGAAACCATTTCCCATCATTCAGGATTACAAATAACGGACAGTTATTAGATATGTTATCCGATCGAAAATACTCGAACGTCGGCAAAGGATTAATCCCGCCAATATGGGGTCGACCGGAAGGGCCGCTTTCCCAAAACTTTCTAAAATCCTTGGTTTGGAGGGAGGATATGCCCAGCTTCGTGTTTCAAGCAATGAGGAGGAAAGCTTTGAAAGGACTGAAAAAAATAGTGCATGGGACCGCCAAAACAAAGAAACTCCGAAGGCAAGACACCTGGGCAAAATTGAATATTGTCAACTACCCTATAACTCAAGATGAACTGGAGAACTCTTTGCGACAGCTTCCTGAGTTACCAGGTATTAAGAACGGGGTAGTTTTGATCCTTCGCAGCAATGATCCCATAACAGAGGCGGAGGCTGCCCGCCATGACAATACCATTACAGCCCATGATGCCTCTGCAGATCCTTCTGACACAGTTACCTCAACGGACACAGCCACGCAAACCACCACTCTAACAATTGCCGACAGGGAGTCAGTTGCTCTGGTTGAACTTCCTGTGCAGGAGTCGCAGGTTCCCGTCTTTGATCTTACGAAATTGCTATCCCCTGATGAGCTCCAGGAGGTACGCCAGCTGGGAGAAGTTTTCCAAGAGAGCGCTTTATACTTTATACCGTCAAGGAAACAGTCAGCATCGGTTGTTTTAGACCTCTGGCGGCTGAAGTTGTTTGATATGGACCGCGATCAAGGGGAATAAAGCTATTTCAGCCATCTTTTACAACCAATGGATGCGGCCCGGTCGACACAGGCATGATATAGCGGTCTGATGATCGGCATGTACAATATATACTATAATATATACGGAGTTTGCAGGGAATAAATCAATTCAGTCTATACTCTAACCAGCCCCTGTCACCATACATCACGTTCTATGCACCCTCGAGCAAATCCTTCAACTCATCAACGTATGCGGTGGGGGCTATTGCCGAAGCAACAAGCTGCTCTCGCGACGTGACGCCAGTCAACACCGCCAACGTTCCACCAAGGCCACCATCTATACCGAATTTGATATCTGTATTTATTCGGTCACCAACCATGCAAGTTTTTTTCCTATCAAACTTGAACTTGCCCTCAATGGCATCCATCATCGCTTGGCTAGGTTTCCCTAGCGAGAGCGGCTCGGCACCTGGAACGCCTGGACCCCCTAACATCGCAATCAGTGGCGCACATATCGACCCGCCGCCTGGGAACAGAGAGCCAGAATTTGGCAAAGTGCTATCAATATTCGTTGCCAAGAATACGGCCCCTCGCTGGATATAGTGCAATGCCACGGCTAGTTTGAGGTAGTTGATATGGAAGTCCAACCCAACCAACACCACCCCGACTTCCGGATCCATCATCGAGGGGTCGCCAGAAGCAATTTTCGCATAGTCCTCTGGCGTAATTTCGCGTCGATAGGCTGGGTCCGTTCCTCCAATGTAGGAGACACTTTCGGCCGCTAGTTCTTGTTCAATTCCTGATTCTCCCAGGATGAAGACCTTACGCTTATTAGGCGGCAATTCTAGGATACGCGAGATGTATACCGAAGCACTATATGAGGAGGAAAATATCTCCTCCTATATGATGACAGTCAAAAAAACCTATTCTCTCATATGAGGATGGCTGAGAGGGAAGGTCTTCATCACCTACAATTTGAGCCTTGATCCCCAAGCCATCGAGTTTCTTTCTATAGTCTACCCTTGATTTGGTGCTGTTATTAGTTACAAACACAATCGACTTTCCTGTTGGGGGTAAGAAGGTTAGCAACTCCTTATATCAGGTTGACAACAAGGGTATGAAAGCAAAGTAGTCACCTTTGTTCCTCAGCATGTCCAAGGTCTCAACGGCCCCTTGGAAGGGTGTATCACCAGACCATAGCACGCCTGTCGGTTAAGCCAACGTCAGTTTCGAATTCATTGCCAAACTAGGGGATGCATAGGAAATTGATATATGCGAAGTAACGAACCATCACAGTCAAATAAGAATGCCTGGATTCCGAGCAGATGAGTATAGGTACATGGCTCGGGGAACGATTGGAACACGTACATCAAATTTATCGACAAACTCTTTGATGGCAAGCTTGTCGCCTGTCAAGTGCTGTAGAGGGGCCATTTTTAATTGTCCAATCCAATTGACGTTCACAAAGGTGAAGAATGTATAGTTATCTAGCCCAGGGAACGATGAACATGCAACCTCGACGATAGATGTACTCTGTATCGAGGACATTCGAAGCCGACGTTGAAGAAATTCATCCTTCAAAAACTCAAGGACCCCGCCCCACCAACGTCCGTATTTGAACCTCACGTTTTCATCGCCAGAACCACGATGGCTTCTCACGACTGTAGATTCTCAAGACAGCAGAGAATCGGTTGTATCCCTCGAGATGGGACAAATCCTCGCCTTGCCATATCTCAGCTCGCACTATACAAGCCTCTAGCCCTAGCGTCGGCCATCTTGCTATTAGTTAGTTAACTACGCCCTTTATTATAACGAGCACTCGGAGTATGTCGGAGGCTAATAACTATCACAGACACCTATTCTCCGTTGCTGTATCAAGGTCCTACGACACGCAGTGTCCTCTCCGGGATACCTTTCTCAGCATCTCTTCGGGACTGCCATGTCTACAGCCGGCGAGCTCAGAGGCGAACGCAAATCGAAAGCTATTGATTGGTATACCCCACAGTTTTCAACACCCTAATTTTGGCTAGAAAATCAGCTGCAGCCCGCTTGTGGATAGAGATTCATCGGCCTATCCACTGTCTATGGCACTATGCCCCGCGAGATGTCGTTATTATAGGGGCGATGGGCGCGAAAGCTGGTCGTCCATGTTGGGCTTTGAGTTACGGCCAACTCGTCCCGGTCCAGGTTTGGGGTGGAAATAGATACCCCGAAGCCATGTGCCGCGACATTTGCGGGGAGGCGCCCTTGAGATGGCATTTCCCCTCTTGAATTCGGCAATGGCCAGTTTAGATGAGACTGATGCTCCATCGAGGTTGTAACACCACTTTGGGAGGGGGTGGGCGGGCACAAGTGGCTCATTCTCTTGTTAGCTCGGGGATGGGAAATTATTTATTAAACCAGCTCCGCCCAAATTTGGCCAGTGTTAGCAGCTAGATATCCTCTCGCATCTGGTTTCTGGCTCTCCGCTTGACCGTTTGAAACCAGGCATCTTGAAAAAGGCCTAAGCCGCCATTCGATTGCTATAGTATTATACCAGCGCAGGCGCCAGAATCATTATGAGGAACCATATGGCAGCGGGCTGGTTCTACTCGCCAGAGCAGATTCGACGATATTTTATGACCCGAGTTTCCAGCCTTAAACCCCCAAAGGTTGGTTTTGTGCTCCTGGCCGTTCGGGCACTTTATAGACACGCGGCTTGGCTGATAGTCACATCCCATCAAGCTAGACCGAATTGAAAACCCCCTATTATATTCTTCGCCAGCTAGATAGTCACCAATGGCTTATGTTTGCCGTCGGTTTTATCGCCTGGGTGTGGGATGCATTTGATTTTTTTACTGTGTCCCTCTGCATCACAGAGATTGCCACTGAGTTTGGAGCTACAAACTCAGAGGTATCGTGGGTTAGTTTACCCCAATTATTCTCTAATTCTATTGCTTACCATATCTAACTCGCGTCCAGGGATTGACTGTGACGCTCATGTTACGATCCGTCGGCGCAATTATTTTGGGATCTTTGCAGATAGATATGGACGAAAATGGCCAATGATCATAAACTTGGGACTATTCGTCGTGCTTGAGCTGGGTTCCGGCTTTTGCCAGAATTTGTCCCAGTTTTTAGCAGTCAGGTCCTTATATGGGATTGCAATGGGAGGTAAGCAATACTACAAGTTGCGGCTTTGAATATTCCCCACCAATGGCCGTGTACTTATCTATGAATATAATAGGATTATTTGGCCCAGCTGCAGCCACTGCTATGGAGGACCTGCCTTATGATGCTCGCGGTATTGCATCAGGCCTTTTCCAACAAGGATGTGGCACAGGCTATTTGCTCGCGGCTGTGTTTTATCGGGCATTTGTGCCAACCACCAAACATGGATGGCGGAGTCTGTTCTGGTTCGGCGCTGCTCCCCCAATCCTCATCATCATTTTCCGTTGGTGTCTCCCGGAAACCCGTCATTTCCAGGTCATGAAGGCGGAGCGAGAATCACGAATCCAAGCAGAGGAGGCCGCATTAGAGGGCAACCCGGATATCAATACTACCCATACAATGCGGAACTCTCACGTCAGTGGTCTGCGCGCCTTCTGGAGGGAGTCCCGCCCTGGTCTGCAACAAAACTGGTTCTTAATGGTCTATCTCGTTGTAATAATGACTGGATTCAATTCGTGCTCTCATGGCAGCCAGGACTTCTACCCAACGTTTCTCAAGGACCAGGTGGGAAAGACCTCAACTCAAACAACGGTCATCATCGTGGTTGGAAATATAGGTACCATTATCGGCGGTACACTTATAGGGTGGATTAGCACATTCCTCGGAAAACGGTTGACGATGATTATCGCCAGCTTTTTCGGTGCTGCACTCATACCCGCCTACATTCTACCCAGGTCAGATGCTTTGATTGCCTCTTCCTTTTGGCAACAGTTTTTTATTGGTGGAATCTGGGGACCTATTCCCATTCATCTTTCGGAACTCTCTCCGCAGTCGTTACGAGGCTTATTGGTGGGATTGACCTATCAGCTGGGTAACCTGGCTTCGTCTGCATCGGCAACCATTCAGGCGGTTATTGGAGAGAAGTTCCCATTGCCCGCTGGACCACATGGAAAGAAACGGTTCGATTATGGAAGAGTCATGGCCCTTTTCATGGGGGCCGTATTTGCGTTCTTGTTCATTTTACTGCTCCTAGGGCCGGAAATGTCTCAGGAAGAGAGAGACGAGGAAGAGCTGGCTTCGAGAGAGTTAGCGAGACAACAGAGTGAGGGGAAAACACTGGAGGAAATTGGAAGGGAAAGGGCTGGGTTACCACATGTCAAAGTTCTGGATATTGACGACGGCGACAAGGAAGATGAAGCTAAGGAGTCAATGGCCCAGCACATGGATAACGTAACACCGGAGAAGGCAGTTTAGGACATGCTATACTTTGTATATAAGGATGGGTTGATGGGTTGAGAAATTAAGAAACTCAACGGGCCTTCAAATATAAACGTATTTATTTCCTCTACTGGTTATAACGTCGCCTCTAGAATACCTAGCTTATATAAACTTATTAAGAAGCTGCCGTTTGGTTCCGGATTCGAGTTCTACAGTTAGCCTTTACACCAGGCGCTGGATGCTTCTCGCCTTTCTTTATCCCTCGTAATTCTTCTACTTGCTATCTATCTGCTAAAGCAGATCTTGAGCATCCATATCCCAAATACATTAGACTCAAGATATTACTATATAGTAGTATTAATATACGCCGTGTTAGCAAAATGTCTCCTTGTAAGTGGAAATATCAGAAAGGCGAATTTGGCTAACAGTTTCTAGTGCAAACTTCCGACCGACGACCTATCGTCATTTCTGGGCCTTCAGGTGTCGGTAAAGGGACTCTATGCCAGAAGTTGATCAACTCCTATCCGGACATATTCGCGTTTACGGTATCTCACACAACCCGCGGTCTACGGCCCGGCGAAGTCGAGGGAGTCTCCTACTACTTTGTCTCCCCTTCTTCCTTTCAATCCCTGGTCTCCCAGAGCGGCTTTGTAGAACACGCGGTTTTCAGTGGCCACAACTATGGTACCAGCAAGCAGAACATCTCGGATCTAACCGCGAGAGGGCTTATTCCTGTACTGGATATTGATGTACAGGGCGTTCAGCAGATCAAGTCGAATCCATGCATTGATGCGCGGTATGTCTTTATCAAGCCACCGAGTCTTGGTGCCCTCGAAGAGCGGCTCAGAGGACGTGGTACCGAGAAAGAGGAGGCCATTCAGAAACGACTGGCCCAAGCCAACATCGAGCTCGAGTACGCAGACATACCAGGCTTCTTTGATATGGTCATTGTTAATGACGACCTCGAGGAAGCGTATAAGAAGTTCGTTGAATTTGCGTCTGGGCCATAACGGGTACGGCAGACTATCCCATATCTCTACTGCGTAACTATAGCAGATCACAACCATTGAGGAACTTATAAAGATCTGCGCCGAGGAAACGTACCGAAATGGAGAACGACACGGGCTAAAACGACACAAGGCCTAAGCATATCGAAATACTAGGCACCGGTTTCGAAAAAGGGAACGGGAAGCTGGTTAATTTCGCGTCTGGTCTATAAGGGCCGTAGGGCATAGAGTGATTCCGCATTTCTGCCAGGTAGAGCAGATCGCACCAGCGAGGAACCGACAAGCATGTAAGAGAAGGAGGACGCAACTCGAAAAAGATTTGCCCCGCCATTTATTCCCGAGCTAATACTCGGCCGTGTCCAGTAATTCGGAATCGAAACGATAAACAACTTCAGCCTATATAGTATATGTTGTATGGGCGGAATCCGGGTCGGGATTATGCCGTGCGGCGTTGCGGGCGGTTCCCTATGTGCAATGAAAGCAATACGCCTTACAACTTCCCTTACCAGCGTCGATTGAACAAGGTTAGATGTTGAACGGCGCGAACACTACGGAGGCGCTTTGACAATGAGCAACGGAGATGAACAAACAACTCTAAGTATCAAATTGTTAGCTATCTGGCTGGAAATACATGGGATAATGCTTCCTTCTTATAGCCTATTCCCTTACAAGCTGAAGGCTCTATCGTGAAAACTCCGACTATATCTCTGTTGGAGAAGATATCGTTTCCACGGCTCGGTTGGGCGATTTGAATCAATCTTTTACCTAGTCTGTAGTCATTCATATCCCACATCCATGCTCTATGTATGGCCTAATCAACAAGGATCTTGGGCGCCAAAGTGGTATAGTTCTCGAAGAAGCTAGTGAACAGCCTGGTTGCAAGCGCAACGTCCTTCGTTCCACCGGTCTCTCGGATACTGTGCATGCTCAGCTGTGGGCTTCCGAGATCCAGGGTTCTCGATCCTAGTGCCGCCGAAAGCATAGGACCAATGGTACTACCGCAGCTAGAGTCGTTACGAACGACCAGCAACTGCATTGGCACAATAGAGTCTGATGAAATATTGCTCTTAGCTACAGCGGAACGAGCCACTTCATGCATCAAAACGATTCCAGGAGAGTTTGTAGCGTAGCGAGCATTAGCGTTGATCTTGATAACTGGCCCCCTGTTGATTTCTGGCTTGTGTTCCGACTCATATTTAAACGCATAGTTGGGGTTGACAGCATGCGCCATATCTGCAGAGACAAGGAAAGAGGTCGAAAGTGACTGTTCATAGGCAGTAGAGAGGTCTCCCTCATCGGCCTTGTTGCCAGATACGCGGAGCATAGACAGACGGTGGATAATTCCTGGGAGGATGTTTGAGTCGGCACCCTGGGCAGTCCTGCTGCCAATTTCCTCATGGTCAAAGAGGGCAACCAGGCGGATGGCTGACTCGTTTTCCAAAGCTGAGGGGCTTGCAAGCGACTCAACGAGTGCGACGGTGGCACAGAAGGAAGAGTTCAGGTTATCTAGTCTTGGCGAGAAGATGAACTGATCCATCATACCGCCGAGGCAAGATTTGTGAGTGTCGTAGAGAAGCATCTCAAAGTCAATGATATCATCCGGTTTGACAGACAAGTCAGATGCTAGCAACTCAATCAGACAGGGGTGGTGACGCTCCGAGATCTTTTTGAATGGAGAGACCGAGTCTCCAGCACCCTCAGGTTTAGAGTCACCGCTGGTCCGGGATAGCTCAGCGGCTACCATCCCGCAGATTGGAACAAGCTGGGTCTCCTTGTTGAACGCAAAGGTCTCTGTGCGGTCAAGGTGAATGGCTAGAGTAGGGATACGCAAGACTATACAAAATCAGCATAGTCACCAAAACGAGTGCAGACTTTGGGGGTTATGGGCTTACTTGGCTTATCAATGTGGACCAATTTGGAGCAAATGGTGCCATCAGCTTGCCTTACCATCACACGGCCAGCAATACCAAGATCACGATCGAACCCTAGACAACGCGTTAACATAAAATGCGTTCCCAAGAGGAAAGTGAATGCATACATGTGTGCCATATGCCACCACCATAGGGCTCCACGGCAATCTGGAGGAACCCTTCGTTGGTCCTCTTAGAAACGGGCTTAATTCTCAAGCATGGAGAGTCCGTGTGGGCACCGATCATGGCAATTGGGTTACCGGCCTTCGGCAATTATCGTTAACCACTTAAAAACACCAAAAGATGATGATATTTCTATCATATCAAGAACGAACCTTCCACTTGTTTCCGACGGCAAAAGCAATGATCGTAGATCCATTTCGAGTAACATAGTACTTGCCTCCGGGCTTACAGACGTCTGACCAGCAGTCTTTCTCCTAGGAATTTGGAGTTTGGTGTTAGAACAGTACGAGCCAGACAGGTCTCCTATCCGAGAAATACCTTGATCTCCTCGAACCCGGCATCGGTAAAGCGCTTGATTGCAGAAGCAACAGCATGGAACGCTTTAGTTTAATCGTTAGTACATGAAACATTCACTGATATTAGACTATAAATCGCGTCTTACGGGTAGGGGAAGCGTTGACAAAGGACAAAAAGTCCTCTGCCCGCGCCTTTTCGTCGGCGGTGATCATTGTGGCTAGGGTTCTTGAATATGGTGACAGCGAGAGTGGAGATGAAGGGCGCAGGAGAGCGGCTCTACTAGATAGTATCTGCGGTCTAGAGAGCGGACGACGGAGTAGAACGAGACGGGAGCAGCGAGCAGCAGCAGCAGCAACGGCAGCAGCGGCAGCACAGGTGTCCAGCAGAGCGATTGACATTCAAAACACAGGGATGGCGGGTCGTTGGCTGTCTTTATATATCCCGTCCCTCGCGATGTTGTTTAAAGATCCTCGTCCCTTTGGCCCTCGTCTACCCTCGGCTGACTAAGTGCATGACTAAGATGCTTACTCATCTGAGGAAATGCCAAGTCCTTATCATGTGACTGTTGCCCGGCCACCTGATTTACCGTTTAGGACTAGCGCCTTTTTTGCGTGACCTTCGCGGGTTTTTGTTTTCCCACTTCCCCTTTGGGCCAAACAACGGGACCCAGGACAACGGCCTGTGCCCTGCGCATCGACGTTTCCTTGCCGCTTGTTTTGATATCTCACTCCTCCAGCCAGCCATATCACCGAAGACATTGCGCATTCACTCGTCACACTCGCCGGATATCGCAATTCAAAACCGTCGGCGCCAACAGCTTACACACCCCGGCAACCCCTTTCGATGTTGGTTTTCCCGTCGCGACATCTACACAGCGCCTACTTCGTCGCCAACTGAAGCGGTCACCACCGCGCAGAGGACAAGCTCGTTGCGCTTCCGTCGCATTTGTATTACAGTCTGATACCGCCTGTTCGCCGTCTGGGAGCCCGTCGTTTGATGCCTCGATACCCGCTCGGCACCCAGCAGCACCGTACTTCGCGCTATCGCCGGTGTTTATCGATTGGAAGGGCCCCCTCCCAGGGAACGTCGGGGGAGGAATGGCTGAGACTGCAAAGGGAGCAGGCCGTACTCGTGCGGCCACTTCACGCTCGTCCAAAGCAGATACCCTAGCCGCCATGATGGACAAGAAGCCCATTTCCCCGCCAGCCTCCAACTCTCCTCCTCCAAGCCATGGCAACAAATCGAAGTCTACCCAGAGCAACCCCCGGTCCACCAGACAGCGCTCCCGGCCTGGGTCTGAGCCGATAAATCCAGATGCCCTTGCCCGAGCACTCAAAGACTTTGAAGACGCCGGCCGCCAGCGTGAAAGAACACCTGGTAGCAGCCCGAGCCGGAAACGACAAAGGGTCTATGGTGATAGGTATGTCTTTACATGCGATTATATATATATACCCCTTGTCCGTGCTACTTTTTTGGCGCATAACTGTAACCTCATTTAAACGATCACTTGGCTTTGTCAACCTCAATTTGCAGAAACTGACAATATGTATGCTTGCAGGTTTATACCCAATCGTGATGGACAAGACCTACAGGCTGGATTCAGCTTGCTCCACGAGGAAGGCTGTCCCTCGACACCCTCAAAAACGAAGAAGAAACCCACTCACGGCGAAATCCACTCCCAGAAGAGTAAGTCCTCACGCAATTACCTGGTTATGTCATCACTTTGCTTACTCTTGCATGTACAGCGGAGGAAGCCAACCGGACATATTCTAGAGTTCTTCGAAACGAATTCTTTGGCTCTACCATCCCTCAACCCGACATACACTCCCTTTCACCCAACCCAATTCCCGGGCGATCCAGTGCCTCTCGGGATCTTGCCCACTCTAATACCCCTCCATCACATAAGATTGCCATGTCCCTACCCCCCGCCAGCATTACTCCCTCTACGCCTAGCAAGAACCTACTTTCTTATACGTCCCCGAGAAACGTATCCGGAAACCCTACTCCGTCTCGAACTCCCCGCAGCCAGCATGGCCCTAATTTCGACGCCCGCTCCGACTTGTATAGCCTTTCTCCCATACGATTTGACAGCCAGCAAATTCTTCAAAGTCTCCGCAAACAACCAAGATACGTAAATAAAGTACCCTTCAAGGTTCTAGATGCTCCCGACCTCACCGATGATTTCTATTTGAATCTTGTGGATTGGGGTAGTAGTAATATCTTGGGCGTTGGCCTGGGGTCTGCTGTTTATATGTGGGATTCTATAAACGGCCATGTTACAAAACTGTGTCAGTTGGAAGACGACACGGTGACTAGTGTAAACTGGATCCAGCGAGTAAGTTTCTACCATATTCCTAAAAACTTCAAGCATGTTCAATACTAACCCGTCTTCAAAGGGCACGCACCTTGCGATTGGGACTGGCAAAGGACTTGTTCAGATTTGGGATGCTGAACATTGCCGTCGACTACGGACAATGACTGGCCATACTCTCCGTGTAGGGGCGTTAGCATGGAACGATCACATTCTCACATCTGGCTCTCGTGATCGACTTATATTTCATCGCGATGTTCGCTCTCCCGACCAGTATCTTCGGCGCCTTGCTGGCCATAAACAGGAAGTCTGTGGCCTTAAATGGAATACGGATGACGGTCAACTAGCTTCTGGTGGCAACGACAATAAGCTAATAGTTTGGGATAAACTAAATGAAGCCCCATTGTTCCGGTTTACAGACCACACTGCTGCCGTCAAAGCCATTGCATGGTCTCCCCACCAGCATTCCCTCCTGGCTTCTGGCGGAGGTACAGCGGACCGGACGATCAAGTTTTGGAACACGTCGACAGGCTCGTTAATAAAGGAAGTCGACACAGGAAGCCAAGTCTGCAATTTGGCGTGGTCCAAGAACTCGGACGAGATTGTCAGTACCCATGGGTACAGCCAGAACCAAATCGTGGTATGGAAATACCCACGGATGGAGCAGGTCGTCTCACTTACTGGTCATACCTTCCGAGTACTTTATCTTGCGATGAGTCCGGACGGTCAGACGGTAGTAACCGGCGCCGGTGATGAGACGCTGCGGTTTTGGAAAATATTCAATAAGAAGGGTCTCAAGCAACAGGATCGGGAGAGCAAACTGGTCAGCTATACCACAATTCGGTAGTCATGCAACGAACAGGAACACACACACACACACACATACCACTTCACCTCCAGGTATCCCATCACACGCCTGGCTTACAAATTTTTCGCACATTTATGACCCACACGTAATGATCTAGCATGACAAAAACATTCAGACATTTTAAATCAGCATTTGACTTTGGGCCCAATGTTCTGTTCGTTTCAGCATCGGTAAAAAAAGGGGAGGATTGATTATATGGTGTTTACGGGGGGGGGTTGGGAACATGGACATTGTTACCGTTTTATTTTCTATCTTTCTCTCTGTTGAACTGTTCAGGGGGGTTAGGGGGGTTGACCGGGCACACCAGTGCGGCTAGTTATCGAGTTCTGGATTGTGTTTTACTTATTGCGCAGCATCTTCGCTTTGTTTCTTCAGCGAGCGTTCATGTTCATCATGTTTGTACTAGCAGAGCGAGCGCATGGCGATGGGGCGCTTCGGACTGGAATCGGAGCCACTCGGTTAGGAATTCTAAGACTATTATCATACCATCCGCTCTATGTTCAACCTCTATCCTAAGAAGCGTTGACATCATAATTTCTTTATGGATTAATAGTCACCCCCCGGAACTGACTCATTGCTTGTGAGAGGCGGTTGAATTGGCCAGCAGTAAACTCAGTCTTGCATGCACTACAGGAACGATAGGTGTCAGAATAAAACGCAACTAAAATATCGATGAAAGACTTACTCATTGGTTCCTGCCATGTAGTTGTGAATTGGGTCAGCTCCAGGCTGGGAGCAAGTGTCACGGCCTGTGGGACAGCCTGAGGCAGCAGACGCTTCATATGGAGTATCATCAACAGAGTCACCAGGAGCCGTACATCCGCCCTCGTAGGTATTGAAGAGCCCTAAAAGCAGGGACCCTATTAGCTCATAGTCCTTTGGTATACTCAAATACTGATCAACGAAGGGAGTATTCGAGAATATACATACCAACCCAATGTCCGACACACTTAATGAGGAGTTTTCCTTGGTCAAAGTCGGCGATGGGTCCTCCAGGGAGAAAACGGCTATCAAGAACACACCCATCCTTCCAGGGGACACTTTGGTAATCCCATGGGAAAGAAGAAATCTAACATAATATCCCATGAGTCAAACCGAAATCAAATGTAAAGTTCCAGAGAAGGATTGTATACATAACCGGTAAGATCGCCTGGACGTTGATCTGGTAGAGACTGCACAATGTAAAGATTCAGGTATGAAACTTCCCCCTTTCTTAAAGCAGTTTTCATGCTCTGCTCTGTAGCAGAACCGTCAACAACCCCCGTAGCCCATGTGGGTTGGACAGTTCTATCCAGGCCAATGAGCCTAAATGACAAGCCAATTTGGTGAAAGGGTTCGTTAAGAACTTGAATTTGTCGCTGCACCAAAGAGTCCTAGAGATAGTGAGTAGTTGAGCAATTAAATAGCATCAGCATTCACTTACAGGTACATTGCCATCTTCCACTGTACCTGACTTAGACACAACATGAACAATTACATTAATTGCAGTCGCAGCATTAGCCAGGCTAGTAAAGAGAAATGCAGACAAACTGCAGAGTGCCAGGACAAAGGACCTCATCTTGAAGGCTATACACAAGTAAAGATATAAAGGGCTGCAGAGTTGGTGAAATCCTCCATCATTCTGAGGGAAGATGTAGGCATTTATATCCCATCCCCTCTTTGCACATCATAAGGCTTTCAATAGTTTTCCTATTGTAGAACGCCACGAATATGCTCCTTATCCGTTGTTCTAAGTTGACTTGAGCATGCGCAAGCCACTCGTAAACAAGCAAATATTGAGTTAAGATATAAAGCTCGATGTTGGTGCAAATTCCACGGCCGAATGATCCGTATCGGGGCTTATTCGGGCAGCCAAATCCCAAATTCGAGGCAGCTTTGTGCTCTCAGCTGGCAAATCAAGCCAAAAGATAAAGTGCTAGTTGATCGTATTCCTTGCCATTTGCAAAATTAGACAAAGCTAGGCGTGTTGGCGGCCTCCCGAGCAGCTGGGCCAGTGGGTTAGAAAAAAACAAAGTATGAGGCCAGTTGAAAGGGGGGCAAGGGTACGGAGTATATCCCACGCCTGAAAGGAAGAAACTGCTTTCTCCGCAATAACCATTCAAAGCTTAAACTAGGTACAATGATTAAAGTGCTTAGTGAGCGAGGAAGCAAGATTGAGCTATGAATCTGCGTCTGGGGAAGACGGTCCTTTTAGCGGCCTACACTGGCTATATTAACATCTAGTTAGCTCCTGGTGAGCAAGCCAAAATCATACCAAAATGACGGACTTTTGACCAACCACAGTAAATAGAGTGGTAAATATTGTGTATAAGACTAAGTACCGTTAGAATGACCGTGTTATATAAGGAGATTAATGTTATTGAGAACAAACAGGCGCCCTTAAGAAAGATCGGTGAGATTTGTTCTTGACTGAGTACTCCGTATGGGACAATCCACTTTTATCCCTCGGTTGACTGAAGGAATAATCACCGCCACGAAGCAGTATAACACTATAAATCAAGTAGGTACAAGCAATCAATCAAAGAAAAGCCAACACCCCCCGGCGAGCTGCATTCGAAGGCACTGAAACGAGAAAAAAGAAGTATTTAATACAAAATGGAGTATACAAAGTTAAAGGGCGCGAGCAAACCAGTGTTCTAAAGAGCCAATAACTGAGCCGGCTCTTCTTCCAGGAGTACTTGCATTTTCTCCAAAAATGCCATAGCACGAGCCTCCTCCTGCTCCGGGATCGTCAAGCTGAATATGCTCGTTTCCTTATCCCCTTCCCACCCTTCCACCCTGCTCACAGATCTCTTGCTAGGTGACGATCGACCAGTCAATACATCTATTATATCACCTGTAGACTGTCTCTGTGCCATTTGCTGACCCTCCTCCGAACCGGCGTAGAATTCGGCAGGAGAGGCAATTTCCGGAAGGTAATCGCCCCGGGACAATGCCACATGTGTAGAGGCAGAGGATCTCTGGCCTAGAATTTCGTCGAAAAGAGCTGACGAGCGCTGCTTCTGGCTTGGCTTGACGGGTAGGTTTTCATTTGCAATATCGGCCGCGCGGGAAACGAAGGTGGCAAGTGGGATCTCAACACCGACGGAGGAGCGGATCCGCCGTCGAACAGAGAGAATCTTAGAGAAGGACACCGGAACAGCAACCTTTGTCTCAAAAATAGATTCAACCTCCTTTTGCGCCAGTTTAACCTCCTCCTTTGCCTGTTGTTGTTCCTGGGCCGCAGGAGTAGCTGGAGATGGAGCTTTGGGCGTGGAGATTTTGATATTGCTTAAATCTAGACGCGAGTTTTTTGCAAGCTGTGACGCCAAGTCGGCAGGGTAGCTGGCAGCGATTGAACCAAGGTAGGAGAGCACATCTCCCTTCAGTATTCTGCCATTTGGCCCGGTTGCTGTGATCTTAGATATGTCTTCGGATGGGATATTGTTTTGTTTCAGCAATTGGGCAACGGATGGGTAGAGCGGATACGACAAGTTGGGTTGAGATGCGGTTTGCACGCCTAGGCTAGTCTATCAGCAATCACGTCCATAATCCCCGCAACATTGAGTGAGTAGGATAGGAATGTATATAGCCAAGTGCACTCACATCTCACTGAGCCATAACGACCCAATTGGCGAAGCGGTATGCGTCTGGAAAGGCCCGAGATCTGAGAAAGATTTGCCATTGCAAGACACTGGTGAGCAATGATCCGCTGGCGAGAGGCCGTGAGCCCTGTTTCTGCCGTGAAGCAATAATTGAAGTCGTCTAGAGAGCAATCCTCATGCCAAAGCGACGCTGCGTGCTGTTAAACCGGTCTCTTCTCACTGCTATCTGAAGTGTTGAGTGGAGGTTGGACCTGGGGATTTTGGAGCCTCGGCGGAGGGATTATCTCTTGGCGTTGTTGAGCTTCAAACTAAACCGCTTCAAAGTTAGCATCTCGGTCTCGATCTCGCGCAAAGAAGCAAAGATACGTCAGAGAAGCACTCGTGGGAGAAGTCGAGTGTTGTATGAGAGTAGCGAAGGTAGGCGGCCGTCCACTCGGTTTTAATTGATTTATTAGTATGACACGCTGACGTCTAAACAGTGATGCTTTCGCCATGTTCTCCCGGTCAATACATGTCCAATTGAGCCTGTCACGGTTAATACATTCTCCTCGCGTCAATTCAGCCTCCTGTCCCTGGAAACAAGCAGCTGCTAGGGCGACTCGTCAATTACGATGCTATACGACGAGTAAACCACCTCCACTCCGTCTCCCGAATACTCCAGCGAAAGCGAAAGTCCCAGAGCTATCCTTAAAGGAGCCTTCTCCGTCACCACCATCAGCCAACAAGTTCCGCAGGTTCGAATGGGAAGTTTCCAAACATGACGGGCCAGTCTGTCTATTTCGTGCACCCAGCCAACGGTCATATATCATCGGAGCGTACACAACCGCGTCTTTTTGCTACATGTATGCTGGATATAATTTCTATACCTCTTCGATTGATCCGATATTGAAGATTCTCTGGTGGCAAGAACTACTCTTTGGCGGTATTTGTTTCGTCATAGCAGTCATGGGTACTGTCTTCTTCCGTCGTGGTTTCGGTTTAATATCACAGATCAACGCTGTCAACACCAACGGTCAAACTCAGCTATCAATTAAGGTCAGACGCATGCTCCCGTTTCTAAAGCAGCGTGAGATCCTAGTTGCTCCATCAGAGCTCTCTATATCGCAGAAAGTATGCGTAGGGGAAGAGGAGCTCACGACGAAGGGCTGGAAAGAATCCCAGCAGAGACTAGTACGGCAGCGGAATATGGATGATACTCCATTTCTTAAGATGCCAGTACAGAAGACAAGCCTGTCTATATTCAGAGCCTTTTCGAATGCGCGGCGACTATTCACACAAGAGCATTTTGTCTATCTACAGAAGAAGGGGCTGAAGACTACCTTGAGGCTAGATGCCCAAGGCTCATTTTCACCCGAGTTCCACTTGCTGCAGAAGGCAATCGTAGGAGTGTGAGTGGACTAGAGTCTAGCTCAAAACGATTTAGAATATTTCGTTTATGTATTATACCATTAAAAAAAATTATGTACTCTTAAGATTTATACACCTGTTCTATAATTATCTATTAGTGTGTCATTTGATCGATGGGTGGTTGGAAAGATCGGGAATCTGGCAAAGAAAGTCGTGGGGCGCATTTGAAAGCTATCTAATAGAGGGCGTAGATTTGAAAAATAAATAAAACGCCTATAAATATACATTCGAGAGCTATGCATCAACGAAAATTAGAGCAAATAACACATGAACCACGTAGTAAATATTACTAGAGCATTCGTCTCCGAGCAGCGGTTGACTATGGTACACATAGTTGAAGTTGAATGCAATCGAACTAGCATGCCTGACACCCATGCAACAACCTCACGAGTCTGCGGGATTGTCGATGCGGTGATAGATATCCCCGAGGGTACTTGGAGTTCGCAGTCGCCTGGGCGGTATTCTTTTAAATGCAAACTTAGATCATCGATATTTGCGTAGCTGTAGAATGTATATGTTAGTGACCTGTCAAAACATCGGGAGAATGATAAGACTTACGTCAAGAGTCAATGCCTTACTGCTATTTGCAGCCTGATCCCGATAAATACCAACAAGTGCCTCGCTGACTTGGAATAATCCAGTTTTCAGACTAATCACGATAAACTGCATTCCAGGAGCTGCATGGTCACGGATATAGTTGGCAATTCTGGCCACGTTGGTGTTATCGAGGGCAGCATCTACTTCGTCTAGAACGAAAAATGGAGATGGTTGGTAGGAATGGATAGCGAATAGCAGAGCTAATGCAGCCATGGTCTTCTCTCCTCCGGACAGATGCTCCATGTCACGGAATCGCTTCAGGGGTGGCATAGCATGGTATTTGATGCCATCAAGGTAGGGCTCTTCAGAATCTTCGATATCCAGGTATCTGGTTTGTAAAAATCTAAGTTAGAATTTATCATTCCTTTGATGGATATAAAGTGTAAAACATACGCTTTACCGCCCATAGGGTAACTCTCCGTCCGGGTTAGGTCACGATAGATTGGCTCGATTTGTTCGGAAATATGTGTAAACGCTTTGTTAAAGAGCTCAGATCGTTTCTGCATGACGTCTTCGAAGTCATCTTTAGCTCTCCGGGCGCGTTTGCGAGAATCTTCAAAGTCCTTTTCAATAGTTCGCAGTTTATTCTCAACACCTTCGAGCCGTTCGATGGCGCGCATGTTGGGTGCCATTTTGTCCAGTTCGCCATTAAGCGATCTAACTCTCTCTTGAAGCTCTTCTTCAAGTTTGTCATCGGATTCCTGTAATTAGATCGTTAGCTTCTGCTATGAGACTTTTTACTCGACAATAGTGTACTCACCTCCTTAAGAGAGTCTCCCAAAGAGGAGAAATCCACTTCTATACCGAAGTCCTGTACAAAACGACTCTGTGAATTAGCTGTGTTGGGATCCTCATCAACTTCCATCGCGTCTGGGTCTGGGTGAACGAGCTCGTCGATAGGGAGTTTATCCAGGGGCTCCGAATCCTCTGTCAGGGGTATATCGATATCTTCCAATTTACAGCGCCTTATCAGCGTGTATCTGCCCGAAGAATGGCGTTGGGTATCGGCTTCTAGACCGTTAATAGTTTTCAAGGTGGCTTCCACATCCTTACTTCGTCGCTGAAGTTCTCGTCGTTGCTGGTTGAGATGCTCAGTAGACTCAGAGAATAAACTCTGCTGTTCCTCAAGGGCATCGTTCAACGATTTCAACTCTTCGTTCAATTCATCGAGCCTTTCTTGAATTGATTCACGTTCCGCCTCCAGGTCACGGACCATCGTCTCGTCCCTCTGTGACTGCGCCTTGAGGCTATCAATTCGCATTTCAGTTGCCTGAAGTCTCTGCTTCTCAAAGCTAAGCTGGTTCTCAATCTTTGTCTTTTGGGTAGTGAACTGGAGCTTCTTTTCGGCAGCTTCCTGCTGGAGGGAGCCCTGTTGGGCATCATACTCCTGAATATTCTTATAACCCAACCGCTTACAGAAGTTGCGATAGACCTTATCTTCGACCTCAGTCACAGAGCTCTGAATCTCTTCTATCGACTCATCAAGGCGTTCGAGCAAAGCGGACTTTTCGCGATACTTTGGTTGGACACTCTTCATCTGGCGTTTGGCGAAGTCTATTTCACTCGCCTTGCTCTCCAGGTTCTTCTCGAGAGCGCCCAGTTCATCGCGAGAGTAGGCAAGGCGTTGCTCTAAGCCAGCGAGTTGGCCCTGAAGAGACTCTTCTTCGGATCCCCTGCGGTGGGCCTTGGGAAGGTTGGCCAGGTCTGCCATCAGCTTATCCTTCAGCTTGTGTAGGTTGGCAACTTCCGTATCCTCCCATCGTTTGGAGTTGCGCTGTCCAGGGCCACGACCACCCGTCATTAAACCACCCTTATGGATAACCGTGCCATCCAAAGTTACTGCTTTCGCCTCTACGCCCTTCTCGTAGCATAGATATTTAGCGGTCGCCAGGTCATCACACACTATTGCGTTCCCACAGGCATATGTAATGGCGCGTGAGACAGAGTTATCGTAGTCGACTGTCTCGATTGCCGGACGCATCGCACGGTGCATGCCCTTTAAGTTTGAATTTAATGCCTTCACCTGGATTGTCTCAAGAGGAATAAATGTGGCCTGACCAGCACGCTGATCACGCAGGTGTTGAATGCATTCTTTTGCGGTCTTTTCATTATCGACAACAATTGCGTCGAAATGACGTCCCAGCACCGTACTGACGGCCTCGGCGTATTTCTTCTGCTTGGGTTGACATAATTCGCTAACACGACCTTTGACGCCCGGGAAGATACGTTTCAGGGTTGAGATCATTTCTTTGGCGCGCTGCTCCTTTTCATTTTGTTGTCGACCATCATCTGCCTCTAGCAGCTTCTTCAAGGTGACTTGGAGTTTTTCCTCAAGTTCCGTTCGCATCTGAGCGACACGCAAACGCTCCGAAGTAAGGCTGTTGAGCTCCTTCTTAGTAACATCTATTTCCTTGGTCGTAGACTTGATAGTTGCAGCGATGGTTGTCTTGCGCTCTAGTATGTGGTCCATATCAGTTTGCAGGTTCTTCGCCTGCCATTCCGCACTTTCGAAATTGCTTTTCAGGCTGTTAACTGTTTCTGCGTCAGCCTTCCTCTGGCGTTTCAAGTTGTCCAGTTCCAATTGCGTGCTCGAGGAACGCTTGCTGACTTCTTCTTTCAGCCTGCTGTATTCTTGGAGGTCTGCATCAGTCAATTGGATACCCTTGACCGCGATGGTTTGTTTCCACTCATTTTCCCACTGGCTTTGTGCCTTCTCGACGATCTTGAGGTCCTTTTCGAGCTGCTTTACGGTCTTTGACTGTGCGAGTGCTTCCTTGGAGACTTCTGCTACTCGCGCGGCATACTTGGCCACCTTTTTCGCTGTGATTTCTATCTTCTCGTCCACGGGAACAAGAGAATTGGTAGTCTCTTCAATCTCCTTTTCTTTCGACTTGATACCCTTTTCAGCCCTGGCAACGTCCCTGCCCACCCGAGCGTGGTCCTTTTTGGCGTCTTCAAGGTTCTTTTCGTACTTTTCGACGCCTCTTCTAAACTCTTTCAATTCGTCCTGATATTTCTGTATTTCCGCACTAGACTCTAGGATTAAGCGTTGGAAGTGAAAGAGTTTCCAGAGGATGTGGGTGATGATGGCTTGATCACGTTCTTCAGCTTTCCGGGCGTAGGTTTCCGCTTCCCTTTTCTGTTCCTGGTACTGTTTGATTTCTGAGTTGATACCTCGGCGGCGGTTCAGTTGGAAATTGAGATGTTCAGAAGCCTCCTCCTGTTCCGCCTTTAGTCTCTCGTAGTCCGCCTTGCTCTCCAAGCTCCCAGAAATCTGCTCGATCAGCCGTGTCAGGTCCTTGGGCGATTGGGAAGCGATCGACTCCACGTCACCCTGGAATACAAGAAAGTTGCGTGCTTTGATCAAGATGTTTTCGGCTTCGAGTGCGTCGTTGTACTCTTGCGCGGTGACCACGCGGCTGTTTATGCGGTATTCGCTGATACCCTGGTTCGTGATGGAGCGTTTCCACTGCTGCTCCTCACCGGCGTCGTCCTCGTACACGGCCATAACCCAGGCCGACTTGGGGTCGCTACGCTCTGCCGGTTCGTCCGCAGCATCGCCATTCTGCTCTCCGGACTCCCCTGCCGCATTGTCCTTGGAAGCTGAGCCATCGTCGTTGATCTTTGCGGTACGGAGAACGCGACCACGGTAGACTAGATCGCGAAGGTGGGTTGAGCGCAAATGCGACGACTTGATTCCAAGAACGAAGGAGATCGCGTCCATACTACAGACAACTTAGCAGCCATCATTCTCTAACAATGGCTCAGCGGAACAGGAGCTTACGAGTTCGACTTCCCCGACCCATTGGGGCCGATGATGGAGGTGAAGTATGCATCGCCAAAGAGCAAGGTGTGATGGCCCTTGTAGGACTTGAAATCTGTCTTTCTGTCAGCAGGCTGTCTTAGCCGTGACCTGGGGATATATACTTACTAAAGAGCTCGAGGCGAATCAGCTTCCCCATGGCGGCGGCCTGACGTTGATAGCTGTTGCTGCTCTCTTCTCCGTTCCCTTCTCTGGTCGTGATATTGCTTTCTGAAGTCGCGTCGCGTGAGTCATGTGATGTCTTATTAACACCTTATTAAGCCCTTATATAAGCCCTTAGTCATCGCCCAAAGAGGCAAGAAAGACGTCGGACCAACCACGCGTGCGAGGCCGTGCACGTCCCATTACGGTAAGCAGCTGGCCGCCCTTTTGGGGTGCTCATGGGATTATGTCCTTTTTTATATAGAACATCGCTTCCCCTCAAGCCATCCCGACCGTTTGCCACCTGCAGGACAATGGGGCGTGGGATCACAGAGCCTGCATCATAGATATAACGTCCTCGTCGCGCCGTGAGTTCTCTCGTCCTCGTCCTGCTTTCACCCATCACCTTTCTTTTTGGTTACCCTGCAACCGGCCGTGTCGCAGCTCAGCCCTGACTCAAAGACCCATGGCCAGAAGCTAGGCAGCACATAATAGCACCAGGGCTTCTCTTCTTTTTTTTTTCCTTTTCATCTTAGCCTCCTATCCTCTACAGCTGGGGGATTATCTCGGAGCTCTTCTCGATCGTTCACTCTGTCCTCGCTGTGCCAGACCGTCGAGAGACTCCGTCATCATGGATCGCCCAGATCTACACAAGAGCAAATCGGAGCCGGCCAACATACCTCAGCTGGCGAACACCGGGTCCGGCTCCAGTGACGGCGAGACTATCGTGGTCACTCAGGAAGAAGCTGCGGTTATAACGCCAGAAGGTGGACGAAGCCCTCTGGCACTGAGCCCCCTGTCACGCATATCTTCAGAGAGCAGCAGCTCCTACCAGGAAGACTGGGAGCCGCTCACGCCCGTCGAGAGGTTGACGGTCCTCGATCTGCTAGGCAACCTGGCAATTTCGCAGAAATTGGAGAAATGGCAGACCTCACTCAACGCTCAGAAGGAGAGGGTTAAACGACAGCAGGAGAAGTTCAGGTCGACCAGCCAGCAGGCACGGCAGAGGGTTGTTGGTGAATTCAAGAAGAGGATGCCTACCTCTGAGGAACAGCTGCAGAAATACAGGAAACGCATGAAGCACTCTGTTGAACGACTTACGGTCCGGTGGAACGACACAGTCACGGTCACCGCCATAGAGAAGATATCGTTCATCGCCGGTGTCCTCAACGTTTTCATCAGCGGCTACCTGCTTGGAGCCTACCCTACGTACTTCTACCTCTGGTTCACAGGCCAGCTCGTCTACTTTATGCCTCAGCGATACTACAAATACTGCAAGATCGGATACCATTACTTCCTCGCCGATCTCTGCTACTTTGTGAACTTTCTGACCATACTGAGCATGTGGGTGTTCCCGAGCTCGAAACGACTGTTCCTCAGCACCTGGTGTCTTGCCTATGGAAATAATGCTGTTGCCATCGCCATGTGGAGAAACTCGATGGTTTTTCACAGCATAGACAAAGTCGTCAGGTAAGTCATCCCATCGTTTCTTCTTATTTTTTTTAGAGGTTGATTCTAACCCTCCCTGGCTTTAGTTTGTTCATTCACATCATGCCTCCGGTGACCCTCCATTGCCTGGTCCATTTGACGCCCCCGGATATGCTCGAAACCAGATTCCCAGCGGTATACCAGATCAAGTTCAGCTCGCCCGGTTCGCCTGAACACTACACACTTGGAGCAATGATGATATGGGCATCCGTTCCATACGCAATCTGGCAACTCAGCTACCACTTCCTTATCACAGTACGCCAGAGAGATAAGATTGCTGCCGGCCGCCCAACCAGTTTTACCTGGCTTCGACGATCATACGCCAAAACATGGATCGGCAAATTTGTACTCCATCTCTCTGATCCCCTGCAAGAGCCGGCCTTCATGCTCATCCAATACATATACGCAATCCTCACCATCGTGCCCTGCCCTCTCTGGTTCTGGTATCAATGGGCAAGCAGCGCATTCCTAACTGTGGTATTCATATGGAGTATCTACAACGGCGCAACATTCTACATCGACGTGTTTGGAAAGCGGTTCCAGAAAGAGCTCGAGCAGCTGAAGAGAGACGTTGCCAAATGGCAGATGTCCCCCGACGCTCTGACGGCAGTCGCTGATCCCCTGAGCCAAGATGGGCTCAAACCAGCCTCCCTCACCGAAGTGGTCATGGCAGCACCCAAGCAGACACAGGTAGAACCCAGCCAGGCCATCACCAACCTCGATTTAAACGCGAACGCCAAAGCTGTCTCTACGGGTGCTTTGGTTGATGACGCACCTCCCTCTACGACTCATAGACGACCTTAAGAAGCCTCCCTCTAGCGTTGTTAATTTGCCCACGGTTTCATTCTGTCCTGTTCCTTTGTCCTCATGCCTCTATTATGTTTGCAAAGTCTTAGGATGTACATATATACCCCTTGATGCGTCGTTGGATCGTGACTAGCTACGTCTTAGTCCAGCCCCCATTTAATCTTAATAGTACCAGCAGAATACTACTGTATACATGATATGAGTTCCACTTCCGTAAAACAAGCGCCATCCTACAATTCCTATCCCCAGTCTTAGCCTCGATCCCGGAAAGCTTGTGTCTTCGCCTTTTCCTTCCATGGATCTTTTTTCTTTGGCAGTGGCGTCGGCGATCGGGGAAACGTATAGTCCGTAACAATTTCCGAGGGCCGGAGAATTACCTTACCTTCCAGCACCTTCACAAGCTGAAAGTCGCACTCTTGGACATTTCAGACAGATTCAACCCAAGAGAGACGTCTGACAACCATTGAACAATCTCAAATCACCCGCGGTATACTCGACCTGACTTATTCGACCCTCCGCCGCGCCCAGATACAACGCATACATGGCTGTGCGGAACCTTGGACAGAATGGAATACTTCTAAGGAGGCTCATCCAGAGTGGTACGCATCCCTACATCTCCATCGATTGAGCACTTCAGACCTAACAACTCAGCAGATACCAGCCGGCTTCATGTCGCCAGATACGCCTACTCCGCCTACCGGGCTCAGGCTGCCCGTCCAGCGCTGCCTGCTGTCGGCCTAGAGCTCGCGCAGCTCCGCCGTGGCTACGCAACCGGCCCATCCACATCACCTGGCACAAACAACTCCAGCTTTCCCCCGCCCGGATTCAACGTTGAAAAGGCAAAGCAACCCCTTCCGAAGGAGTCTCAGGCGACCTCAACTTCGTCGTCTGAAAAGTCCTCTACGTCAAATGCGGTCTCGAGGGAACTAGACAGTATAGAACTTGAGTCGAGGGAGTTAGAGAAGAGAATACACACTGCGTCTATTGCCGAGGCGGTAGAGAAGGGCCAACTGGAGGAGAAGAAGGAGGTTAAAAAATTGACTATTGGGCAGAAGATTAAGAAGGAAGTACAGCATTATTGGGATGGAACGAAACTATTGGCCGCGGAAGTTAAGATTAGTTCGAAACTTGCACTTAAGATGGCTGCGGGATATGAGCTAAGCAGGAGGGAGAACAGACAGGTAGGTTTGCCAACTTATTCCCCGACTACATCCCTGTTGTCCAGTACTGATGGTGGTATTTTAGCTTCGAAGAACAGTTCAAGATTTGGCTCGACTTGTCCCTTTCTCTGCCTTTGTTATCATTCCTTTTGCAGAGCTGCTTCTCCCAGTTGCCCTCAAGCTCTTCCCCAACCTTCTTCCAAGCACCTATGAGGCTCAGAAATCCAAGGATGCTAAAGCTGCCACTCTACGAGGCACCCGAAAGGAAGTCTCAAACTTCCTCCAAGGAACTCTCAAGGAAACCGGTCTTCCAGTCAGCTCAATAAATGCGAAGAAGGAAGAGTTTACGGAATTCTTCCGCAAGGTCCGAGCGACGGGAGAAACCCCGTCTGACGAAGATGTTATCGCCGTTTGCAAAATTTTCAAGGATGATCTCACATTGGACAACTTGTCACGCCCACAACTGGTTGCTATGTGCAAGTACATGAATCTAAACACATTCGGGACTGATACAATGCTCCGGTACACCATCCGTGTCAGGATGCGTCAGATCAAGCGTGACGACAGAGCCATTGCCTACGAGGGAGTTGAATCCCTACTCGTCCCCGAACTCCAGATGGCATGTGCATCCCGTGGTCTTCGAACCCACGGCCTCTCGCCAGCTCGACTCCGCGACGATCTCTCCATGTGGCTTGATCTCCGTCTGAAGCAGGGCGTTCCCTCCACTCTGCTCGTTCTTAGCAACGCCTACATGTATACCCAGCACTCTCAGGAGTACGAAATTTCGTCGCAGATGGACGCTCTCCGATCAGTCCTATCCAGTATACCTGAAGAACTCTTCCACGAGATTGAGCTCGAGGTCCACAATGCTGAGGGAGCTGCCACGAACAAGCAGCGTCTTGAGGTTGTGAAGGAACAGCAGGAGCTGATTGAGGAGGAGAACGAGCAGATCACCGAGAACGGCAATACGGGTGTACCAGCGCCAAAGGACCACGAGGACATCGACGAGAAAGACGACAAACAGATGGACGCCTCTGCTTCCAGCGAGGCAGCCGAATCTACTGGACAGTCCGAAAAGACAGAGGAAGATGCCAAAACCGACAAGGATTCTCCCAAACAGCCCCAGGCAGATGACAAAAAGCAGTAAATTGCCAGTATGTGTCATGAACGCGCCCTCTCTTATATTCCCCTTCTAGGTACCACCGAGTGTATTTTGTTGAACTTTTTACTTTGTAATTATACTATGCATCCTCATTCTCCCATCACTATCCATACACACACAGGCTCTGCCCCGGTAAGGCGAGCCGACACTCTACACTAACTGCCTATTCCTGGTTCGCCCCATCTTCCTTTTGATCCTTTTTCTTTTGTTATTTCCCAACCCCTTCAATATGTTTTACGTGCTTTGTTTTCTTGGTTTAGACTGGTGGGAGCAGTGTTTCCTAACGCTACATTTCTCTAAAGGAGGATTTGTAGTTAGTTTATAGAAGTTTGGTGATGTTTTTGGTGGCTTGGCCTCTCAATCACTCGAATGATTTATCTACCTTAGATCTTTGATGAAAATATTACTTGATACCATTAATAAATATTAGGTTGTGATACAGTCACACCCCTCTGGCTATCCATATACCTCTCTAGATAACCTCACACCATATAGTTACTTTAATAGGTATAGCGTCATGGAAAACTAGATAGTTAAAGGAAGCCCCTTAAGTAAATACTTAGTAAGTTTAGAGAGTAAGCTTAGAGAGTAAGCCTAGAGAGTAAGCCTACAGAGTAAGTCTAGAGAGTAAGTCTAGAGAGTAAGTCTAGAGAGTAAGTCTAGAGAGTAGGTCTAGAGAGTAAGTCTAGAGAGTAAGTCTAGAGAGTAAGTCTAGAGAGCGAGAGGGCAGGCTTAAAGGTATACCTAAGGGTAGACCTAAGTAAGAAAAGAGGAGCCTAGAGGAAGCCTAAGAGGAGGCCCAAGGGAGACCTAAAGGCTAAAGGGGTAGCTTAGGGATAGCTTAGGGGGTAAAGTCTTTAACTAAAGAATCCTCTTAGGGGCTTTCTTTAAGTATCTAGTTTTCCGTGACGCTATACCTATTAAAGTAACTATAGGGTGTGAGGTTATCCGGAGAGGTATATGGATAGCCAGAGGGGTGTGACTGTATCACAACCCTAAATATATCTCCAATGTTGTTCCATGTTTTGTATATTCGGATCCGTATACTCCGTATATGTTTGGCGGCTGATCAATCCTGAGCCTAGCATGCTCCGGCCTCGGCACGGCGGCGTTGGGCTAATACGTATCTTGGGCGACGACGTGAGGCCAACGAGAGAAGGCAACTAACATATATAAGATATATTTCGCCAGAGAGAGATGAGACTGTGTCTTCGCTCAGTGCCAATAGACCCAGCCCGTTGCCATAGACTCAGCCATAGGCTATTTTCGTCCTTTGCAGGATCCCAGACATTGAAAGGAAGGATGGCGCCGTTATCGCCGGAATCTCAGGTCGGTACATATAGAACCTGCATAACTAACGCCCTGCTGCCCTCTTTAATCTACAGACACATTGTCTCATGCGGGCGATCATATATAATGTTCCAGAAAGCCTATGAAACATCATCTAACTCCTTGGGGATGGATATTAGAATGCGATTGAACGCTTGCGAGGGTATACTCCGCCCCCAACGAACTACCATGCCATGCCATCCACAAGACAGGCCTCAGTATTATTATTACTCTTTGCCGATCGGAGAGGAGACCTTCGAGTTATCCTAACAATACGTGCCAGTACCCTCAAATCATGTATGTTCATTCCAAGGCCTTTTCAAACATGGCAACAACTAACATGACCACCACCATGGCTCAGATCCCGGCCAAGCAGCTCTCCCTGGTGGAAAGTCGGATGGACCAAGCGAGACGCCTTTTCAAACAGCTCGGCGTGAAGCGTACGAGGAGATTGGTCTACCCAATATAGACCAGCAGATGCCCTCGCCCTTCTGGGTTGAGCATCTCTGTGAACTTCCTGCGAGCCTGGCTCGAACAGAACTTGCTGTTCGGCCATGTGTTGCCCTTTTACACTCTCATAATGAAAAGACGGGCGAAGACGCTGATCCCGAAGAAGCATTCATACCCCAATTAGACGCCAAAGAAGTAGCGGCGGTATTCACAGCCCCGTTCCATAATTTCCTAAAGATAGAAGATGAGCCTCGCGGAGAAGAGGATGACGCTCTCCCCGGAAAGCCAAGCGATTGGTATGAGGGATCATGGACGAAGTGGAATTCGACATGGTGGAGAAGTAAGTAGCCTTATAATTCCCCGGGTTTTTCTATCTTTTGGTATATGAGCAAGACCGTTAACTTACGGGGGAATCAGTGCACCATTTCTTCGTGGCCATAACGAACCAGAAGGTAGCCACGCCGAAGAAACAACACAACAAGGAGCAAGACGCTGCTATTGACCAGTTAGAGGAAGAGAAGGCCTCGTTGGGCCTCGAACGATTTCGAGTGTTCGGTATGACGGCCCGCATCCTTGTCGATGCCGCAAGGGTCGCATATGACGAAGTCCCTGAGTTCGAACACAATAGCCATCTTGGAGACGAAGATATGATCTCTCGATTAAAGACGCTTGGAAGATTTAGCGAGGTCGTCGATCGCGAAGACACCTTGACCCCAGAGATATTTGAGAAAGCAGCAAAACTGTCATGATAAAAACCTAGTATACCATCTTCATGACCATTAATTTACTCTTCCAGCGTTCGAGAAGATGAGGTTTTAATTATTATTTTCACGCTAAGGTCCGAGTGCGGGTTCATGCGCCGATAAAATGCTGGGTTGCCTTTGTTCCCGTAGATCTGCATTTCCTTTGTCTACCCCCTATCTTTATATACTTGCCCAATACCCAACCCTAGAAGGCCACCGAATATTTGGATGTGCAGCGTGCATATTCAACTCTATTCATTTTTTTTTATTTTTTTATTTTTTTCGGACGACGCCGTACATACTGCACTAGTCAAATATGCCTCCGTGGTTAACTACAACTCCACAGCATTTTCTACCATCTCATAGCCTCAATGTAGCAACATAGCCTGCGTTATAAATGTTGGATCAGTCATGTGGGAGTTCTAATGACAGTTTTATATGCAAGAAGCAAACCGGATGTGGCAACGGCCCTGCAGAAATCCCATTATCCTTTGTACCTTCATCATGAATATCCTGTGCCTCCGTCAGAACGGGCTTTGATGTCTGAATCCTAGAATGTCATTTAATAATGCCACCAAACGCATTCAGGTCGATCGACAATGCAAAAAATTAGAGGCTAATATATCATCAGCCTACCCCCCAGACCTATATTCTCTTACCTTCTGCTCTTCTATCTTCAACAACCCATCGCTATAACGACGTAACCAGAGAGAAATATGTCGTTGATGCTAGGACCCCGAGCTCCCTACATGCACTCTCTCCTCCCTTCATCGTCATTGGAAGGGTTAGAGCAAGTGATACCACCAGAGCCCAACTCCCCCAAAATTTACATACCAAGATGGAAGCTCGACAAACCTCTTCCCACCCCTCCAGAACGAAATTCTGGCATTTACTCTTCAGACGACTATTATCTGAGTAGTGCTCGTTACCAGCGCCCCTATGATAGACAGCGTGAAACTGGGATATACTCACGAAACTGCGGCCCTACACACGCCCGCTCGGTCGATGAACTCCGGTTATTTTGTAGCCGGCAATCACCAGTTCCCCGTTCACCTCACTATCAGAGGATATCGAGAAACGATCAGTTTTCGAGCCTTGCAAAACGTGCTCGACATTCGACCGAGCCGATATATCAAACCCATGACGAAGGGTCGATAAAGGCTCATGTGCGGATTGACGACAAGATACCTCACAAAGAGCTGAAAGTTCCTAAGCCAAAAAGAGAGTCAATTTCAGGGGTAGTGAAGTCAGCCAATACAACTCTCATAACACGTATAGACGAGAGTGCTGAGTCGGTAGAAGCCGCCCAACCACGGACTGACACTCCCGAGGGCCACGATAACCGCGATCTTTGTTTCTGCCATAAACCCCACCCCCGTCACAGCAAAACGTACACAAATAAACGATCCTCAAAGTCTAGTTCCAGCGAGGGGGTTCAGGCTGGGAATCTCCCTGATGCAGCATCATACATTGGACTCATCCGGCAACAGTCGGCGCCGGATATCCCTCACGTTAAGATAGAAGAAGTCCCCGGTGGACAATTGAATTCGCGGAGAGAAGACGAACCCCCCAACCGCACACAGCTGTACTCGTTTACCACCTGTGCGAGCACATCCATGATCGATGAATTCCCGGACACAATCAGCAGGAAGGAGAGTTCCGGATTTGGTCTCTTCCGATCTCCTCCCTTACCGCCAGCCCGTCAAGAGAACCGTCACAGGCCAAAGCAGCTCGCAATCCCGCCGAGCGACTACCAGCTATATGGAGTCAAGGGAATGCCAAAGAACAAGCCGAAGAAAAAAAAATCGGGTCTTCTCCCCAGCTACATCAACAAGCTGATCCCCAAGGTCATACGACGGCAAACGAGCGAGCCACAGATGCAATCGTTGACCACACCACAAACGGCACCACCGTACCTGCCAGGGGAGAATCCTCATCGTAGCCGTGAGGAGTGGTTCGGACTGGGGAAGAATATCAACGCATGGCGGTCAACGATTGAGTTCTCCCGGGATGCCTTTGGCTCGAACGCGAACAGGGCGGCTGAGCAGAAGAGAAAGGAAGAACTGAAGAACAAGATCGTAATGGTTGGGCCAACACCCCACTGGCTGTAGACGGTTATCTCAACCCTTGGATATCTTATGATGTTGTCACGCACGGGAGTTTTTTTGGATGTTTTGTTTTTGTATTAAATGTAGTATATGAAGAATGTTTGATATCAGGATCTGTTCCATTCAGCCGACTTTGCTTCCGGCCGTTCCACGATCAGCAGGAACCGTCCTTGAGCCTCCTTTGGACCTAGAACGCGTCCGTCTTTCCGTAGACATCGTGTCATAAGAGCTCGACCCCGGAAGAGTTCCCTGCAGGCGCTTGGAGGTAGAACAATCAGGAGATACCGGTCAATATATGTCGAGTCAGGAGGCGAGCTGGGATAGCACTGTCTTCCTGTCCTCCGGGGACAAGCTAGAAAGCTACCGGGCAGTCGTCTCGTATGTATATTCCAGTTCATATTCAAATAAATCGCTGCATGACCGGTTTGTCCTCACTGCTGCATATCCGGATCAAGTGACGCGGTGGGAAACCCTGGCCGAACTGCACATCGGCCGCTCTGGTCCCTGGGCCCGGGTACGAGCGACGGCGCAGCAGGCTATCATGAGGCCGATCCACGATATCTCGCTGGCTGATCAGGGCTGCAGCGTTCATGGATGGCGGCAAGTTGGAAGTTGAAGTTGAAGTTGGTGGATCGCCAAGGGGTACAGGCACATCCCCGGCGGGCGGGCTTGCGCGTGCCGTGGAGAAGCTTGCGGGGTAGGCTTTTGTTGACATATAAGAACATCTCTCGGAGCTCGAACATCCCACTGCTTGACACAATTAGCTATACAGGCTGTCGAGGTCGACTGTTCATCTGCTGAGCTGCGACTGTGATCTCTCAGTTATACGTCTCCAGCACCGCAATCATGGGCGGGGAAGCTCCCAAGCATGTTCCGCTCTACCCTGTCCTCGCCGAACGCCCGGTTGGCCAGCACATCACCTCTATCTACAAGGACCGACTTCGCCAATTCACCGCGACAGGCCAGTATCAGAGGTATAACCTGCTAGAGTGAGTTGTCCTGCCCTTGCTACAGCTTCCTGTACCTTGTTATGCTATCTAGATCGCACTCAGCTGACTCCTGGGGACAGCAAATTCTTCTACGCTTTAAATGACGACGAACAATATGTTAAGCTGTGGGTTTACTCTGTCCCGGACTTGAAGAGACCGGCCTTCAAAGATGTCGTCAACCACGAGTTCAAGCCTACTCGAAGAGGAAATTCATTCGGTCCCAGTTGGTCTACTCACTGGTTCCGAATCCAGCTCACCGTCCCAGAGTACATGAGGAAGTATGACCATCTAGAGTTCCATTGGGACGCCGGAAACGAAGGCATGGTCTGGACGGAGGACGGCCGTCCGCTGCAGGGCCTGAGCGGTGGTGAGAGAACCGAGTGGACCATCCCCAAGGACTTCAGGGATGGCAAACCACACATCTTTTACATCGAGATGGCTTGCAATGGCTTGTTCGGTAACTCAAACGGAGACATCATCCAGCCTCCAAATCCAAACAGGTATTATCAACTCAGCTCGGCAAAGATCGTGGCAGTTAATTTAGAGGCGAGAGCGTTGAACTATGACTTCTGGCAGATTGGAGGTAAGTAAAGGGGGCTTCTTCGCCCGCTTGACGTTAAAGCAGGCAACTGACGGTCTTAGATGCTGCTCGAGAATTTCCGAGTGACTCCTGGCAGGCTCACAAGGCCCTTATCGTCGGCAATTCCATGATGGATGCCTTTATTGACGGAAACGGAAGTCAGGAGTCTATCCTAAAGGCGCGCAAGATTGCCCAGGAATTCATTGGAACGAAGGTCGATTCTCCCGACGTTTACAAAACTGAGGGTGAGCCCATCGTTTTTGCGACGGGTCACTGCCACATTGACAGCTGTTGGCTGTGGCCGTTTGCTGAAACAAAGCGAAAAGTTGCCCGGTCCTGGTCATCCCAGTGTGACCTAATGGAACGATACCCCGAGTTCAGATTTACCTGTTCATCGGCACAGCAGTTCAAGTGGCTCGAGCAAGAGTACCCTTATGCTTTTGACCGAGTCAAGGAATGGGTGAAGAAAGGCTCATTCCAGCCGATCGGTGGTAGCTGGGTCGAACACGATACCAACCTTCCCAGCGGCGAATCGCTAGTCCGTCAGTTCATATACGGTCAGAGGTTCTTTGAGAGCCGTTTTGGTGAACGATGTACCACATTCTGGCTACCTGACACGTTTGGGTACTCTTCCCAAATCCCCCAGCTGTGCCGCTTAGCTGGAATGAGTCGATTCTTCACCCAGAAGCTCAGCTGGAACAATATCAACAACTTCCCGCACACCACATTTAACTGGGTAGCCCTTGACGGAAGTCAGGTTATTTGCCATATGCCTCCCTCGGAAACGTACACCGCTAGTGCTCATTTCGGTGACGTCAAGCGAAGCGTTACCCAGCATAAATCTATGGACCAGGACAATACCTCTCTTCTAGTATTTGGAATTGGTGATGGCGGTGGTGGCCCAACTTTCGAGCATATCGAGAAACTCCGTAGACAGAGGGGTATGAGTGATACTGTCGGACTTCTTCCCCGAGTCACGATCGGAGGTTCAGTCGATGACTTCTTTGCGAAGCTCGAGAAGAAAGCTTCCGAGGGCACTGACTTTGTGACCTGGTATGGAGAGCTCTACTTTGAGCTTCACCGTGGAACTTATACCACTCAATCAAACAACAAACGTAACAACCGTAAGGGAGAATTTGTTCTCCGTGATGTTGAGCTCCTAGCAACTCTGGCCTCCCTGAAGAGTTCCTCATATAAATACCCCAAGAAGGATATTGATGACATGTGGGAGCCTGTTTTGCTCTGCCAATTCCACGACTGTCTTCCTGGAAGCTCAATTCGACTTTGCTACGATGAGTCGGATGCTTTCTATGCCCAAGTGTTCAAGACTGCCGCAAAAGTGAGAGAGGAGGCAATGAAAGTACTCGGTTTCCATAATAAGGAGTCCAGCTCCGACGGCAAGCTCGCCGCTTTGAATACCTTGCCATGGCCTCGTTCCGAGATCGTTAGAGTGAACAACGCAACGACCTCGTCTGCCTCCCCCCAATACGCTCTTGCGAGCGGAGATACTGGAGTGATGGCCGTGGAACCATTAAGCTCCGCTCAATCAACCTCTCTCTCTATCAAGGAAGTTGAAGCGAATGTTTTCGAACTCCGCAATGACAGCCTCGTAATAAAGGTTGAGAAGGGAGTGATCACGTCCCTATTCGACGTTAAAGAGAACCGAGAGACGATCGCGAAGGGGGGTAAGGCAAACCAGTTCGTCATTTTCGATGACAAGCCACTATACTGGCAGGCATGGGATGTCGAGGTCTATCACTTCCAGTCACGAAAGGAACTGGCCTCCACGGAGACCAAGATTGCAGAGAACTCTCCATACAGAGTCAGTGTCGTCACCGAGACGAAGATCAGTGACAAGAGTTGGATCAAGACGACAATCAGCCTTTCTGCCGAAGCCAAAGATACCCCATCCATGGTGGAAATGGACTGTGAGGTCGAATGGCAAGAGACTATGAAGTTCCTCAAGGTCGAATTCCCCGTTGACATTCGAAACACTGAGGCATCTTATGAGAGCCAGTTTGGTATCACAAGACGGCCAACCCACTATAACACAACGTAAGTCTATACTCCTTCCATTATTGCCGTAAGTCTAGCAAATACTAACCTCACCTTATAGCTGGGACATGGCCAAATTCGAAGTATGCTGCCATAAATGGGCTGATCTCTCAGAGAGCGGATATGGAGTCTCAATCCTCAATGACTCCAAATACGGATTCGCAACCGTCGGCAACTTGATGCGTCTCTCTCTTCTCCGCGCTCCCAAAGCGCCAGACAGCACTGCAGATATTGGCCGCCACCATATCCGTTACGCTATCCTGCCACACTCTGGCCCTCTTGACTACCGTACCGTTCGCGCAGGATACAACTTCAACAACCCCTTGATCCTACAAGCTGCATCAGGACCGGAAACCCATGATGCCTTCAAGGCCATTCGGCTGGTTGACGCCACCCCAGCCCTTGTCATTGATACCGTGAAACGCGGCGAAGACGACGAGGATGTCTCTCGCGGCGAACTTCCACGCCGTGCAGGGAAGAGCGTTATCGTACGTATCTTCGACTCCATGGGAGGAAGAAGCACAGGTACCCTCGAAACATCATTGGCCGTTAAGAAAGTGTTCAAATGCAATCTTCTCGAAGACGATATGGAGGAGCTGAAGATCGAGGGATCCGGACCATCGCGTGTCAAGATTGAATTGAGAACCTTTGAAGTTGCGACATACAGACTTCAACTTTAAGCTATCTGGACATCTGTGTTCCAGAATCGAGGAGGGTGAGTTTTATTTCTGATCTCATTTAATGATTCGTTACGCACCCTTAATGATGACCCACAGCCCATTATCTCGTAGATAATAGTTAGTAGTAGGGAGTGCATATTTTATGGCTGAAATTACTCCTATGCAATGAAATTGAGGTTTATGTCTTGAAAATTGTATGTCTTTTCTATCTCCTCTAAAAGACGGATGCAACATCTAGTTGATATAATATAACACCCACCCCGTAAACACAATTCGCCAACTGCCCAAGGTATAGATCGCTTTTCCCCAACACATCTGAACGCCAGTAGTAGAAAGGAAGAATCAAATAGTATACAAGATCACCCATCTCACTCTCCTCTAACGTATGTGATCTTTAACCTCTTTAACGGCTGCTTATTATCACCTTCATCACCCGCTTCTCGATCTCTCCGGGCGGCCGAGGCATCCCCAACAGACTTTCTGTTGTTCTTTTTGTTTACAGCAGCCTTGTTCCCAGCTCCAGCAGCGGTAGACTCCTTGCCTTCCGCGCCCTTGAAGCCTGGTCCGGTTGATGTAGGCGTTTGTGCATGTGAGGGTGTGGTATGAGCACTCGATGGAGCGGGAGAGTCCTAAATCGAGATATATTAACAAACAGCTCTGGCCGTAACCGAATTCCACGCATATCACGACGCGTCTCTCTGAACCACACCTAGGAATCAACTCACTCTCATAAAACTAGCAGAGCTCCGAGAAAACACCCTGTCTGTATCCGCCACCTGGCCCTTCCGCCTCGTCGTTGGCCCGTTTCCAGAGCCACCAAACGACGAGCCCATCCCACTACCGCCTCCCATGGTAGACAAGCTAGACGCACCCTTGATGTAGTTGTCGAACCCTTTAATTATATTTCCCGCGCCCGTTTCTTCGAGGTAGGATTGTTCAAAGCGGTAGATCGATTCCTCCAGAGCAGCCTACACGAGCACAGCCGTCAGTTATTCGCCTGAGCAAATGGGAAGCTCCATCTATCACGAGGGCGGATTAAATTACCATATTTTTATCCATCAGCCGCTTCTTCTGCAGGGTATCTCGTAGCTCCCGCCTTAGCTTCTCGTAGTAGGGTATTCCGCGTGCGGGAGGCTGCTGGTCTGCGCCGGCGGGAGCTGCAGGAGCACCAGAGGCGCCAGCAGTCGCGGGAGCTGTGTCATTCGAGGCGGCGGCGGTGGTTGCGGGTATATTGTCCGCCGTCGTCGAGGCCATCGCTGCAACTGTGGCTGTGGCTGTGAAGGACGAAGGAGTTGGTGTGTTGCTTGTTGCTTGTTTGTATGCAGCAGGTTTGAGGATGAGAAGTATTGCGCTGATAAGAGAAAGTTCGCAGGGGAGATAAGCTTTCTCCATGTTTGTGCAGTTTGCATCTGCCCAGTTTACTTAAAAAGAACCCCGGCCATACTTCTGCTCTGCTTATTCTCTACTTATTCTCTTATTCCTCTTATATTCCCTTCTTATATCGGTTACTGTTTATCTCATTCTAGCTTGAATCCATATTTGTTGTCGTATTATCTGCAAGGGTACTGCTGGTGCTATACATGAGTAGCAAGATGGACCACGATCACGGCCATGGCGATATGGACATGGGGAACCAGTGCAGCATGAATGTCGGTTTCTTCTCTGTAGCATAATTATACCCCGGAAGAGCAAGCTGACAGTCGTTAGATGCTGTTCACCTTCTCCACGAAGAACCTATGCATCGTCTTCTCCCAATGGCGAATCACCGGGCCCTTCTCTCTGCTCCTATCCCTGGCTGCCGTCGTGCTCCTAGTCGCTGGCTACGAGGCCCTGCGAGAATTCACGCGCCGATATGAAATGTCTACTCTTCATTGCCAAAGGGACCTGCCCTCCGGTATGTACCTCCCGTTTCTTCCTCCCTTGCATGCCTTGTCCCTCCGATGTCGTACTACGTTTCGTCGTGTATGAACGGCCGATTTGACAATTCGCTCAATGAATTGGTACAAAAGACGCCGGGGCAGTTGAAGGTCCCAGACCGTCAGCGTTACCAAACAGGCACTACGAGACAGTCGTAAGTGATGAAGGTAGCTCACTGCTCTTCTCAGCCCGGACAGCAAGAGGAACCGCCGCGGATAGACAGGGGAAAGTCATCCGTGCTGCCCTATATGCGGCCCAGGTCTTTTACAGCTTCTTCATAATGTGAGTTGTCTCTTCCTCGTGTGTTGAGATCGAAGTCGTCTCATACCGTTTTTTTTAGGCTTCTTTTTATGACCTATAATGGCTGGGTGATGCTGGCCGTTGCTGCGGGGGCGTTTCTTGGATTCCTAATGTTCGGCGAGTCAACGGCGTCGAAGTCGGTTTCGTGTCACTAGCCATAGCTGGGGCGGGTATCTGGTATCGTTGTTATCTCGGGGAAGATGCATAGTAGCTTGCCCGAACTGTATATAGAGCTCTCTGGGCTACGGAAGTATGACTTAATTCAGGGCATGGCGTATGGGAGATAATGTATATTCATGATAACCGGAAAACCTACGGCACTTCAGCATCGCTCTCGTCACCAAATCCAAAGCTAAACCCTCCATCAGTAGAAACATTTGAACTTTTTACAACTTCTGCCCACTTCCGTTTCTTCTTTGCCTCTATTTCCAGCAATGCCTCCTCAAGCATATCCGGATACGTTTCTTTCATCCTCTGCACAAACAGCCCGTAAGGGTCTGCAATATCCTTACGGAATCCAGAAACCTGATCGGCCTTGTGCTTCATGAAATCCAACGCAGAGCGGAGGTGTCTGCGAGGGACAAAGTTCTGCGTAATAGCTACCGACTCCGATAGATTAACGACCAGATGCCACCAGCCGGAAGGGACGTGTAGGACCTCCCCTTCACCGCATATCCCTTCCAGGCATCCAGACGTATTCCGCGCTTCCTCATGGAAATTCAGCAGCCACTCGGCAATGCTGAGAGGGGAGGTGACTTCAGACTGGTCTGCGGAAACGTATACACCCGGCGGAGGCGGAAGTGACGCCGAGCCAGGAAACATAATCCAATACTTGGAACCACGCAGAACCGCATTCCAGGCACTGGTAGCATTGGGATCCTTGTGGAAGGTACTCCCGCTCCTGGCAGGGCCGATAATCAGCCACTCCTTGTCAGGTCGCTGGGAGCCCAGCACGGCAAACAGATCAGCCCCGAAGCATGACGGTGGCCAAAACACAACACCACCCTCGTCCTTGTTCTCGCCGCCATCGGATAGCCCCATCTTCGAAACGAAGTTCTTATCGAATAGATAGAGCGGACTCTCATCCGAGTTATTGTGCATGTAGTCAACATATGTCTTGAACGGCCAGTCGACCGCCTCTGCCCGGAAAAGGGTTTCCGCATGCTTATCCAATATGCATTCGACAGACCAGGATTTGAACGCCGGCCACTCCTTGACTGGCTGAGTAAGGATAAACGGCCGATCAGCCCATGACTCGTCGAACTCGGCCTGCGTCAAATTATCCAACCGCGGTATCTGGTTCCTTGCCGGTATGCTCGAGTACATCGGCAGAGGGAGATGCGAGCACTGAAACGGTCTATGAAGCGTATCCGAGAACAGCTGCGAGCAATCGGGCGAGGCAACCTTTGACGGCGGCAGATTCAAGTACGTCGAATGCCAGTCGCCGTGCCACGAAAACTCCGACGGTAGCGCTCTACAGAGAAGATTAACCATCGTATCATGAAAGTGGTGTAAAAGAGAATGAGCTTACCGTATAAACAGGGCCTTCCACAGCTCCTCTGCCCGCGTGAACGCATAGAGAGCCCTGCAGGCCGCACCCAGACATCTCAGCGTAGACGCATCAAACGACTCTAGCAGTATCAGTATCAGCTCGTCCGGCAGCAGAGCAAAGCCGCCCATCGCCGGCCGGATGTCCCATGACGCCGTCAGACCGTTGCCAGCAGGCTTCACTCCGAGTGGATGGGCCGGGATAGCATCTTCATCAGGCGAGGGCTTCTCATCGTTGGCCGGTAACAACTCGGCGGGCTCGAGACTGAGCCGCACCGCCGCCCTGTCACCCAATTCGCATCCTGTTGTGTAATTTCTCATCTGTATTAGCCTTGTTAGCTGTAGCGTATACGTGAGGCATGAAGATACGACGCTGGCTCCCTCGAGGCATACTCGTTGTGTGCCTTTTGCTGTGTATATTTTTTTATATTTCTTCAACGCCCCACCGATAGCTTATCTCCAACCTGGTATACCACTACTAGACAACACGCAGATATAAGATATACATAGATAATAAAGTAGATGCATAGAATGAAAGCCTGAGGCCAGAAGACCCGATTCATGCATCCGGCGACGAAGACGAAGGCTCTTCTGAATGGCCGGCGTGGGGGCGGTTTTTCACTGGCTGGGCCACAAATCCCGCTAGCAGCTCAAAATTTCCACGGTCTTTTTTCTGCCCCCCAAAAGACACTAAAAAACGACAAACTGCGAGGTGAAAAAAAAACTCTTCCTCTCCAACTTCAAACACACCACACCAACAACTGCTCACACACCAGAACACACTCACTCTCCTAGATCCAGACGTGCTTTTAACTAAGCACAGGCTCTAGTTAGATACTCAGCAGCTCTCCAGGCCTCTCTGCCCAGTCGTCTCGACCCCTCCGCTCGCAGTTGACCACAGACATCCAGGTCGTGGTCACTCTATCTCAAATACACAATCATGGCTGACAAAGGTCTTGAGGAGATCCCTGATGGTAAGCTGCTCTCTACCTCTCTGCTGCTGGCTCTTTTTATCTCTGCTGGTGGTTGTTCTGCCGGGCCTGTCCTATCTTGATGCGACTGGGAGTGTCCGGCTGTGGCAACCATCTTTTCAGCCCAGCAGCGGTGAAAATTTCGTCTCGGTTGAAGATCAAGTGCTAACTCTTCCTCCACAGGTCAGATCGAGTCCAACTATGACGAAGTCACAGATTCCTTCGATGCTATGAACCTCAACCCCGAGTTGCTTCGAGGTACGAGCTGAAAAAAAAGTTGTCCCGCGCGGGGCGGAGGGATGGTCAGGAGAGCCGCACTAACAATCGTCATACAGGTGTCTATGCATACGGTTTCGAGCGCCCGTCTGCTATCCAGCAGCGTGCTATTATGCCAGTCATCAAGGGTATGTCGCACTTCCTCGCTACTCTACCAAACATATATATGTTGGCTAATGCGCCTATGTCCTCCAGGCTCCGATGTCATCGCCCAGGCCCAGTCCGGAACTGGAAAGACTGCCACTTTCTCCATCTCTGCCCTGCAGAAGGTCGATACCAACCTCAAGGCTTGCCAGGCCCTCATTCTCGCCCCAACCCGTGAGTTGGCCCAGCAGATCCAGAAGGTCGTCGTCGCCATCGGTGACTTCATGAGCGTCGACTGCCACGCCTGTATCGGTGGAACCAACGTCCGTGAGGACATGAAGGCTCTTCAGGACGGCCCACAGGTCGTTGTCGGTACCCCCGGCCGTGTCCACGACATGATCCAGCGTCGTGTCCTCAAGACCGACCACATCAAGATGTTCGTCCTCGACGAGGCCGATGAGATGCTTTCTGTGCGTATATACCCTCCCTCTCTCTATCTATATATGTACTAACCTCTATATTAGCGCGGTTTCACTGAACAAATCTACGACATCTTCCAATTCTTGTCTCAATCCACCCAGGTTGTCCTTCTCTCTGCTACTATGCCACCAGATGTTTTGGAGGTCACCACCAAGTTCATGCGTGACCCCGTCCGTATCTTGGTCAAGAAGGCCGAACTTACCCTCGAAGGTATCAAGCAGTTCTACATCGCCGTTGAGAAGGAAGAATGGAAGTTGGACACCCTCTCCGATTTGTACGAGACTGTCACCATCACCCAGGCCGTCATCTTCTGCAACACCCGCCGGAAGGTCGACTGGCTCACCGACAAGCTCCAGGCCCGTGACTTCACTGTCTCTGCCATGCACGGAGACATGGAGCAGGCCCAGCGTGATGTTATCATGAAGGAGTTCCGTTCCGGATCTTCTCGTGTCCTCATCGCCACTGATCTTCTTGCTCGTGGTATTGACGTCCAGCAGGTCTCTTTGGTCATCAACTACGACCTTCCTGCCAACCGTGAGAACTACATCCATCGTATCGGTCGTGGTGGTCGTTTCGGTCGTAAGGGTGTTGCCATCAACTTCGTCACCGCCGATGATGTCCGCATGATGAGAGAGATCGAGCAGTTCTACAGCACTCAAATCGAGGAGATGCCCATGAACGTTGCTGGTAAGCAATTCTCCCTTCCCTCGCCTCCAAATCCACGTCATTTAACTAACAAATACTTTCAACAGATCTCATCTAATCACCTTATCGTTGGCATACCCTCGGAACTTCCATTTCTTTGATCTTTAGAGTCGTAATTATGCCCATCTCTTATTTACGGAAACTCCGACGAATGATGTCATTGTTCTTGACGGCCTTTTGAATCTGAATAACGGGTACTACTGGCAGTCATGTTTTCAGCTCGAAAAGTTTCATTGCTTTCAAAAAATTCCTTCATGGCTTGATGATTCTCTGGGGTGGCTTTCGATAGAAAGGGGTGGCGGAATATGTCTGTTAATGTATCCCGATCCAACTCCTTTGTCTCGAGGGCGTCACCCATGTCTCATTTGTGTGTTATTCCTTTTCAAAATGCCAGTCCTATTCCCATTTCTTGCCTCTATCCCGTATCACTCACTCTTTTCCTTTCCCTGACTCCCCCCCTTTTCTTTATGTATCTGATATTTGTCCTGCTTCTTTCTCCTTGCATCCGGCACGATTCTTCTCGCCTATTCGGTTAAGCCATACTTAATCGTATATCATCAGGAGGGACGGAGCTTGATGTGGGCATGTGGACTTACCCCAGTGCTCGTGAGGATATCTTTTGCTCTTTTTTTCTTTATTTTTTAATATGGCGCTTTCCTGATTAGTTATGATCATCACGGCAAATTGGGATTCATGAGATGAGCAAAAGATACCAGACACGAGGCTGCTGGCCATGCAAATGTTTTTAGCTGAAAAAGAAAAAAAAGAACTATCAACAAAAAAAAGGGGGAGAACCTGAAATTACTTGAGATGATTGATGTGGTACCCTATGGTGTCTCGGTTTCTTTTGCTTGTTGATTCCCCCCTTGCCAAATACATGTTGCATCTTCTGCGTTCTGTTATAGATAGAGCTAAATGGGACTTCACCTTAAAAACTTCTACTTCTCCCTTCGTTTATGCATTTATACCTAGGCCATTGCCATAGTTCGTTGTGCAATTGCGGCCAAGAAGGGTTATAGGCTCGCTCATGTGACGGTCTCGAGTGCCCTTGTCTACCCCCTTTCCCTTGGTTAATACAACCAGACTCTATAGATACCCCGTTCATCGCAGAAAGCCGTCAACGATATACCTATACACGAGGAATCATGTCATCTCAAGGCAGACAGCCCAGCTCTCTCCAACAAAATACCCATTCTAAGGAGGGCCCCAAGCAACCCAGCACATCATCACCAGCTTCGCTCCTTTGGGCCCATCAACTCCACCGCGAACAAAACGCGCTCTCCTCTCAGCTATCCAAGCTCGAGTCATCGCTAATCAGCTCAATTACAGCCAGCAATGAGTCCACACTTTTAAAAATAGATGCATTCACCGGACAACTTGACTGTTTGAGAGATGAGGTCGAAAGATTGAGACATGATATAGCTCTAGATTCCGAGAAAACGGCGAGATCTCAGGATAGGAAATGGAATGAGAAGTTCGATGGTATTAGCGAGAGACTGAAAGCTGGGTTTGAGAAAGATCATGAGATCACTGGGGAGATGGTTCGGAGGGAGCTTGGGGTATTTAAGAGCGAGATAACCGATATCATTCAAAGGTCAAGGTCTGCAGGTAAGCTTCTGTTTGTGAGAGTGTCTAAGCAGCCATTAACTCCGTCGGTATTGATACGGCTATTCAGCTGACAATGTTATATAGAAGCAAAGCAACAAACCCCTGATATTCCAAGGCCAAGGCATAAGGTGCCATCTCCAATTCCGAAAGCATCTCCAAGTCACCCAGTAACGATGCCTGTGCCGGTAGCTTCAGATACGCTATCCCATATAGAAGAACCGCCGGCGGTTGTCTGGCAGGACAATATATGTTCATTGTCAACACGCTGCGACACGTCACTCGAGAACTCAGTTGCCCGAGGTACCAGTCCAACCGGTATCGAAACAACTGAATATACCAGCCGCTCAAAGCATATGAGGTCAAAGAACAAGCAGCTAAAACCCCCGGAACTGATAATGCAAGGACACAATCCATTATCCAATTTCCTGGAACTAGGAGCAGTATATATTTCCCAGGGACACAAGGAGAGCTGCGTAGTGCAAGCTCTATGGAAAGGGCTGAATGACCTTGACTTGCGAAGACATGTTGCAAAGGAGATGCCTGCTGACTTTGACCAATGGACCTGCAACCAGTTCAGCAACGTGGTTAGAGAGATTGAGACGCAGAAAGAGGAAATGAATAAGGATGCAGGAAAGATCAAGGCAAAGACGGCTGATGGTAGAAAGAAAAAAAGGCGTCGAGTCATTTCTGTGGTTTGGCCGGTGGAGGAGAATGAGGAAGAGGGCTAACCAGGTGAAAGTTGAGACATGGTGTCCAGAATATCTGATAAATTGAGTAAAATCTAACCTGGTAGTCTAACCTGTCCTGATTTAGATAGCAGTCAAATGGCAAAATGAATAAACAGACCCCAAAGGGAGCCATAGGTATATACCGCATCCCTAATTAATTTTCAGCAAACTCATATCTCCCTTCACGGTCTTTGACCATGACTTCTAGCCGTCCTTCTTCGATTTCCTTCCCATCAACTCGTACACCAGCAGTCATGACTTGGCCGTCCGTGACCTCTCCTACACCCTTGGGTGTACCGGTCAAAACTAAATCACCGGGATCTAGAGTCATCACCCTTGAGATATCTGCTAGCTGACGCGGGATTCGATAGATCATAAGTCCGGTGTTGTCCAATTGCTTGGAGACTCCATCAACTTCAAGATGGAGAGTGGCATTGTGCGGGTCTGGGATCGAAGATTTAGAGATGAGCGAACTGATAGGTGAGAAAGTATCGAAGCCTTTCGCAATTGACCAAGGAAGACCGGCGCGTTTAGCGGAGTCTTGGACATTCCGGGCAGTCATATCAATTGCAACGACGTAACCTGTAAATAAGTCGTGATAAGCGTTCATCCCGGTAGCCAGGTAAATTATGATTGCGACAATCTTGGTAGATTAAAGCAGCCATTATGACCGCGCTCTGCGAGTTTATCCAGCTATAGATCCCGCTCCTTACCTGCAATCGAGTCCAAAGCGCCCTTGATATCGTTTGGGCCATGATCCCGCAGCCTGGAGCCCATTATTAACCCCAATTCGACCTCATAATGCAGCTTGACGCCCTTCGGTCTCAAAACAGGTCCAGCTCCCGGGATAAGGATTGACGAAGGAGGCTTCAGGAAGAAGAAAGGCTGCTTCGGCTTGGAGTTCTTCAATTCGGCGATATGGTCCCTAGAGCAAGAAGCATTGTGTTAACCGCTGCGACGGAGATCAAGGTTATACAGGTAAAACATACGCATAGTTCCGGCCAATGCACACGACCTTTCTACAGTTAGCTCTGATAGAAGCCATGATTGTTGAATTGACTTGGCTGTTTGTTAGAACGACGCTGGCTTATCCCGAAACCCAGGGAACATAATGCCGAGGCCAAGGAATCTGCGTATGGCGGGGGATGGTTGTTCCGTTTTAGTTGGTAAGGTTGACTGAGGATATAACAACATCTGTCTGTCAATCTAACAAGAGACAGATTAAATGGATGAAGAGTATTTGCCATGATGCAGGTCGCTGGTGTGCTTTCTGATCTTGCCTCCCTGAGAGCTTGCGTACGTGTTGCCTGTTCCTAAGTTAATATAAATAACCACGCTATTGACCAACTGCGCATTAACATAAATCTCCATGTATAGGATCAATCAGACGCGCTCTCTTTGGTCAGCATACATAAAACTGTGCAGTGCTCCAAGTCAGCATCGTCTCAACTGGCAGACTCCAAATCCGGGCAAAGTCATGGGCAGTCTCAGAACCAGGACGTGCAGCGGGCAACGGAACTTATTGAGCTGCACAAGAGCATGAAGGAGCATCATATCTACCAGAACGGCGGAGTAGACCCTGGCCTCCGCCAGGCAAGGATGGACGTGGAGGGAGTGCTGAAGAAACTGAATCGGTCATGATATATGGGCGTTAGGAACAGAAATCTTCCACGGTTAATGATAATAGATAGCGCATGGCAGATAGCGGCATTCATGGATCGATATTCTACCTACGAGAAGGCTATATCATACTTCACCCCTTTGATATCCTAATGGCTAAATGGAGTCAGACCCCATATGTACGCTGGCCCATAAATTTCCATCGAATGCTACCTGCACAGCATCTTCGTATGTGGATTGTATAGATAGGGGTACAGATCCTATATCTGACCACTATTGAGCTTCCAATTACAGAAAGGGGGCTTTCGCTTCCTCTGTCCACTCAGTAATCTCAGTCTCATAGCCTGCCGCGCTATCATTCTAAAGTGCCATACATTATTTACACGAACGCACCATCCAAGGCGCGGAGTATGCGGGTGTTTAAAAAGTCACTCACTGTCAGCACAAGAACCGGGTATATAATTATAACATTTAAACGTTACATGATCGTCTAGCGGTAGACAAAAACCATTGCTGTTGATGGCTCGAGCCGGCGCTGTTTCTTATTTTTGAGTGTCTTGTATGAGACATACACTCCAGAAGCGGTTGCAATAAATCCCAATACACCAACGACTATACCCGCAATATCCCCAGCCCCCGATTTATTACCCGCTCCCGAAGTCTTGCTAGTATTGTCAGGTGGACTAGATTGATTCGAAGGCTCGGTAGGGGGTGTAGTCCGAGTTGGGGTATGACTAGCTAATAGGATATCAATTAGATATTATTTTTAGTTAACTCTTAGGCAAAAAGAATGGATATGAATAAAAATAGTTCAGCGATCAGAAAGGAGAACCTATTAGTTTAACCATAAGAGAAGTAAATGTAGTGAATATTCTTCGAGAAACAAGTATATCTGCCTCACCGGTTGTTCTATGTGCTGAAGGCTCACTCAAACTTGAATATCCTGCACTGGCGCAGTAATTTGTATAGATACCAACTGCCTGAGTAATATCGACTGCATTGCTTGAACAATCCTTGTTCACGCAGGATGAGAGGTAGGATGTAGCCATGGCCTCTAAGTCTGTTCGGCAGAAACAGTCGTTCATTATAGGGACAGGACAGCTCAGTTGAGACGCAATCAGGCGCCCAGGTTTATCACCTTCACCATCCACCAGCCGCCCAGGATTACCACCGATTTGAACACAGCCACGGGCACATTCGCGCAGTTTGCCATACTCTAATGCTTGATCAATTGACACTGGAGCATCGGAACGGACCGATGTACCAAGCAATAACATTGCGAGAGGGTAGGATATAACTGGAGAGCGCATGTTGGGTAAGCCAGGACAGAGCTGTCACCTGGACTGCGTACAAGCTCAGGGCGGCTGACTGCCGTATATATAGTATATTAAGCCACAGGACGGGCCCAGTTGACCGGCAGATGTACTAAATATAAACAATTATTCCGTTTCAATATTGAGTATGTACTCAGCAGTATATACCCCGTATGTCCATTTCGTATGTCCATTTCGTATACCCATAAGCTTATATCTTTTCTGTCCACGAGGCTGCGACGCCGTGTTTCTAGTGGTAATCATACATGCCAGAAACAGGGGCGGCACTGGGTATCTAACGCTGATCCCGTACATGGTGACGGACAAGTGCCATTCGAGATAGTGTTGCAGGCCCTCAACCTTGAGCCAGTCGGTCAAAGTGGGAGCCTCGAGTGCTTGCTCATCGAAATGCAGGGAGCACCCATGCTATTCTCAGCTCAGCCAGCTTTCAGATCCAATCATTGATACCTATATGGTTACTCAAGAGTCAGAATGGCTGAATGCAACCCAGCGACTAAACCTCGACATCGCTGCGTCGTTCGCAAGAATGAGATGTATATTGTTTCTGCGGGCGAGATGGCAATCCCACGCCATGGAGATTAAATAAGCTCTCCACTGCATCATTAGAGACCGCCCTGCGCAGACTTCTCGAGACAGTCGAACTGGTGTCTTTCAGCGTCCTTCATCAGGCTGCTTCGAGTTTCCCAAACGCCATGAGCTACTTAGACGGTCAGCTGCGCCGCATAAAGCCGAATAGCTGCAAGCTAAACAACATAAAGACAGAACCCTTGGACTATCTTTGTAGAGAGCTTGAGGTAGAAGTACCATATTTCATGATGGAGTTGAGTTCGACGCGCGCGTTAATTGAAGTCTCCGGGTTTTTGTTTCTCCGCCCGCGTTCTCGTGTGAGCTCAAAAACGCCGCGAAAGCCGCAAAAGAAAGAATGTTTAGATGACGAGAAGGTGAACTGAGATCCGGCTTTGCTCACTCCAGCTTCGTGGATACCGGCAGCCATTCGACATCTCCCATTGCGTGCATATCCGGGAACCCGACATTACCGCGATCATGGACGCCAAACTGCTCAAGTCGACCAAGTTTCCGCCCGAGTTCGCAAAAAAGGTGGACATGACCAAGGTCAATATTGAAGTGATGAAGAAGTGAGTGCTCGGAGGAGCTGCCATATCCTAACTAATGCTGACAGCTTGTGCTCCGGTCTAGATGGATTGCGGAAAAGATCTCGGTTATACTGGGAAACGAAGACGATGTTGTTATTGAATTATGCTTCAACTTACTCGAGGGCTCACGCTTTGTATGTTGTTTCTATATCTGTGTCGCTGCTATTGAGAGAGTCGCGTGGGCTAATATGTTCTATACCTTGCAGCCAAACATAAAGCATCTACAGATTAACCTTACCGGGTTTTTGGAAAAGGACACTGCGAAATTCTGCAAGGACCTTTGGAATCTATGTCTGAGCGCGCAAGATAGCCCTCAAGGTGTACCTAAGGAGCTACTTGAGGCAAAAAAGCTTGAATTGCTGCAGGAACAAGTTAGTTTTCAGATACATGGTAATCTTTATGCTTGCAGCTAACTTTAGTCAAGGCCGCCGCAGAGGAAGCACGTCGCCGCGAAGAAGCCGAACAGGCAAGGGAGCGAGACTTGGAGAGGATTCGACAACGGGAAAGAGACACTCGCGGCCGCGGAAGAAGAGGTCGTGGTGGGCCGTCACGAGGCATGGATCGTTATGACATGCGAGACTCACCTTCACCTCCTAGGAGGAGACGCAGCCCGCCCGATTATCGTGATGTACCCTCCCGCCGAGGTGCCGATATATACGTACCCGGCGGCGGTAGAGGCCATCGACGAGATGATAATAGAGGGCGCCGACTGTCAAGACAATCATCCAGTTCGCTCTCCCGGTCACCATCACGTTCTATTACGCCGCCCCGTGAGCGTCGGCGCGATAGGAGATCCCCGGAAAGACGAAGACGACGATCACTCAGTACCTCACGCTCACCGTATAGGCGCGACCGTGGCCGGAAAAGAGCCCGGAGCCCTATCCGTGACGACTCGAAGTCTCCATCCCGCTCGCCTTCCAGGAGAAGACGTAGAAGATCGCGAAGCGAAAGCTCCTCGTCTCCGCCACGTAACCGCAACTCGAAAGCTCGCCGCGCATCCTCATCACGATCTCTCTCGAGGTCAAGTAGTCAGGGTGATCGGAGAAGCCGACGCCCTCGGAGGAGATCCCCATCATATCAAGCAGGGCCTAGACGGGATGAACCCAGAGCTGATATTCCTAAAGATCGCAGAAGTCATGACGACCGCCGGCTAAGCCGAAGCCGAAGCCGAAGCCGCGGAAGAAATCGCCAGAGAAACTACTCGACCAGCAGCAGGTCGTCTGCAAACAGCTCGCGCAGCCGAAGTCGAAGCCGCAGCAGGGGTGATCGGAAGAGACATCAATCTATCGAAAGATATGCCCCAGCTGGGCGCAGATTGCGCAAAGATACTTCAATCCCCCCTCCCGCGCAAAAACGACAGAAGATAGCTGATTCAGAAGGAGAAACGGCCAGAAGTTCCCCTCAACCCGCCCAAGATAAAGCTACTAAAGATAATGACACACCGGATAGGCCTTCAGCTACTGACGAGGTGGGTCGATGAACATGTTGGTACTTTTTTTTCAAGTTTGTCGACAACGCTCCAGTGCATTTCAGAGTTATAATTCTCCATTCAAAAGGCTGACTGTCTGCGCTGGTAGCACCCACCACGGTCATCCAAATCACGTCTTACCTCGACCCAGCTTCAGGAACGGCTTCTCAAAGAGAAAGTGATAGCCCTCCGTCGATCGAGCGCAGAGAAAGCTGCAGTTAAATCGTCCTAGGTTCGAGCACAGGAAGGTAGTGTTTGGTCAGTCACTCTCTCGATCACACTGGCTAGAGCCCTTCTTTTCTTCGTGGCTAAAGCTTTGCTTGTGTTGTATCCTTCCCATTGAATCCTCCTTTTATCACTATCATCCGGGGGTATAGGACGATACTATGGACTCTTGGCGGCATGAGCTTATCTCTTATACGATATAATACCAACCGAAATAAATATTCCATATCACTCCTCATCTTGCTCTGTAATCGCGTTGAGTCGTATATCTTTAATTGCTGATTCGTCTGATATTGAGAAGTTGAGGTTGTGGTTGCCGTGGAAACGTTTCGTTTACCGTAGCTCACGTGGTAACCTCGACATCAACTTCAAAAATGCAGGATTTTGACCCTTGAACCACGTCGAAACGGTGTTAAGAGACGATAACGACGGCGACTTTCTTACAGAGTGTCAATCGATGAATATCAGCACAATCTATATCTCTTGCCATGGCTTCTCCGACCCCATTACCGACGGGTCACCGCAGATTCGTTCCCAGTTCACGCGTCGCATATCAACAACCGGCCTATGAGACCACATCTCAATCGCATTACAATTCGGAACTTCCTAGCATGATTTATTCAAAAGCAGAGGCGAAATCTCGCACGGCGCATGCAGATACTATCCCTCTTGCTGACAGTTCCGACGATGAAGCCCCAGAACCCATCGCGTTCAGCAAGTCCGTACTAGCTATACTTACGGATTCCCTACCTCAAGAAAAGCGAGAGGCGGCTGCCACATTACAGAACGGGTCATCAGGCAGGAAATGGGATGGAAATTCACCCCGCGGCAGTGAATCCTCGTCCTCTTCGCGAAAGGGCGGAAGTCGAGCAGAGTCATCCAATACTAGTAGAAATGATGGCACTGATGCTATTACCCCTGCCCCACGACAGCGCGTTGTCCGCATATCGCGGCCTCGATCCGGAAACCAAACACCCTCGCCCCCAAGAGCTTCGCCAGATCGCGAGGATAAATCTAAGGATGACAACCACCATGAATCATACTCTCCGTTTAGGCATAGAATGCCAACATCAAAAGAGGGTGCTACCTGCGAAAGAACTGGAGCAAGAAGCATGTTCAGACCAAGAAAAAGCGACGAGGTTATTGGAATGCAAAGCTCCATAAGGGTGAAGCGAGTTGGTAAACTTACTGGAGAATTTTTGAACGGTCCAGCCCGCAGGGGAATGCTACCTCGACGTAGCGAAGAGCAACAATACTATGAAAACGAAGAGCCCGTTAGCCCCTCAGATGCTGAAAAGGACGAAGAAGTACGACGCCGTACCCCTTCACTACCGACATATGAGCATTCTGCCAGGCTAGAAAGGCGCTCGCCCAGCGGATCAAACCATCGACAACTATCTCCAGTACGGGTCCGTACACCTCCACGCCAGCCACCTTACCACGATGAATCATACAGCAGAGAGAGCAAGTCGAAAGCTCCGCGTGTGTCAAGCCCAGTATATCCAACTCCAGGCATGGGAGCAATGTCTGGGTCCAATCCTAAGGAACTTGCTCCTCCAGCCGATATTCAAGCATACCATGTCCCTCCATTATCGCAATTTTCTGCGAGCCGTGACCAGGAAAACGAACCACCACCGACTTTCAAGAAATCTAAACCGCAAAGTTTCGATCTGCTCGATAGAGTCGACAAACATTCCCACCGACAAGACCAAAACCGGAATGCCCACAAATCTACTCCACAGGATTCTCACAGGAAACCACTGGGAAGCATGAGCACCAATGCTCCTACTCCGCACAGGGCCCCTCCACCGCCTCCAAAAATGACTGTTCTTGAAACAGCCACTGCAGCTGCAGGGGCATCATCATCCTCCAGCTCCCGAAGGAAAAAGGCGATCATTACCGTCAACAACAAAGCCTACACCCGATTGGATTGTATTGGTCGAGGAGGGAGTTCGAGAGTGTATAGAGTCATGGCCGAAAATTGCAAAATATTTGCCCTAAAAAAGGTGAACCTCGAGCATGTCGATCCCACCAATCTTGCTGGGTATAAAGGGGAAATCGACTTGCTCAAAAAATTAGAAAAGGTTGAGCGAGTAGTCCGACTCCTTGATCATGAAATAAACGATGAAAAGGAAACCCTTAGCGTTCTTATGGAAATGGGTGAATCTGACCTCCACACGGTGATAAGACTTAAAGTGAACGCCGAAGACTCGATATTCGACCCCTCCTTTGCGCGGTTTTACTGGAAGGAAATGCTTGAATGCGTACAGGCCGTCCATGAATACGACATCGTTCATGCCGACTTAAAACCAGCAAACTTCCTTCTCGTGAAAGGAAAGCTGAAACTAATTGATTTTGGAATTGCCGATACTATTGAGGATCATACCGTCAATGTCCATAGGGAACACCAAGTTGGCACCCCAAATTATATGGCTCCTGAAGCCATCATCGACTATAATGCCACTATCGGGCTCCCGTCATCGGCCGGAAAGATAATGAAGATAGGAAAACCTAGTGATGTATGGAGCTTGAGCTGCATCCTATACCAAATGGCATATGGCAGGGCTCCCTTTGGCCATCTAGCCAAACAAATGGAGCGTGTTTTATGCATTGCCAATCCAAAAGTGGCGATAGAATACCCGTCCACCGGTGTTGGCGGTGCCACAATCCCTCATAGCCTAATACGGACTCTTAAAAATTGCCTTCAAAGAGACCCCTCACTCCGCCCAACCACTACGCAACTGCTGAGTAGGTCGGATCAATTTATATATCCTCCTTCATATCCTGAAGGGGCAGTGCCTGTGACCCAGGAGGCCCTCGGAATGGCTATGACCAAGATAGTCAATCATTGTCGACTACACGGAGTTCCAAGGGATGAGGAAGTGGTAGGCTGGTCTGCTGGGCTCTTCCAGAAATTACAAGCCTCAGCTGAGCAAGGATACAACCTATAACATTCCCAGTGTTTACATGATTGATTGTTCCTGGAATATTCTTGGTGTTTAATGATGTTTGTTTGGGTCTGCAGACTTATGGCTTGATTTTTTGGAGTAGATGTTGGTGGTTTGGATTTACTATCTCGTTGGAGCATTGGTGACTTATCTTGTTTTACAGTTTTATATCCTCTCCGTTTTTGTCTTATTATTGGGAATTGCTTATACCAAAACGCCACCACGGACCTTTCATTTTAGCACCTAATAAGAAAACTGTATACCATCCGTCTCTCATTTCCTCAGGCATTAACATGCCTTCAGTGCGTAGCAGTCTTATCTACGTCACTGGCTTATTTGGTTGATCTGATAGGCTTGAATACGGGAGAAATACGCCCAATGACTTATGTTAATTCCATTTCGATAGGGAAATAAAAAAAATAATTCTCCAACGTAGGATATTGTACAGGGATGTGGAATAAAATACACAGTGCAGAAGAGGCTCAAAATCAGTATCCCCCCATCCTCAACACCTAATATCTAGCAAGAACAGCTGAAATAGCGATATAGAGCTCGGACGAGATATACTTATATAACCCAATCCAAATGCAAACGCTCATGACACAAAGGCATTTCACTCGACTATCTTAGCGCCCTCCGCAAGCAGCTCATCAACCTGCTTAACCTTGACATCCACCACCTTCAAAATCGTAAACTTGTGTTTGCTCTTAACTCTTCGTACGTGTCTCTGTCTCCTCTTGGTCTTCTCCTTGATCCGTATTGGTTCGGCCTCTACCCCCAATACTCGCACTCGGCATTCAAAGAGCCTTTCGTCAAGATACGGTGCCCCCTTCAACGTAAAGTCTCGCGAGCCGATATTCGATGCTCGGTTTAAACGGAGGACGTCGCCTGCCTGGACATTTGGCATGCGGAAGGGTAGTCGAAGCGTGTCACCGGCTGTGAGCAGGTAGGGTCGCGCGTGTAGGTGAGCGGTTATATAATGTGAAGGTTGGGTTGCAAGGTCTGGTAGAAGGGTCGTGATTGCGGGCGTGAGTTCTAGCGGGCTCGTAAATGTAGGCGGCACAGCTGATCTCGCTACTGGGATCGTGGTTGGAAACACTTCCGGAATTGAGCCTGGTGGGAGGTGAGAAAACGGCTCAGGGACTTCTGCCTCTTCCTGGGGAGGTATTTCGGGTTGTGTAGCTTTGAATTGAGCTCCTGCTATAGCTTGATGCAAACATGCTCGACTTCCGGCAAAAAAAGCCGGTGAACTTGTAGGAATATATGAGACTGCCCTCAATTCCCGGGCATTCCGGAAAACAGCCCTTGAAAACATCGTGAAAGGGTAAAGGAGCCTGGCGTGGAGGTTCAATTGAGACCGCTCGCTCTCTCTCTTCTCTTGCGCTCGTTCAATCTTCGAAGTTGAGAAATTTCACAAAGCATCTAAGTCATGTGATCTGGTATTTAACTCACGTGGTATATCAGCTTATCGGTGGAAAAAACATTGATGAGAATTTATGAGAGGGCGAGGAAGCAGACACACAGCGGCAACAGGGAGTCAAGATGGTAAGTTGGTGTTCATTCTGCCTGTTATATGCTTTGCGCTTTTAATACAAATTGCTAACTTGGGATAATAGCCGCAAAACGAGTTTGTCACCCACGCTCCGTCCTTTCCACAGCCATTTAGCTAATCAAAAATGCGGGCAGGTATATCGAGAGATGGACGAAGCAGCACGGGCGACGGTACGTATTGGATATTCTCTCCAATTTGGATTCTCCTTTCTCAGGTGGCCGGATATTGGAGTTGACGCTTTGAAATGCTGCAAAATGGAATTCCCGATTCTTGTGCTTTAGCTAACGTGAAGATGACAGCCTCGACCACGAGGAGCGCACCCGAAAGCGTATAGCCCGTGAATCGCACAAGCAGTCGCAGGACTCTCAAAATCTAAAGGGTCTACGAGCTAAGCTCTTCCACAAGAAACGCCATGCCGAAAAGATCCAGATGCGGAAACGCATCAAGGCCCAGGAAGAGCGGAATGTCAAGTCCTCGGGCGAGCCAAGCGAGCCATCCTCTACACCACTGCCAAATTATCTTCTCGACCGATCTCAGCCTACAAATGCGAAGGCTTTGTCCAGTGCTATCAAAGACAAGCGGGCTGAGAAGGCCGCCAAATTCTCTGTTCCCTTGCCCAAAGTTAAGGGTATCAGCGAAGAGGAGATGTTCAAAGTTGTCAAGACCGGCAAGAAAATTCAGAGGAAAGGGTGGAAGCGAATGGTCACCAAGCCCACCTTTGTTGGAGCTGATTTCACCCGTCGACCAGTCAAATATGAACGGTTTATCCGACCAATGGGTCTTCGATATAAGAAAGCCAACGTTACTCACCCAGAATTAGCGGTTACTGTGCAATTGCCTATAATTAGCGTGAAAAAGAACCCCCAAAGCCCTATGTATACACAACTAGGCGTTTTGACAAAAGGAACTATCATCGAAGTTAACGTGTCAGAATTGGGGCTCGTCACCACTGGTGGAAAGGTGGTATGGGGTAAATGGGCACAGATTACGAATAACTGTGAAAATGATGGGTGTGTTAATGCGTAAGTTCTATCCCTCCCCACATACCTAACACAGCGCATCGGCTAATGTGTTAAATAGTGTTCTTCTTGTTTGAAATACCCTGTTTTCGTTGTGGTGGTATCTCTCCCCACCCTCCCCGCGCCAGCAGTTGAGATCATGCCGAATTTCAATTTATATCCCCGGGCGTTCATGACGGCGAACTCGCGCCGCATTCTCGCGTAGTACAACCTTACCGGCAACAGATCAGGCAGAAGTAAAATCTCAAATCTTGAGTGAGACACGGGATGCGGGGGTCTGATAATTCTGTTATAGAATCTGGCGTTACGGAGAAAAGGCCCGGGTTGTTAGTAAAAGTCAAATCAGGATCGCAACCTAGAGTCAGCAGCAGATTTGATCAATCAATAGCAAGGATTTTTGATTTGCATACTGCTACATCCCTGCGAGCTCGCTTTTTTACTTAGATTCGAGTATTTATATCACAGTTCCAATATACCTGCCGGATCAAAACGATAACTCTATTGTCTATTACTTGCATATTGAGTAGAGTATACTTGATTGCTACTTTTCTATCTTTTGATGAAGGATGAGACATTGAACACATTTAACGAAAAGACAGAGGGCCAGCCCAAAAGCCCAGACGCCTAGATGCCCCGATTATATTAATAGACAAACAAGAAATTGATCGTTCACGGATCGTGACCTCCTCGTATACAGGGAGGGTAGCATCATAATGGAGCAATTAATCCACACCCAAAGGAATTTGGCATCAGACATGAATGTCGTAGCCGATTGAAGAAATTCTCAGCTCGGTCGAGGCTTCAGACGACCACAAGACTGGGCATGGTTGCGGTTGGTGCTCGCACTTGATGCAGATGCAGCTGGGGACACCAGCCCAGATATCGCAGATGAGGCACCAGGTCGAGGATTCGGTCCATTGAACCCCCGTCGGTGTTCGTACTCGTCAGAGCCGTAATAGTTATCACCAGAGTGCGGGTTACGGCCAGCTCCCACTGGCTGCTCGTAGAAATGGGCATGTCTGCTATCATGGCGATTCATCAAGCCCACACCCGGTGAGCGAGAGAAGGAAGACGAGCTGTTCATGAACTCTTGAAACTCCGGTTTACGCGGTTCATTTCGCAACAGCTTGGTCACCCCGTCGAGGCTATCTATAGCAAAGGTCAAAAATTCTGCATCTTTTCGGCTCACGCTCAATGTCCATCGATATTCACGTAGCCGGGCTCGGTAGAATTCTTCCTCCTCCTGTGTCTGTGCCGTCGTCCGCAGTAACACTCCAAATGCGCCAACGAGAGCGAAATTGGTGCTGGCAGCAGAAGGCCAGAATGCTCGCAAGTGAACAGGCCTCAGGCGGTTTACAAAATCCATGGCTGATATAAGACGGGTCTTAGCCGCTGACCGACAGATATGTGCGAGATAAGGGTCGGTGGTTTCTGGTGCTATAGACCGGATGATGCATCTGTGAAGGGTGATTTCGGTTGCGAAGTAGGCCAGGTGAAGTCCACCATTTGCTCCAGATCCCGCCACACAGTCGGAGTCTACTTTCAATTCGACGGGCAATTGGACAAACCAGTCCTTTAATTGGATTTGAAGCGGCTTTGCTTTTGATAAAATAAGATGGGTACGCTGTTCGCCAGCAGCAGAGAAATGTCGGGTGGCTTCGAGGGTATAAAACGATTCGATGATATCGGATAGAATTCTGGTCAGGGCAACGAACTGGCGGAAAAAGATGGGACCGAACTCAATGCCAGAGGGTGATGTAGGGGAAGGAAAAGGAACAGAAACATGAGAAGCAGCATGGGCTGCGGAACGTGTGGTATTATCAAAATCATCTATGGTCAAATCCATTACTGTCCAGTTGGACGAGAATATATGTGATGGTCGACCGTGCACCAAAGCACACCATTTATCTTGCATATATAAAGCCCACGCCAGTCGTTTCCTCAATCCCTTCTCCCAGAACTGCATCTGCCACTTGGAGCAGTCTTGGTGCAGGCCCAAATCGAATCCTGCTGTCACCAACTGGGCCATCAACCTTGGCGTGAAGAGAGAGGATTTCTGGGAGAGAAGCAGGCCGGCCTGGAGAGTGGGTAAGTCTGGTCTAGAAAGAGACTTGTTCAGATACTTAGAAACCAAAGCCTCGAGGCCAGCAGCATCTGGCGGGCGTAGCGTCTGTATTCCGGTTTCAGGTTCTAGCCATTTCAAGGCTACAAGGTACACCGTCCCTAGGAGAAGAGCCGAAATACCCTTCCGTGTTCTGTATGCACTTCGAAAACTGTCCTCGAGGATGATTGGGAACGTCGGGTGAAGATGTCGAAAATACTTGTCTACCAACGTCGGCCCAAAAGGGGTGACAAGATTTTCTACCGTTTCTAAGGAGACTGCAGAAGCATCAATCGCTGAAACATGTGTGTTTCTCGTACAGCCGCTCCCGCCTAACGAGCTTCGTATTCGAGCTGCGGCTATCTGGCTCTCGTCGTTCCAGTCCTGTGGGAGAAAGTCAAGAAATAGCGGCTCTAGCTCAGTGGCTATGCCGTTGTTACGGCAGGTTGGCGGTGTTTCCCGCGATGCATTAGTGTTGATAGAAGTCCGGCGTTGAGAGCCTGGCACGAACTCAGAGGAAGGGGATGAAAGGTCGTCCCTTGCTTGTCTATTAAATTGCAAATGCAATAGGTACTATATTAGCAACCAGTCTAAACCAGGCTACTCCTTTCTTTTCACGTCTAATGAGAGAAGGGGGGGAAATACAGAAAGAAATATTAAATGGGCAGCTACCTCTTTACAGGATCGATTACTCCTAGGTTGGAGCCATCATGCTTCCGCTTTCCTGCTTGGTTACTTATGTTGAATGTACATTCCTGACGATGGAAATCACACGAGTAACACTTGCTGGCGTTTTGTTTCATGGCACAACGGGTTTTTCTCTGGTAACAGGCATCGCATATAGTTGTGACGACATCGTTTGATGGGAAGGGGTCCGCCGGAGGCGAATTTGGGAGTGTGTTTGGTGGTTGAAGATGGGATGGAGGGCTTTCATCCGCTTGAGTAATGGGTATAGAGGATATGCGACTAATAGGATGATGTCGGGTTGATTGTTCCTGATGGTTTGTTGAGTTACCAGATCGAGGAATTCTGGGAGAATGGTGCTCGGGTTGCGGTCGAAACGACCGGGATAGACTGATGGTGGCAGCTGTGGCCATAGCAGGAAGGGTAAGGAGTGGTATTTATCGTCTATCTTGGTTATTTTTCGTCCCTAGGACCTTCACTAAGATAAATTTCCCTTTTTTCGTTCCAGTGTTCTAGTCTTCGTTGGTAGGGGTATATACTCTTTACAGAGACAATATCTTATGTTTGTTGAGGCAGAAGGAGATAGATACAAAGACGACCGAGCAACAGGCTTGAATGTTCCTGCTCAGCAAGATACGTTCCTAATGTCTTCAGTAGGGAGAACGAGGAATCAGTATTTGTCAGAATGTCCAATGAGTCCACTTTGATAAAGTATCTGAGATTGCATTAGTAGTATTCCTAGCCCGTTCTGGGAGGGTATTTGGAGAAGAGTGGCTCGGAGAGGAGAGAGAAAGAGAAGAGATGAAAAAGAGAGGAGAAAAGACGTTCAATTTCAAATCCTCCAAGCGTAAATAACTGGAGCAGAGCTTTTAAGCTTCCTTTGACACTATTCGCACGGGCTCCCAGCAAACAACTTTCTATATTACTATTATTAATGGGATCACAAAAATAGAGTTGAACGACATTATCCAGGACATAACAGGAAATATCTCCTAACGGCCCAAGCTTTTGCAGGTAGTTTCATAATGATTGATTCATTTAATTACCGGAGTTATGGCACAAAAGCGGTGCTGCAGGAGACAATACGGGGTACTGTGGTGTAGGCATGCCTGGGAATGTAACAGTTGTAATTCGAGTAGATAAGCATAACTGCTCCCATTGGATTACTTTCCTGCGCTAGCGACTAGGATGTCCCATCGTGCCAGTGAGCAGCGTGGGATTATCTAATTTTCGATACATAATAGCGCCCTTGGGCCCCTGCTGCCGAGGTATTTGCTGGCGGAGAAAGGCCGCCAGTGGTTTGAAGCTGTTTATAATCGCGAGAAATATTTCTTAGTCAGCATGGTTGATGTCCAATCAAAGTTGTCGGATAAGCTCAAAGGCTGCACACAGGCCACCCCTAAACCTTGAGGCTTAAATTTGATGCTATTCTTAGTATCAAGTGACGTAATGGCCGGTCAACCAGCTACTGTTTCTTTTGGATGCCGAAGGCTGGCACAGAACCACATTGTTATTATATACTCTAAAGGAGATAAATGCAGAAGAAGCAAGCGAATTAGAGGGACCGACGAAATGCACAAATTTAGGTGGGGGAAGAAGTAGAATAAGAGGAAGAGGAAGAATAGACCCTATACGTTGCATACGTCCATTTCAGTGTGGGAGGGCTATCCTGGTTAGCTATCTAGCGTTAATAACCGCCGGCCTTTCCCTTGGTACAGGACTCATATGTCTTCCACTCTCCGTATGTAGGGAAGTTGTCTAGGTCACCCTTAGCCAACGGCTTAACGTCACGTTTGGCAACACGGATCTCCAGGCCATGGCCGCCATTGGACTTGGCAACGTCCTCGGTTGGGATCACGGCACCGGCTTGGTCCTGGATTTTCCAGGTGAGGAATTTGGTGAGGACGGGAACAACGATATGTTCGTCCAATCCGAGGATGGTGCTAGTGGACAGCAAGGCAGCAAGGGCGGGCGAGAGCGGAATCTCACCACAGACGATGCTAGGGTCCGCCATACCCATTCCATGAACGAATGTTCCGTAAGATCCGACCAAGTTGGGGGCATATCTCCAGGTGCTCGAGTCCTTTGGTGCGTCTCCCATGAAGAAGTGGATGCTGAAGGGTCTGGCCACGGCGGCTCTGTTGATTTCATGTTAGAATACTTTCATCCCACTAGTCACCTCTTTTTATCATCCTCGTATAACTTACTTGTTGACCCTGATTTTGATAACCCACTGTTTCTTCATGTTGTTAATACCCCATTCATCGAACTTTTCCAAACTTTTACCAATGGAGTCTCCGATCGCATCGATCATGTTAAAGGCATTGTCCAGTATATTATCAACGTCTGGCGTAGTGTGACCATGACTGTAGTTTTCGCCTTCGCCGTAACCTTCAGATCTGTGGGCATGGGAGTGTCTTGATGCTCGCTTCGCAACATTGTTGCTAGAGTCAACTCTGTTGGTTGGGTTGTATAGAGCATTAACATTTCGTCGGACGTTAGCCTGGAGCTGTTGTTTGCTGACACCCCAGTCTTCAATTTCGGGGTAAGTGTATCCGAAGGTTCGGGTATATCGTGCTGAGTTTGCGGTGTAGTAGGTATTATCATTTGCGTGGAATGGGTATAATGCTGCACATTAGTAGAATTTAGTATTGAGCATCACATCTCCTATTAGTGATAAAAAGGTACTTACGTGAGTTACCGTCTTCAATGGTGCCTGGTTGAGTGACGTAGCCTCCACCACGGTTTGGTACAGGCTTAACGTATGAATCAGGATTGATAGCTTGCCATAGGGCAATCAAGCGGTCGACATTTCTTTTCAAAGTTAGCTTTCAAGTCTGGCTTAGTACTGGTAATAAGTGAAGCACTCACGCATGATGAAGCCAGAAAATCGGGTCATATGCAGACCATGGGATGTAAGTCATATGTCCCTCTCCTCCTACCAAGCTGTGGACGTATCCGTGGACGGTCTCAACGTTGTTGTAACCTTCCTTGTTTGGCAATGCCTGGGTTGAGAAGGTGCTGTAGTCCTTTTCACCAGAGAGAAGCTGGTACACACTTGATCTGAGTCTATATAGAACGAAATAGCAACTGTTAGCAAAACACTATCAGTAGGCGAATTGGGTCTCCTTACGATGCACCGTTGGATCTCATAGCTCTTATGGCCCTGTTATTCTGAGACTCTCCTCGAGAATCGGGGTATCGAGTAGAATGCGACAAAGATGTGAACTGCAACCATTATTAGCAACGTTAGTACATAATTTAGGTTAATGGTCAATGCGAAACGTACCGAGTCACCGGCCGGGAAACCCTTTTGGACAGATGGATCAAATTTGTACTGGTATAGGGGGCTGTCGACACTCTGCATGCCTGTAGGAGTGTTGATGTTGATTTTCGCGGAGGACATAGAACGGGGAATATCGGGGTTGCTTGCCCAATCCCAGTATGGGATTCGAAGGGTCTTCGCAGCGGCGACGTATTTGGCACGGACATTCGCAGGGTAAGTGGCGGCAATTCTCTGTGCATGTGTCCAGATCATTTCCTAATATTCAATCTATGAGCCTTAATACATTAAGGTTATTCTGCACGGTTCAATTCCACTAACCTCATGAATAGCAAGATAGGGTCTGTGCCAGAGAGGGAACAGGGTTGAGTCGTGCAAACAGTATCCCTGCTGCCTGGAGGATTGCATACCGCCGTCCCATGGTCCATATGGCAACCCGTGGACACCTGTATGGATTTGAAAATATGTTAGCAGCCGAAAGAACGACGGGGGCGCTCTTGGCTAGGCCACCTACTGGCGATGGAAAAGTGGCTGCGAATATCCTTCTGATCACTGTACTGGAATGCACGGAGAGCTTGGATATAGAGATCGAAACCAGGACCAGAGAACTCCCAGGTCGCAAGGTTTTGACGCGCCGGTCTTTGACCAGTCCTCTGGTCAACTCCAGCCTGAACACCCCTAATTGAGACAGTTGCGAAAGCTGGAAGTGCTGTGCATAGCAAGAAGTAGAGGACAGTAAGTCCTCTCCATAGAGAACCCGCCATTTGAACGGATTATTCCCCCCTTAGGAGTGAGGTGATCTCAACCAAATAATAACCAATGAATGAAGGAACTCAAAACAGTAATTAAATAATATATATATATAGAAAGGGTAACGAGTGAGGTAAATGTGGAAGAGAATATGATTCAAGGAGAGAGAGAAGGAAAGTAATTTGCTATATAAACGAGGGAAAGCAGGGAGACGAAGAAGGAACAGAGATGAAAGGGAGCAAGTCCGTGCAAGACGAAGTGCAATGGTCTCGACTAGCCCGTAGATTTCGGAGACCTAGCTCCAGTGTTGAGCCAAGGAGAACGGTATCTGCGTTGGGGCTTAAAAATTAAGACATTCGATTTGGGGCGTTAGCGATATGTGATAATTGCGGGTAGTATCCTGCTGCAAGGACTCTAAAAATAATACCCCTTATGGACAGGACGCGCTGCGTTCAAGGATCGCCGTGGCGGCAAGGTACATGCAATGTACTTCGTACTATGTGACTAGTATTCGTTTAGCGACCCAGGGCCGTGGAGAAAAAGAGCTGTCAGGGAGCGAATTAACTCTCTTATGTTTTCCGGAATTGGATCTTTGCAACTCACTTTCATATTACCACCATTTAACTGGAGTACGCTGTGCCTTGCTTTTTCCCCCTCCCTCAAAACGTATTGACAACCAGGCCAGGGTTGCTTTGTACTGGGAATGGGCCCAAACCGTCCAACTCGTATCCTGTGCCAATTCTGAGACCGCTACCAGTACTCCATCTCCTCAGTAGTACTCCGTACATCCGAATAGTCGAAGCTGGGTACGGGGTATATCCAAGGGTGATGACAACAAGATGGAGATTCCAACCTTGCTAGTAAACAAGCCTTCTTTAATCTGTTCGACCCGCTGACAATGCCCACCAAATTTCCCCGCTAGGGGGTCAAGGGCCACGAAGTCCCAAGATCGGTGAATGTAATCTAATACTACCCCTGTTCTAGCGCCGCCGGCTGTAGATGTGGGAAGGTTTCACGGTTGATAATTGGACCTTTGTGCCGAAGGCAAATTTTTTTTTTTTTTCAAACTTCAGACATGGAAGTCGGATGAAGTCAAAAGATATTGCATATTTCCCCTGTTTTAACCTGCGGGAGAAATAGGCGAGCATGATGTAATGCAAGCAAAGATGGAATCAACGTCTCGCACATCACAGAATTTTTGTTGCATGACTTGCCCATCTAGGAGGCTAAGAGGATCGTCTTCGACGACGCGTATGTTGGCGGTTAAAAGGGGTAGGCTACGAGGCGTTAACTTGTCGGTATGGCGCCGGTGTCGCCCGATAGCAGGTGCAGCTGAATGGCCGTTGGTTTATGGAGTTATGCGCAAAGCACTAGTTCCTCGTAGTATGAGTTGCCACAATAGTACGCGGGGAATGTGATGTGGTGGTTATCACATTTGCCATGCACAAGGGCACAAACTTGATATCCAGATACGTTTGGCGGATGGGATTCTAGCGAGTCGTGCTAACTGCAAGATCGTGTCACCAGCTTGCTTGCCGTGCATCTCCGGAGACACAGGAATCCTGGCAACGATCAAGGGCCCCCTATCGTCGTATCTATCCGGCGCATCCATTTCGAAGTGTGTGGCACGAGCAGGAATAAAAAAGCAAAAACTAATAGCCTCCCTGCGGGAGATGATGTGCAAAGGAAGCGACTTTGCTTTTTCCTCTTAGTCCCTTGTTTCCTCGTATGCGGCGACCGATCACTGCGACGCTAACAATGGCTAGAGCGTGCGTGTACCTTGAAGATTGAAGATTTGAGGCTGGAGCTGAAGTTGAAGCTGAGTTGGCAGAGGTGATGTTACAGAATTGAGATGACCAGTTTGCCGTTGACATGGCAGCGCTAAACACCGCGCATACGTAGTATAGTTGCACATCTATAGCACAGCTCCAACGCTACCCAACCGCCGCTATCGTCATGGTGTTTCTTGATATACCTCTAGTAGTCGGGGATAGATATGTGCCGGGGTACCGAGGGTGGAATGCGCGATCTCAAATTTGACCCTGCACGATAGCCACAAGCTGCTTGTCTTACATCTGTGCAACAGCTGCCGCAGGCCTAGATACTGATTGTGCAGGCTGCATCCTTTACATGGCTCCATGGCTTGATATCCCGCTCTTTGACGTGCGGAACGCAAGACAAAACACGTCAGGTATCCGACGCATGGCCCCCAAGCGAGACATCCATATGGTGTTGGCTGGTAAGGAAGAGGACGCCGCAGGCGCTTCGGGGAATTTACTTGCGGTAGGGACGCATCCAGGGTAGGGGCCATGGTGGGTCGTGGATGATCGGTTGCTTGAGAAAATCAAGTTGCAAAATAATATATACACCGGCTGCCATCCTAGCACAGTCGACAGAGCTCGTATCGCCCCGGGTAGGTCGGTCGTGGACACCACTTGCATTATGTTGACAGGGAAATTATAAATCTTTGAAAAAAAAAGAGGATGGACTTCTGTAGCCTGGGTCGACGGCTTGTCGCATTACCATGTCCATAGTAGCCACAGGTACCACACAAGGGATATCCCACCCACCCACCTTGTAGATGACACGAGCTCATCTCGAAATACCTGGATGGGGCGTCGAGTTGCCCGGTTAGAGAGACCCCTCTCCAGGGAGATATCGGCCATCCCATGGTAACTATCATCCAGGAATCCCCACCCGGGCCGTCGTGATCTCGTGTTATCGCTAGACACAGTCGTTGATGCAGCGGAACCTGCAACCGCACCGTCTCCCTCCCCAGTGCCTCCAACGGTCTGGACCGGTTTGAAGCCACGGGGCTCGTAGGGCAGAGTCGTACTCGCAGCCCTGCTTCGGGTCACAGAATAGGATCCGCCGATGGAATTGGATGACGTCGTTGAGGTTGATGCAGCGGGGAACTCGGTCGAATGTGGATAGTAATCATCGGCGGACCGCTGATGGACCAAGGGCAATATGGAGTCAGTCGCAGGAGAGCCCCCCGCTTTCTGGTGGAATGCAAGCGAAAGAGCGCGAACGAGGAGTATCACTACTGTTAGGACGAGGATGTAGCCATATCGAATGAAAATTGCGATTTGATCGGGGAGCAAACACATCTGGTTTTGCAGCGTCTGCGAAGAGCCAGACGGATCAAGTGCAATGCCTGTTTTTGGATCAATCGGATTCCAAAGCGCTGCAAGCTGGACTGCTGGGCGTCTGACGCTCATCGCCAGAGACATACTCTTCACCGTGATCTCCTTTGGAGCGCCGCTGAATTCACGATGGGTGATTTCACAATAGTCGTGGTCGTCCCCGGAATATATTTGCATCACCGGCCCTGCCTTGGCCATTATCTCATTGGATATCACTGTTGTTAGGACATTCTGATATTGATACCCCTTACTGATCTGAATGGCGTTCCTCTCATCCTTCTCTGGCAGAGGATCGGTCGACGATGGAGGCCAATGCTCTCGGAGAGGTCCACAGGGCGTATGAGGCTCCCTGTATAATGGCACATGGGTAAGAAGAATTGTTGGGAGCTGTGTTTCGGACTTTGGAGCAACGGAATCTGCCTTCTCTCCAGTTAGAGCAGATAGCTCCTGCTTCAAAGCGCTCTGCTTTAATGTCTTCAGGTTGTTGAGAAATTCCTCGGTTTCCCTCCATATCTCTTTCATCTCTTGATTCCCGGTGTTCGAGCCTCCAGTCTCCGGATGTTCCTGGTCCATTGCGCTGAACGACACGGAATCAATGGACACAATGGTGTGGTTCCCTACAATATCCACTCGGTTTGACTCGCCAAACATCGATCGAAATCTGTTGACAACCGGCATTTGCACAAGGTTCCCAAATCCAAAGTCATGATTTCCCGGCAAACCAGCCACCATCTTTCTCCCTCCGTGGTTTGACGATGTTCCCTTCCCGCCTAGGCTCCATGTATCGAAGAATATCTTTGAAAACCGCTTGTAGTCTTTCATCCAGTAATCGTTCCCATAATTCTTAAATCTAGGATCAGGACTAGAATATCCCTCCGTTCCCCATTCCCTGCCTCCATCGAAAAGGTCCCCAAGAAAGAATGTACTATCCGGCTGCAGGTATTCCTGGAGTAGCGAATGTGTGCGGTAGAGATATAGGTCGGTGTAGAACTCTGTCAGCGATGACAGCGGCCATGGCCGGCCAGGATAGGTATGTGCATCGATAAGTTGCGGATCTGCAATGAAAGCAACATGGTGAGGCGTGGCGCTTGCTGGCTATTACAGCTGTTAGTTAAAAAAAAAAAAGAGGGATATAACCATCGAGGTAAACCATGAACTAACCCAATGCTCCCATTTATTCCAATCACACGCCCTTAAGCTCTCTCTAAACGCCGTCCTTTCTCCCCACCATAGCGTGAACCCCCAAAGTAAGACCAAAGCAGTCCGCACATTAAGGAACAGCCGCAATATAGCCCGTATCCCTCCAGGCCGACCGTTTCGCCTTGTTGCGCGAGAATATGCAGTTCCGACGAAAGCGATACGAGCTCGAATCCTATCCGCCCCCCATTTAAAAACTCCAGGTATCCGTTCGTATATCTTCTCGAGCGTGCTTGGTTCAGCGAAGGGATTGCGGCTGGAATGGTCGGCATTAAACAATGCCATGTTTGAGCTGTGTAAAAATAAAAACAGCTATATAACGAATGATGTGTAAAAAGAGTATGAACCTGTAGCCTCACATGGCTGATATCCTATCCCTTCTCCCTCTGCCAGCCCGTACCGTACCTGTTGAGATAGATAAAATGGTTGTGGTGGACGTTTGGAGATTCGTCAGGCTCCGTCAAAAGAAAGCGTTGAACAAGCAAATTCCCCAATGTAGATGGTCACGTGCTACGTACCCCCTTATCGGAGATAGAGAGAACTCGGAGATATAAACTAGATGTTAAGAGTTAGGATGTTGAAAGGAAAAAGCACCGTACGGCGCGCTGAATTTTGGGTACACTAGCCTGATAAAAGGGCATAACCTGGAGCCAAGGAAAATATATCTATGTACAAAAGAGGGTTGGGGATTGAAAGAACGTATGGGAAACCAAAACAGTCAAGCTTCAGGAGAGTATTCAGGTGTAGCCACAGGAAGCGCCCTGATATTATGTCCAAACTAATGCATAATGCAGTTGGAAGAGCCAAAAATACAAGAAACCAAAGCTGTAGAAACTATGAGATAACGGAGCTAACAGGAAATGTTGATAATGATGGTGTGCGTATGCAAGGGCAGCATCTATACCGAGGGGCAACACTGACGACCAGGAGCACAATCATCGCCACATTCAAGGAGACAAGATTCGCTGGCGACGGTAGTAAGCTGAGAGCTGCCGGGTCTTACTGAGGCTCCGTCCAAATCACTTCCCGGGTGGAACTCAGGCTGGATCGTCGACGAATGAATTCCATAGGCATGGAGGCACTTCCTAACCTGTCTTGCGAGCGACATGTAGCGATCTGATCCTTCTCCCTTAATGTCAAAGCTGACCTGGATGTGGAGGGAGGCAACTAGTTTGGTATCGCTGAGCTGCCATACATGCAGATGGTGACAGCTGATGATGCCCGGCAGCTGTTCGACGTCCTCGATGATATGGTCGATGCTAAGGCCGGCAGGAACTGCCTGGAGGAGAATCCGGGAAGCAGCCTTGCAGAGTGGGATGGCGGAACAGAGGATGATTACGGTGATGAGGAGCGAGATAGCGGGGTCGGCGTAGAAGCGCCATGGGTATTTGGTAAGCCAGATAATCAAGGCCGAGACGATGACGCCGATGTTACCGAGGGCGTCACCCATGACGTGCAGGAAGACGCCTCGCATGTTCAGGTCGTGTGAATGGCCGTGTGAGTGTCCTCCTCCATGTCCGTTGGCGGCATCGTCCTTGGGTTTGGCGTGGTTGTGTTCGTCGTGGAGATCGTTGGTCTTGCGCTTGCGCGGGTTCGCAGTAGCAGCATATGGTGTAGTTCCGTTGCCATTGGGGAGTAATCTGGACTCTTCCGACTGTCGAGTGCCTTCTCTTTCAGATTCCTCCGTATCCGGCGAGTCGTCTTCAAAACGGCTGGCTTCAATCACATCCTGGCGCAGGCTGGCTGGGTGGCCGTTGATATCTTCGACATCTCTGAATCCGCGGGATGCAGTGCTGTAGCGTCGACTCTCCCGACTAAGACGGCTGATGGATGGATGATGCCTGGAGTGACGTTTGGAAGAAGGAGACTCGGGCACTGTGATATCGGAGTACGTCCCAAGCACGTTCTCGGGCATCACGCTGGCGACGCTGCCGCCCTGGTCTGCGATAACTCCGGTGTAGCCCTGCTCGGCTGACTGGATGGGCTCTTCGGCATGGCTGTGGCCGCCGTGGGCGTGAGAATGGTCATGGAAGAGGAGAAGGCCGAGGATGTTCGAAAAGAGGCCGAGGGCGCCGACAATGCAGACGAGCTTGGGGTGCTGGACTTCCTGGGGCTCGACGAAGCGGTTGATCGCTTCAAGGAAGATGGATAGACACAGCGCAACGAGGAACACGCCGTTGATCAGGGCACCCAGTGTTTCCGCCCGTTGCCACTACACATCCATTAGCAGTGATACTTGTATAGATAGGTAATAGACTCACCCCGTAGGTGTACATCTTGGAGGACTTTTCATTGGCGACCCTGACGGCCCATAGTCCGACCAGCAGCGAAAGAACATCATTTAACTGAAACAGGAGTTAGCAAAGCGTATACCGACGACGACTGAGCGAGAGCGCATACCATATGAAAAGCATCTGCAACAAGAGCTAACGAATGGACGGCATAACCTGGATAAAATGGATAAATTAGTATTAACTCGTGTCGAATCAGACACGTCGTCTCATACCAACACTTAGTTCGATAAAAAAGAATATAGTATCAATGATAAGGAGGATAATGATCCTCTGCGACTTTGTCAACCCCATCCTGCGCACAGCAGCTGGTATCAACGTCAATTGCACAGCGTACGGTCGGAGTCGATGGCAGTTGAGGTCGAGAATGTCGAAGGTCGATGTGAGTCGTGTTGAGTTCGTGAAGCTGAGTCGAAGGTTGAGGGAACGGCGAGTTCAACGGCGAAGGACGGTAAAGGAACGGCGAGGAACGGCGAAAAAGCAAGGTCTGAAGGATAATGCCACCAGGGCTCTATATAAAGGCGAGATCAAGACAGCCGGTGCATCATTCGAGAACGAGAACGCAGACTGCTCGTTCTCTGCTCGTCTCGTCGCAAAAAGACCAAGTTTGGGCGAAAAGCTCGAAGGTTTCAGGTGGCGCGAACTACTGCATGCAGGCTTAGTCACCTACCTTGTCGGACGTTGAACTTGAATATGAAGATGATAATATGAGAATAGTAGAGAAGACGAGATGACGAGATGATGAGATGATGAGATGATGAGAAGAGAAGACGAGAGAGTTGATAGTTGAGAGCGCCTTACTGCCGCTGTCGTCGCTGTGTCGTAGATGAAGGTGAGCTCGAGTGTATCTATATACCTGGGACACCTATGCATCTGGGATACGAGCAGGAATTCTGGTCTGGAAGGGCCCAGATCTCGAGGTGCGGACAGGGTATGTACGTACATGCGGGATGTACGTTGTATAGATGTATAGATGTAGGTACTCCGCATGCAGTAGGTGTGTAGGTATGTAGGTGTAGTATGTAGTAGATGTAGTAGGTATGTAGTATGTAGTATGCAGGTATGTGTAGGTGTGTGATCTATAACAAACGACTCCGAACGCCCTCCCATGCCTAAAAATCGAATCCGACCTCGTTGTCCCGTTTTGCGCTTATCATGATAACCAGGACGAATATCACCAGGATGATCTGTGGCAGACGTCAGCATCCAGCACGACATAGATGTATACCTAGGTATGTATATGCTTACCCCTGCCGACACCAATGCAATGAAGTTCAGCTCCCTGCCGCCGGCATACACCTTGCCTCGCGCGAGGGCATGCTGCTGCCGCCAGAACCGATAGGCTCCGGCCAGGGCGACCAGGATGGCGAGGACGTGGCAGACGCAGGCCAGCGGTTTGCCTATGTGGTGAAAGCCAAAGTGCGGGTTGTGGACGACGGCGTGGTTGAGACTGAAGAGCTGCGCGATGAGGACGCCCAGTATCGCGAAGGTGAGCGATGTCCGCATGTACGCCAAGTAGGTTCGCTCAAGGGCTGGCGTGTGTTAGCGTCATGGCTGACTTCGTGTAACTGAAGGTATAGACGTGGATAGATATAGGTCTAGGTATAGGTATAGAGATATAGATAGAGATAGAGATAGACGTACCGAAGTGGTCGCGGTTCTGCTTGCGAGGGACGCGGACGGAGATATGGGCCATCCAGAAGCGCTTGAGGCCTCGAAAGGGCCCTGTCGGCTGCATGCTGGCCGTCGTCATGACGCTCTCCCGTGTCTGGCGGCGCGAGACGACGATGCCCAGGTCCGAGGCCACAGACAGCGGCGAGCTCGACCGCGTAGAGTCCGGCGTCATGATGCCCAGCTCGGTGGCATTTCGCAGCTCTGGCGGCAGGGAAGAGACCGCCGTCGCCATGTCCGGGTGCTCAGGGCTGGGAATCGCCAGGCCAGAGTCGACCAGGCTCGGGAAGGGATATGTCCTGCCATCGAACGAGCTGCACCGTCGCTGTCGCTGTCGTCCCTGTTCTCGTCCATGTTCTCGTCCTTGTTCTCGTCCTCGGTCGTACTCATCGCTCTCGCTCTCATAGTAGCCGCTGCGTACTCCCTCGTCCCTCTCGCGTTGCTCCATATGGGCTCATTGATCCTTTATCTCGTCCTCCTGAGGTTGACTCTTGGTTAAGCATCCAGGTCGAAAATGCAGACGAAAACTGCCATCCAACGGGAAGAGGCGAACAGGCCGTTATATATTTAACCTCGGGCACCGCTTGGCTGGCCTTGAACCCGGGAGGCCCATTATCGCAGACTTGCCTCTATCATTCGCCCATGCAACATACGAGCGACGGGAGATGTCCATCCAGTGGCTCTCTCTCTCCCTTCTCCGTTCTCCTGTTGATCCGATCAGCCGGCTGCTCGGTCAAGAAGGCAACGAACCGCCCGCTCTTCAATTTTGCTGCACATCTATGGAGCAGGATGGCAATAGAGCTCCAGCTTGAGGCCCTTGTACCATGTCTGTACTCTCACTGTACTCTTACTCTGTATCTGTACTCTTACTCTCCTCCTCTCCACTTCCACTTCCACTTCTCTCCTCTCCTCTCCACTTCCATCCTCTCCTCGTCCGTCCTCTTCCTCGTCTACATCTATCGTGCCGTCCAAGGTGTGCAACTTGCTTTTTCCTGCGCTTTTCGCTTCCACCGCGGCCCAGCCAGTCCGACCCCTTCCACTTGGCGAAGCTTGGCCGGGCGCGGTGGCTGCAGCGAAAAGCGTGGATGTGGTGGTTTGGTGAACATGGCGACCATGGCGACCTGGTGGCGCCGCGTTGGGCACGACGTCAGGGGCACCGGAGATGTCTCCGACTTACAGAGGTATACAGATACCTAGTATAGATGCAGGTATACGAGGATCCGATATCGGCTGTAGATATAGTGAGTATAGCAGATAGATAGAACATAAGAAGAACATAAGAAGAACATAAGAACATAGGAAGAATGGAAGAAAAGAGAGACCACTGGTCGGCAGAGGTACGTCTACCGCCCGATGTCCAGACGCCGCTAACACAGCCAGGCATACTCGGCATCAGCGTCGTTTGTCCCCAAGCTCACGGAGACGGTGCTACAATACCTCAGCCCGCAGCAACACGACAAGGTGCTCGACGTGGGATGTGGCGATGGCAAGTTCACCAGCAAGTACGTCTGCCGTGTAGCCTCAGTGCTGGGCATCGACTCGTCGCCCGCGATGATCGAGGCTGCGAAAAGGGACTTCGGTGCAGACCAGACCGAGTTCCGCGTCGTAGACTGTAGGTATCTCGACCGGGAGGACATCGTCAACGGAACCTGGGATAAAGTGTACGTCCCTTACAATACTACTTACACAAGGCACGACTAAGAATGTAGAGTGTCAAATGCGGCCCTCCACTGGATCCTCACGGACAGTACGACGAGAGTCTCCGTCCTGAAAGCCATCTTCGACTCGCTCAGGCCCGGCGGTGCCTTTGTCTTTGAGATGGGAGGCCACGGCAACGTACCGGAAGTCCATACGGCACTGCTCGCGACTCTCGTACACCACGGCCTCTCGATCGAAGGGGCACGAGAGGCCAGTCCGTGGTTCTTCCCGTCAGAGTCGTGGATGAGAGAGACGCTGGAGAGCATCGGCTTCATTGTCGAGCGGTTGGAGGTCGAGTATAGGCCTACCAGGCTTACGGTGGGAGCTGACGGCGGTATCGAAGGGTGGGTGAAGCTGATGGGTGCGCCGATGCTAGAGGCCCTGGATCCTGCTCGTCGTGAAGATGCTGCGAGGTGGGCATGCGCTTTGCTGGAGACCATCATCACGAAGGAAGACGGGAGTAGATGGTTGGGATACGTTCGTCTACGGGGGGTTGCCATGAAGCCTCAACTTTGATAATAAATAACTACACTACTATGTGATAGATAAACATACTACACTACTACGTGATAAATAAAATACTACTATGTCTTCGCATTTTTAGTCTACCCCCCATGGGCCTTGAGGGCAGGGTAGGTCTGAAAACGGAGGTAAAGAGAAGGCCTGCTCATCCATACCAGATACGCACTTCCACCACCGATCTCGCCTCCAGCTTTCTCCCTGCCCAGCACATTTCATCGACCATCAATCCATCACAGTGCATTACCTCGTGTAGAGCATATGACGTGTTAGAAGGAAGGTAGACATAAAACGAGCTGGGGCAAGAGTCCATCTAGAAGGGAAGAGTGATATCAGTAACATACCAAGGTATAGGTTTGCAGGTCTTTCTCATATTATTCTTGCGCTGTTCCCTGGAATGACACCGCAACGGATGGTTCCAGGGTGACTTGTGATCTGCCAACCATGGAAGTGAAGGATGGAAGACGTCAATGCTCTGTTCTGAGTAGCGCGTTGAACGGAAATAGAAGAAAAAGACGAACGGAAGGAGAAGAACGTGGAAACATGGTGAGTGTATTGCCAAAGGCAGATCATCAATGGCCCAACGCCGTCTATGCCAGTTAGTATATGGTACATAGCCTCTAACTATATTGTACAGTGTTCCAAAAATTAAATCTATAATAGCGGAGATATATCGTAAAAAGGTCAGGGGAAGTGGTATCGTGCATTCATCTTCATGCTGCGCCGGCAACGGAATCCTGAGACGGGCTCATAGATATCTTTTTAACATCCCAGCCCTCGAGATCAGGCCAATCTTCCTTCTTCTTGCCCAGCAGGCAGAAGGAACGCTGTGACGCCTCGACGATGAATTTCTGCGCCACCTCGCTCACATCTTTGGTCGTGACATCTAGCACCTGTTCACGCCACTTCTGGTCCATTTCATGTGTGACGCCGCTCATGAAGTAGCGATGGCCCTCATCCTCGATGCTCATGGGCGCGTCGAGCAATTGGAAGATGCTGAGCTTGGCCTCATCCAATTCTCTCTGTGTCCATGTCCTGTCTCTGGCATACACGCCACTGTTATTGAAGACTTTGAGGGTGTTCATTGGGTTGGGGTCGCGGTAACTGGAGAATGTGAAAAGACCTCGGACCGGGCCGTTGCTGGCACCCGCGCCATAGGCACCGCCCTTTTCTCGAATTTCGGGATGGAGGTAGTTGTGCGTTAGAAGTTGGGCTAGGACGCTCAGAGGAGCGCTCGAAGAGCTGACGTACGGGGTCGTCTCCATAGCCAAGCCAGAATAAGAGACCTGGAAGGGGAGGTCATACAGCACTTTGTCCGACGATGGCTTAAGGAAGGTAGTTCCCTGGCTAGAAGTTGGGCTGGTGTTGGAATGAAGCCCGTTCAACCATCGCTGGAGCATCGCTTCATTCTCTCCCCTCATCTCAGGCTCGCACACAACGCGGACTTTGAGATTTGATGACCGTCCAAGAGCAAACGACTGAATCGTCTGGAGGTGGCCGATTAGTTCCTGCAGCTTATCGGGCGACTGCTGGGCATCTTGGAGCAACTGGGCCATTTTCTGAATTTGGGAAAGACCAGAGATCTGTTCTTCAGCCCAGAACTTTCGTGAAAGTGAAGACGATGCCATGTTCACTGCAAAGCGGTGTCCGGTGGCTGCCACGGAATCCAAAGCGCCATTGCAGCTAGACTTTAATAGTTCCTCGATCATCTTGGGAGCGTCGGGTCCGGTGAATGTAGTTTCATTCACAAGAGTAGTTAGGATTTCGAACATGTCGGGAATATTCTTGTCAAGAGCGAAGCCTGAGAATTGAATGCCTTCGGAAAATTTGTCAAGAGCTAGAGGAGAGGACGCCGAGAAGGTCGACGAGTTGATTCCGCCGGTTTTCAATTTGATCAAATCTTCCCATTGTTCCATGCGTCTGTTGCTAGTACCAAGTCGCATGATGCAATCATTGAAAAGGGGGACCAGTAACCTTAGATGGTCGGGGAGGCCGTTAAGAGCATTGAGCACTTGGATATACGAAAGACCATTCGTCGGAGCTTGTCGCCAGACAACGTCAACGTTGTCAATCTTCGATTCACTCAATGGTTTCTTCTCCTTTTGTCGAGGAATATCGCTAACGGTAAGAGTGGGTAGGCAGGATAGATCGGCTTGTTGCGCTGCCTCCTGGACGTTAAGTAGCTCCAACTCCTCCTTCTTGAGCTGGTCTTTGGCGAGCTCCATTGAGCCGTATTTTTGGCTCAGCTCATTCATCATCGTCTCCTTGCGAGAATTCTCATATTCCACCAGCGAGTTGTTATACGAGGAATCTCCAGTCATCGTAAACACCATATATTTGTCGTTCATGAAATATTTCTTCATCAAGCTTTCCAAGTACCCTCCTTGCTCGTAGCGTTTCTTGAATCCATTGATCACCTCGTTCCAGGCTAAGTCCTTCATGGGGTCGGATCCGTTAAACCAGGCCGAAATAACCTTGTCCATGATGCCCATCCCAAAATTCGCCGTCTTGTGTCTAAGGGCAAGTTCTAGTTGGTGCAGCATGCCCTGAACCTTTTCGTCATTGAATCCATTGGCTAGGTGCTCTTCGTAAACGTTCTGTATGCTCCTCTGGACATCGGCAATGTTTGCTTCAGAAATCCCATTCACTCCAACTGAAAATATTGGAACCTTGCCAGACGTGTCCAGGCCGGTGTTTGGGGTGAAGGATGAGCCAATCCCGCTCTCTACCAAGGCCCTGTACAAGGGAGATCCATAGCCATCGAGAAGCAAAGACGACAGTATTCCCATCGAGAATAATTCGACGTTGTCGCTAGAATCGCCCGCTAGCCAAGAGACTGACGTTTTCGTTTGCTTATCCTCGCTTGCGAATGTATCAATCGGTCCAGTCACCGCTATATTCGATGGTCCAGAGCTAAGGTCCACAGGAAGTTTTACATCCAATGGTTTTGACTTCTTCTCGAAGCCATTAAGAACTTCACCGACCTGAGCCAGATGGTCATCCAACGGCATATCCCCATAGGTGAATATTCTCGCGTTACTCGGGTGGTAGTTCGACTTTGAGTAATCGACGAGTTGTTTATGCGTGAGGTCTGGGATGTACTTGGGGTCGCCGCCAGAGTTAGCCAGGGCTGGGATAATCTGCTCTCTAAATCTGATATAGTAGAGATAATTCGCATCCGACATTTGGCCTTTCATCTCGTTATAGACCACGCCTTTGAACACGATGTCATCTTTTGGCTGTTCCCCGGAAGCACCTTCTGGACTTTGCTCCGGCCTAGCGTTTTCTGGGCCCAATCGCCAACCTTCCTGTCGAAAATCCTCCTCCTTGAGAAGCGGGTGCAGTGTCGCATCTAGATAGACAGATAGCAGGTTCTGAAAATCTTTCTTGTTGGTTGTAGCAAAGGGGTATGTGGTATGGTCCGCGGAGGTAAAGGCGTTCATGAAATTAGAAAGCGAACGAGGTAGCATCTTGAAAAACGGATCTCGAACTGGATATCTATAATCAATAGGGTGTTAGTCAAGGGTGTTTTTGTCAAAAAATAAAATAGCTTTAATTGGTACTGACTTTTCACTGCCGCAAAGTGTGGTGTGTTCAAGGATATGTGGCACACCGGTGGCATCTGGGGGATTCGTCTTGAAGGAGATGCCAAAAACATTGTTCTTGTCGTCTCTTGCGACGTGTAGATAGTCTGCATCCGTCTTCTCATGTTTCAAGTGAATAGCACTCAGGTGCAGTTCCGGGATATGTTTCTTTTCCTGTACGATGAACCCGTGGAGCTTCTCCCCGGCCGATGGATAGTTCTCCAGAGCTGTAACCGTAGACGCCCATCTCCTGTCCCTGAGTCCTAGGGCTTTTCCCTGTAGCTGCGCATGCCTCGACAAGGACAACGGAGCTTTGAAGCTCCCCAGCTTGCTCAGTCTGCTCCCTGAGCGTAGCATCTTCTCAGCTGTAACTTCCTGTCCGCCGGATTCTCCCTCTTCTCTTCTTTTATTTTCTCTCTTCTTTTCTTGTTGTCGTCTAGTATACGGCTATCGTCATCGAATCGTGTACTCCGGTATCAATATCAGGTCTCGTCGTTGTTTCTGGAGCTGTGTTGTATAAGGTCCGGATCGATGGGAAAAGCTGCAAGACGACTGCCAACGACGTCTACTAAAGGAAGAAAGTGAAAAATGCCAAACACAAACAACAAAACAATGCTGTAATGCAGCGTTGAAGATATTCTACCTGTTCGCCAGCATCGATGAATCTTTCCTGAAGGCAGAGAAACATCCAAGTTTTGGCGCTAATTAGCGTTGCTTCATTTGGTGGTCCCTCTCTTGGTATTTCTCTGACAAATGGGCCTTGAGAACATACTGCGCTCCTCCAAAAGCACACGATAAGACCCTTCACAGCCTCCCAGCCCGTCGCCCAGAGCCCCGAACGCTCGAACAGACATGCAATAGAAGCCCAACCGCTCGTTTTCCGTGTTCGACCTTCGGCTCCTTCGATACAACCACCGTCACCACCGTTTCTCGGGTCGCTTGGCCTGAAAATTTCCTCTCCAGGACGGCGTACTCTGAGGCGACGGACTACCTACTGGGATGAAAGATCCACACAAGCTCCCTTCTATCAGTGCACACGATCCGATTGCTCCCCGATCTATAGTCCAGGCGGTTGCGAGGATATAGACTGTTCGCAGGGTGGGCTTCAACCACCGTGTTATGGCCCCGAGTTACTCGACATCGACCACAAAAAACACGGTATTCCTTGACGGATAAGACGGGCAGCGTGTGGACGAACAGCCTGGGTTTCTGCAGTTAGAGCGCTATTTGGGACCGAGATCGAACCCGCCGTCATGGCACCAACGGCTATAGCGAAAAAGGCGAAGGGCAAGAAACATGCCGACCCCGGCGAAACCTCCAAGCTCCTAGCCGCGAAGATATCCCAGCTTGAACAAGATGCGGCCGGTGAAAAGGACCAGGAGGCTGAGATAGGTACGTCCTTTTTGCGTAGTATAAGTGTAGTGTATCGTTTGCGCTGGAGGAGTCATGTCATCTAACCTTGGCTTTTGCCCACATTATCTACAGAGCGCGAAGTCAAGAAGGCCACCAGAGACCTAAACCAGCTACTGAATACCATCGAATCTCCCATGACACGGCTTGAAACCGTGCACAGAAAATATACCGAGCTTCTAACGGAGATGAAAAAGCTGGACCGTGACCACAACAAGAGCAAGAAACGTGCGGATCAATTACAGAAAGCCCAAGACAAAGGGAAATCTGAGCTGAACAAAACGGTCACCATGAAGGACAAGCTTGAGAAACTGTGCAGAGAGTTAACCAAGGAGAACAAGAAAGTCAAAGTGGGTTCCCTCGAAATGGTCTAGGATAGAAGGGTATATCTGATCAATGAGTTGTTGAGACAGGATGAAAACAAAAGGCTCGACGATACGGAAAGACGAGCCCGCGGAATCGTGAACGAACGCCTTGATTCTTTACTTTTTGATATCCAGGATGTTATGGCAGCCAAGGGAAGTTCTCGAGTGGAAAACGTCGATATCGATCTTGATGAAGCGTAAGTTACGCCAACTCTATGTTTAAATTGTTTGATATAGCCGGGGGGGTCTCTGTTAGATACTAATTACCCAACAGCCTCCGAGCAAAGATAAAAACCATCGGGGAGAAGTTTGAGTCTCGAGAATTACATTACAAGGCCGTCCTTCGCAGCAAAGATGCCGAGATCCAGAGTCTCACCGCTAAATACGAAGAACAACGACGCGGGGCCGAGAACGAAGCAGCCAGATGTCGTGCATTGAGCTCACAGGTTTCAACATTTTCGCATACAGAGGCGGAACTACGCAGTCAACTCAATATATATGTTGAGAAATTTAAGCAGGTATGATGATGACGATGATGATAATGATGACGCTTTACGGCAAAGTCACCTCCAATAATAGGCGAAACGTTAACAGCCAACCCCCTCAGGTCGAAGATACGCTCAACAATAGCAACGAACTTTTCCTAACATTTCGAAAAGAAATGGAAGATATGTCAAAAAAAACGAAACGCCTTGAAAAGGAAAACCTAAATTTAACTCGCAAACATGACCAAACAAATCGGAACATTCTTGAAATGGCGGAGGAACGAACCCGCAACAACGAAGAGCTCGAGAAATGGCGAAAGAAAAGCAACAGTCTGGAAGCCCTGTGTCGGCGAATGCAACAACAAGGCCGTGGCCACGCCGTAGAGGGCGAGCTAGACGTGGACGATGAAGGCACCGAGAGCGAATACGAGGACGAATATGAAGACGAGGATGAGGAAGATATGAGTGAAGATGGTGAATACCATCCACATGGAGAGAACGAACACCATCACCACCCAGCAACAGGCGGAGCTCAACCAGCGAAGCCAGTCTTTGGCCCTCCGCCGCCTCCCACCATGCTCGAAGCCCGATCCAACGGTAACGTCCCTGTTATGAACGGATACATGCATTAAGAGGTCTTTAAGCGGCCACCACACCGCTCTGTAGAGTATTATGAAAAACAAAAAAACAGAACTTGTGCAATGTACATGTGAGGCAAGAGAACTCGAACGCCTCGGATGGGTTATGATACGACGCAGCTCAGGTGATGTTCCACCGCGGATACCAAACTCCTATCTATATCTTCGTTTTGAGCTCTCCCTATTAGTTAGAATTGTTTTGTGTAACAGTTTTTATTTTCTTTTTGATATTGCTTCATGTTCTTTCTGCTCTCCTTGATGGGTTGCTGTCAGGTAGGTTTGTTCACCAGATTTGCATTCAGCATTGGACGGTGCTCTTGGGTACGCAGGGTCTACTGTGGGAAATTCGCAGGGTCAAGCGACGGTTGCTCAACGCAGCCGTAGAAGTATTACCTTGTACGCAGATAGGAGGTCAATTGAAGCATATATTCTTATATTACCGCCCAAGCTGGATCAAGTTGAACATATTAAGGTCTATAGATGATACAGTCTCAATAGCCGATATCATCAAGGAAACCGACAAAAACTGGTATAACACAGACAAAAGGGCATCACAATTTACTGCCCTGCTTATCGGCAGTATAGGAGTAGCCTAGCTCTAACATTTGCCGGGCTTCGGCAACCATGGTGTCGACAATCTCTTTGGCGGGCTTGATATCCTTGACAATGGCAGCGACCTGTCCCATCAAGAAAGGGAAATCGACCTCCTTATCCTCCTCCATATCCTTCATAAGCGGTACAATACCGCTCTTCGTCAGCCGTAGGATTTCTTCGGGTTTGCTCTCCCATTCTTTGATATACTCGTTCTCACGGCACCGTAGCGGTCTGCCGGAGATCACCAAGGTTCTAATAGTATCTCCAAACCCAGCGCTCACAACCGCTTCCTTATGCAGTCGACTGGCACCGCTCTCCTCTGCGGCAACAAATCGTGTTCCAACCCACACCCCCGCAGCACCCAACATGAGGGAGGCAGCCAAACTGCGTCCATCATTAACACCTCCAGCAGCAACAACGAGCGGCACTTTACCCGTCATTGGGCTACGGTATTTGCGCGCCACGTCAACGACGGATGGAATAAGGATCGAAAATGGGATATCACCCGTATGGCCTCCTCCCTCACCGCCCTGGGCGCAAATGATATCCACGCCAGCCTGCAAGGCCTTCTCAGCATGCCTGGGAGCCCCAACCATGTTCATGATCAGAATCCCCGCCTCGTGCAGACGCTTAATGGTGTGAGCCGGTGGAATTCCAACCGCAGAAACAAACAGCTTCGCACCATGCTTAATCGTTACTTCGATCAGTTCGTCGAGCTGCCCGTGGGTATAGTCATGGTTAGTGGCGCGAGCGCCCTCCCCAACTTTGGGAAGCGCCAGATCAACACCGAATGGTAGATCTGGAGACTTTAGGTGTGATTTCAGCTCGACTAGCATCTCATTCATCTGTTGTGGGCTGTAACCAAGACCGCCAATTGTGCCGAGACCGCCTGCGTTGGAGACTGCGGCAGCCAGCGGTCCACCAGATGTGCGCGCCATTCCTGCGAGGAGGATGGGATGCTGGATGCCCAGGAGCTCACATAATGGAGTTCTAATGGGGGACGCGGGAGACATGGCGATGGGGATGTGTCAAGATCTAGACAAAATGGTGTCCAGTGGCTAGGGTGGCTGTTTAAACTCGGCAAATAAGAGCTCTGTTCGGGCGTGAAGAATAGTTTTCCAGCCTGGATTCGGTAAAACTAGATTCGGACAATATAAATACCAAAGGAGTGAAGATAGAGAGCGAAGATAGGAGTAAATATAGCTTCAAGATTGGGATAATCGAAGAAAAGGCCTGGGGAAGCTCAAGCCGCGGTTCAAAAAACCCCATGGGGATCGTCGACCGAGGCTTCACGAAAGCCATGCACAAAACCACATAAACGCACATAAAACACACCAAGGCCGTAGTTCTTCTCCGTGTAAGCCTCTTCGGATAAAGGCAGACCTTGTCTTGTTATTAGAAGCCCTAGAACCATCTTCCAGGCTTTTGTTGAGCCCGAGGTTTTGAGATCGCCATGGAGTTAACATACTCCATCCACCCGTAGAACGACAGGCACATCTTCGGCCAAGTGTCTGCTTTATATCAGTATATGTATATGCCCTGGGCTACGGAGTACTCCTACATACCTTTGAGAGCATCTATAACCTTCATACGTGTTCAGGTACGGCCATCTTAGCTGGTACCGTGTCTGGTCGTGTTAGACCGCATTGAATACCCTTCACCTTCACAGTAGAATCATAAGATGACAAGAATAACATCTACCCAGAGATGCTTCGTATCTATCTTCTAATAACCAATTCAACTGTAAGAAGTCGATGTTGAAGTGAAGAAACTGGTGCCTGTGAAGCTTAACCACGTGAAGCTAAAATGCTCGCGTCGCTTTCTTCAACCCGCGTCAAGCTTGATAAATAGACAATTTCTAGCTATTTGATAACGAACCCTCGAATGGTGAATACGTCGATGCTGGCCTGAATGAAATTGACACTCACCGACACTATATGCGATATTCTCCTAGTTAGCAATACCCGCAGCATACTTCCTCCCAAACACATATACCATGGAGGACCCCGCGGAAGCCTTTCTGCGTGCACCTGAGTGAGTCGGCGTCAATAGTGGTCTTAAACTGTTTAGTTAATCTGTTTCTAACTTGTTCGGTGATCAATTCTAGTGAAGATGAGTCTCCGGATGCTATATTCCGCGAACCCTCGTTATACAACCCGATGGCCACTTTCCGTCTCCCCGCAGGCGCAGCAAGGCATTACCAGCAACAATATTCTGATATCTACTTTCTACGGCTTACGAGACTCAAACCTGCTGTCTCGGAGGTTGCGAAAGCTGCCTGGGAAGGCTATAACGTACGTCCCTTTCAATAAGAGTGCAATGGAGCTCAATCCTATATCGTTCGGGTGGGTTAGCGGAATCAAGCCTGATATACAATGGGCTTGGCTATGGATCAGGGACATGGCTGATATTAGTTTCCCTCGCTGAGTAGATTGCTGGAGAGTATGCGCGAAGGGTTGACCGGGTGCTTGATGTCCGTCAAGGTGAACTATCATGGGTGGTTGGGACAGTTTATATGGCGCTTCCATTGAAGCCCAGTATTATGGACGACATCACCAAGGAAGTATAAAACCTCTGGCATTAAGGTACCAACGGTTCCTTGCTGACATGTATTCTTCCTATTTCTAGAACTGGACTGCTGCGCCGGTACCGCAGAAGACCTACCACGACGCTAACAGCAAAAAACCCACTCAAACGATGGTAGAAGATGAATCTGGAAGATTAGTTCTCACTGGAAGTCTGCTGCAATCAAGCTTCCTGGTTACTGGCGTTGTAGCCGCAGTACTTGGGACCGAGAATGCTGATGGAGAATTTGAGGTTGTCGATATCAAAGTCCCGGATATACCCCCTCAGCCTGAGCGCTGGGAAAGAGAGGATTCCTCGGAGGGTGTCCCAGCAAAACGGAAACACAGTACAGTGGAAGACCATAGGAACAGGTCCGCCAAAGGCAAGAAGATCGCCTTTGTTAGTGGATTGGGAGTTACTGGTGCCTCTGGTGATACAGTAGCTTTATCCCTTCTCGCGAACTATCTTCTTGGTTACAACGGCTCCTATTCAGATCAGGACGATCCCACACCTACAAACCCGTCCCGAATTTCCCGCATTGTAATTGCAGGAAACTCGCTTGGAGCCAATGTCGCCTCTACAGTCGACGACACCGCTGCTCCAGAAAAGCGCCAGCCTAAGAAATATGGCTATGATGCATCAGCTTACAACGCCTCTCCCATCACCCTGCTAGATACCTTTCTCTCCGATATCCTCCCTAGTATACCCGTCACACTAATGCCAGGAGAAACCGATCCTGCAAATTTCTCCTTACCTCAACAAGAAATCCACACAGCTATGTTCCCGCAGTCCAAAGTATATTGCACAGCGGCAGCTCCCAGGCAACAGGCCTTACCATCAGAACCAGGCTGGCTGGATAACGTCACAAATCCCTGGGAAGGGGATATCGAAGGATGGAGATTTTGGGGTACCAGCGGGCAGAACGTGGATGATGTCCTTCGTTACGTTAATCCTGACGGTGAAGAGGAATCGGAAGAAGTTGAAGACACCCAAAATGGCATAAGGCTGGATCTGATGAGCCACATGCTTAGATGGCGCTGTGGCGTCCCAACTGCGCCCGATACCATTTGTAAGAACACCCGTTTCGTCTATCCGATATATTAATATGTCATCTAATGTTATACTCAGGGTGTTACCCATTCCAGGACAAAGATCCATTCGTCATACAATCATGTCCTCATGTGATGTTCACCGGAAACCAGCCGCGTTTTCAGTCTACCATTATCGAAGGCGGCCCAGAGGGAACTGGGGATGAAACCGTCACAAAAGTAAGACTAATAGCCCTGCCGAAGTTTCATGAGACCGGCGAGATAGTCCTACTGGACGCCGAAACACTTTCTGTGGAAGTCGTTAAGTTTGGCGTTGCAGAGAAGGCTGATACCGCCGTCAAGGAAGAAGAAATGCCTGATGCTTCATGAAATCTGCATATCTAATAATGTATTTTTTGTTCAGCGAGCATTTTCAGGGAGCCAGGAAGCCGACTCTGGTAGCTATAAGTTTGGAGGGTTCTTGTGCTGAGAGTCCAACTGTCGTGTTGTTAGATAATACCTGGTACAGTTGACTCTTTGGAAACGTCCATTATGACTGTAGTATTGATCTTAACAGTGTAGTTGCTTGCATGAAACCCTGTAGTTGAAGATAGGGAGATATACTAGGAGGTTAGGGTTAGGGCTCAAATCAGTATCTGTAACCTCGCCTTCTCTTCGACTATGATATTTCATCCTCGCGGCCAAACGTATACTGCCTCCCACACGGTTCGTCGAGTAGCGAGGCAAGATGCTAATTAACGAAAATATATGTAAGTATACACTCATTTAACACCAATACTTTTTCTTCGCCTCAGTTGGAGAATCGAGGGCAGCCAGTTTCCAGCAAATTGATATACCACCAACGACAACTAACCCACTTTGCCTAACTATAGGTGTGTCCTCTTCAAGAGTTCTTCTTGTGCCTTACTCTCCACATCATGTGCATAAATACCATGAATGGATGAAAGATCCTGTATGATTCTTTTGAGAAAAATTTACCCCTCGTTTTATACCCGGGAGGCCCTATGTTAAAGATACCACTTGAAAGCGTCACTCAAGCCTAAAACCCATATAGCATATTGCCCTGTGTTGGCCATGGCAAGAGGATGGTATATTCGGCGTATTTGAACATCGAGGCTGACTCCATCCGTGCTAGGAGAAAAGGAGATACAAGAAGCTACTGCCTCAGAACCACTTTCGCTAGAGGAAGAATACCGCATGCAGCAAAGCTGGAGAAAAGATTCGGACAAATTAACATTCATTACGTGCAAGCCGCTATGTTCGCCAGAAATAACATTTTCTGGTGATAAGGATACTTCCGGTCCAGCTCGAGATTGTGGCTGCCATCAAGTTTGCCGGAATGTCGACGATGCTCCAGATCGTATGATAGGCGATGTCAATCTATTTTTGAAACTAGAGGAAAAGGACGATAGCGACGGGATCTCTAACCAGGCCCCAGAAGAAGTGATAGTGGGCGAGGTAGAACTAATGATAGCCGAAAAACAACTACAGCGGAAGGGCTTCGGGAGAGCGAGTCTGATCTGTTTCTTGAGATATATTGTTGACCATACCGAAGAGATTCTAGCAGAGTTTTTGGACAAGGCAGATATAAGTGCTGCTCAAGAGGGGAAGTCTGCAACTACAATGCCTCCTATGAATAGACAATTCGAGTACCTAGTGGTGAGGATCGCAGCTAGCAACGAGCGGAGTATAGCTCTTTTTAGGAGCCTAGGTTTTACTGCTGTATCGGACGAACCAAATGTGTTTGGGGAACTGGAGATGAGGAAGTATGGGCTGAGTAGCTCAGGAGAACTGCAAACATGGCTACAACGTTACGACATAGAAGGCTATGGAGAGTTGCCTTATAATTAGAAATATTTGATCTTGTTTTATGCGCTCACCTTTCAAGATAACCAAACTATGACTTATAAGCAGTATTACATGGCTTACCTAGGAGGCTAGCCTCTCCATTTAGGGTATAACGATATCTAAAAAGGGAGAGCGATAGTGGTCGATTAACGGACTGAATCTGCCGCGCTGTCTTTCATGAATTTCAGCCAGCAATATAATTGGCAATTTCTCAAACCATCCAAGCAACTGGACAATTCGGGTTGTATGTGGTACCGTAGCTACAATAAACAGTACTGTAAATCGAAAATAAATTGTTTGAAAAGCCCTTGCTCATAAAGAGCGGGATAATTTATTGGGATATCATAACAACGAGACCATCCAGGATCGGGAAGGCGGATATGGCGTGCATCCGGGTGTAGTAATAAATACATTAATTGGCTTCACCAAGGCACAATGAATCTCTGTTGATTATGTGCTGGACCCATGTCACGCTCCATCCAATCTTCCCGACATTAATCATGCCCGCTCGCATTAGATTTTTTTTCAACAGCACCACCTCTCTATTCACCCATACTCGCTATCTAGGTGGACTTCTTCTTGGTACCCTTGGAGACATCGACGATTTTCAAGGCTAGGATTCATCCATCAGTGCATTGTCCCAGGCAATAGAATATGCCTCTCCTATTCCGCCATTCCTTTATTTTAGGGAGAACTTACCAGGTGGTAAGCTTTGCTTCAGCTTGTCTGCCTTATCGGAGTCTCTGAGAACGAGGGTGTACAGAAATCTGTTGCATCGGACCTTGAACTTGATCTGTTGGGTGGAGCGGTTGCGCTTGATGCGGGCAGCTAAATGAATGGATCCAGTCAGCATTCCATTCCTGCGACATGACGCCGCCTTGTATAGCCAGCCGGTCGATTCCGTATGGTACCGCTCAAAAAGCGTGGTAGAGGGTAGAGAAGACCAAGGGAACACTAACAGGAAGCGTCCTTCCGTCTGCAGATCTCAATGAACTGCTTGATATCGGAGACTTCTGAAGGCATGATGGGCGATGAGTATGGGTAACGGTCGAAAATTGGTGGCCGGATCGTTGTAATGAATGAACCTCGCTGTCGCTCGTCGATTCTTCGATTATTGAAATGTCGCTGTGTGTGAACTTCAATTAGGGTTTCGCGACGGTGAAGCCCTGAATTGTCGCCAAATCGGGACATGGTTTCTGGGCTGGCGTTTAGCGCGTTTACACGCCCGGATCAGGTTAGTCCAGGCTACTGCATTATAAAATAGATACCAGCTGGCAAGATGGACAGCGAAGAGCATATAAATAGACCTGCTGGTCTAGAATTTGTTTGATTCAAGAACAACATTCAAAATAGCGACACGATGCCTACACCGTTGGATAAAGCTTTGCAGTCAAAGGTAACGTACTATTCCCCTGAGCTTTGATGCAGGTGTACTAACAGATCGTAGAATCTACTTGTTGGTAAATATATGAACCAGAGCCAGAGATAAGCTTGTGAATAACTCTTTGCCAGGGTTTGTCGGCCTTGTGACCGCCGCTGCGATATGGAGCATATGGGGAAGCGAAATGTTCCCTGCCGAAGCCGACCCAACTGGAGGTGAGTTCTTCTACCATCAAGCACACATCTATATACATTAATCAAAGTTAACGGAGCAACCGGTTAGACCCAGAGTACTGGACGTTTGACGAGCTAAGGAGGTGGCTCCGTGTGGTAAGCATATCCATTCTGGCATCTGCGCCCCCCCCCTCTGCACTGCTGGGAGGCATTAAAGTGTAAGCCCGTGTATGGGGCAGAACTAATGCAAGTGTGAACTCATAGCGTGGTCGACTTCCGGATGAACAAGCGTCAAGAGAAGACCTGTTGGAGCGAGTGAAGGCGAATATGAGGCCATAGTCGAGAAGTGCATTGAGCGTTTGACCCGTCTTTGATGATCGGGTCTTTTTTTATATTCAAGTGATTTTTAGCTGGCGGTAAACTTGTTGCTTCTGGCGTTGATAGTTGAAAGATTGTCTTGCTTCCATCTGCTATTCTTTGTAATGATTCGTAATACTGAGAACGAGTTTCATCCGTTTAAAGAAGGCAAGATGGTGATAGCCGAATGCAAATAACCTCCTAGAATCCTGGGCCTATCAAACGACAATCCTAAAGTTCTGGCTCTGTATCAACCACTGCTTTCCTCGACCCTTCGGCCCGCCGGTTGCCTGTGGATTTGGAATAAGGACAAACGTCTCACTGAACCCTCTATTCGGTGAGTCCCACGTTTCCTTTCCTTCTCCGAACTTCACATAGCCGCTAACAATGACCAGTATCGACATATTCTTGGTTGGATCTGGGGTATTTCGGTTTGGGTTGGCTCCAAATGGGCTTGCCGTGTTGTCGGCTTGTGTGGGTGGGATCGTGGGGTAATTTGGGTTTAGAACCTGGCAATCAAATGACTGGACTTCATGATGCGCAGGAGGTAGTTGGTTGACGAATATATCTTGGACGGAAGCGCCGTCGGCTACGACGTTGCCGTTAAATATAATTTTGGATACTGCTGGAGCGTAGAAGGTTGCCAGGGTTTGTCGTGCGCTTTCAAGCGCGGAGTAATAAGATTGAACGAAATTTGTAGCAGCTGGTAGAAGTTAGCACGCGAACAGAATATGGCTTGAAGAAAAACCGTAGCTTTGAAGTTCTTACCCTCTGTCGATACAGTTGTGAGGACGTCTTCCTTGATAGCGGCGGTCATGGTGCTGGAGCCTGTGGCAGTTCAGTCGTGCGTCGTAATGTGGAAAAGCCGTATAATAAACGAAGTATTGGCGCAGAGTCTTAGAGGGAGGTTGCTTTTGTATCTCAAAGTTGGGTGATCGTTACTCTTGATAAAAGAAATGTTCGATCTCGAAGTCGCAGAGCCGCGATATGTAAAATAAATATTTAGCCGGAGCTTGGACCACTAACCACTTTTTTTTAATAGCCGAGACGCGCGACTCGTAGGATTCCTTGCTATATATCTCCAGCGGCACAATAGCACCGGCTCAATGGGCAACAATGTTGAAATTTGAACTCCGGATTATTTCACGCGCCTCCATATTCCGAAATGCGAAGCCTGGCTCGTGGGCATGCGGCCCGTGTCGACGTGCTAATCCCCGACCTTTCTTGAACCGCGGATACGCAACTGAAGCAACCCCCGGAGCTAAGCCAAAGCCATATTATGTCACAACACCTATATTCTATGTCAATGCCGGTAAGACTGCAGTCCGAGGACATATACTGGGATTAATCAACTAATCCTAGCTTTTAGCACCACACATCGGTCACCTTTATACCATCCTCATTGCCGATATCCTTAAACGATGGCAGGTCCTCCTTGGAAACGGCGATGCGAAGCTCCTCACAGGGACAGACGAGCATGGCATGAAGGTGCAGGAGGACAACAAGTAATACTATTGGGATGAGAACTGTGGCTAATACGCCGAGGACAGATTCAGCAAGCTGCCCTTCAAAACGGATTGGAGCCTCAGGCGCTTTGTGACAGGAATTGCGAGACATTTAAGGTCCGTTAAAGCCTCTATGTCTGATATATATACTTCTATACGGAGGTTAACATATTACAGGTGCTTGCAAAGGAAGCGAACATCTCTAACGACCACTTCATCAGAACGACGGACTCCGCGCACAAGCAGGCGGTGCAATTTTTTTGGGTATGCGCGCCGGATATACGATTATTACGCCTCATTGCTAAACTATAGTAGGAAAACCTCAACCATCGTGGCTATATATATGAGGGCAAGCATGAAGGCTGGTACTCTGTCAGTGATGAGACGTTCTACCCTTCGTCCGCAGTACAGCCAACACTTGACCCGGCGACCGGACGGAAGATGATGGTGAGTCTCGTCCCATTCTGCCATTTAGCCGGATACTAATCATGACAAGGCTTCAATCGAAACTGGAAAGGAGGTAGAGCTGTCACAGGAGACCAACTACCATTTCAAGCTATCCGCTTTTCAGGACCGGCTGCTAAAACACTACAAAGAGAATCCGAACTTTATCCGTCCTCAGGTATACATGGACAGCATTGTGCAGAATGTTTCGTCTGGATTGCAAGATCTGTCTATTTCCCGGCCCGTCGACCGCCTGTCCTGGGGAATCCCCGTTCCTGGAGATTCGACACAAACCATCTACGTCTGGCTAGACGCATTGGTCAACTATATCACCTATGCAGGCTACCCGTTCACACCCGGGCACGAAGATAAGTCCATCTGGCCCGCCGACGTCCATGTCGTGGGCAAAGACATCACCAGGTAAGCCAGCACTAGAACCTTTTGTACCCAAACCCAACAGTGGCTAATATCCCACAGATTCCACTGCATCTACTGGCCAGCCTTCTTAATGGCTCTGGACCTGCCTCTGCCCCGTACCATCCTGACCCATGCGCACTGGACGATGAACCACTCCAAGATGTCCAAATCCACTGGCAATGTGGTCAATCCGATGTTCGCCATGGCGCGGTACGGCGTAGACCCGATGAGGTTCTACCTAGCTATGAACGGCGGGCTTGCGAGTGATACCAACTACGATAACTCGTTTATCGTGCGTGACTACAAGCACTCGCTGCAGTTTGGGCTGGGTAACCTGTGCAGTCGGATGATGCGAGGCAAAGGGTGGAACATAAGAGAGTGTGTGATTGCGGTAACTGGTTCAAACGATAAGTTGCGAGTTGAGGGTACGGAGGAACTAGACCACAGGGCCTTTTTGGAGGAGGCTCCAGTTCTTGTGTCGAAACAGATGGACGAATTGAACCCTCGAAGGGCGTTGGAGGAGATTATGAGGATTATCGAGCAGGTGAGGCGTGCTTCCATATCTCTACGACGTCTGCCTGCCTTACTAACTATACTGGTGTAGACAAACAAATATGTACAGGATGCTGCACCCTGGCGTCTGGCAAAGATGACAGACGACCCGAAGTCCTCTGAACGACTGACTGGCGTAGTCTACAACACGGCCGAGTCTCTCCGCATTGCCGGCATACTCTTACAGCCCTTCATGCCCGGAAAAGCCAAGGAGCTGCTCGACAAGCTCGGCGTAGAGCAGGATATCAAGAAGCGGTCGTTCACCGCCGCGACGTATGGCTTTGACCTCGACTATGGGACACCGAGCGAGCCGCTGGGCGAAGGAAAGAAAGGGACACTATTCCCGCCCCTACTGACCGAAGACTGACCATGTACCGTGTAAGCATGTAACCGGGGAATTGTACAATAAGCGAGCGTGGTGGTGTAGACCTGTGTATGCTATGTTGTATGTACGATATATAGATGCCCAATAGAGAGAGCCAACCACAAGTTGCCCATGTGATGACGACCTCCAACCTCAACCCAACCCACCACGGCAACCAAACCAGATCGATATATTCCTTCACGGCCATTATCATAGTACAGGTTGCCTAGCTGCCTGATACAAGCTAAGTGTCGCCTGAAACGCGACATTCACTCGGGACCAGCCGCGGGTGTACGGACGTCATCCCGTGCCTCCACCAGACCTCACACTCGATACTCGATATACTCAACATTCTATAGAGACAACCCCGGATGATATGGAGTCCTACCCCAGCCAAAACAACCGACAGGCCATCCAATGCGTGTGTTCTATTTATATCATGTGCAGACATGGTTCGACGCAGCATCCTCCAGTCCGTGCAGCCATCCTGCAACGGCAAAAGTTGGATTCTCCCCAAGGCCGACTGCGTCGTTGAATATGTCAGTATGCCAGATCTAGACTGCCGGCTATCTCAGCATCCAAGGATCAGAAGGTTACGGTTACGGTTACGCCAGACTAACGGTGTCTGCGTCAGCTGACGGACAAGAATAAACAAAGACGAAGAAGAAGAAAGCAGAATGGGAGATTGAAAGAAAGAAAAAAACAACCAGGTCACACGTCCAGGTCCACCAAATCCACGTCGATGCTGCCATCTCTTGACATCGGTAGCCGCGTCCGAGTCCAGCCGGAAGAAGGAAGACGTGGATTCTGGTTGCATGCTTGCTTGTTTATACGACCGACCGTGCTATGTACAAGGACGCGCACTGGGCTGTTTCACCGAGTCGGCGTTACGATGCTTTCTCTCATCTCCGCCGTGATATCGATCGACCGCGAGACGGCGTCTGGGCTGAGCAATCAGCGCCACGCAATTGCAGTCGTCTCAGCCGTCAGCATCAGCATCAGCAGGCACGCAGACTCTGGGGAAGATATTCTCCGGCAGTACTTCGGATACGCATGATATCGCATCACCGTCGACCTCACACTACAGACAGACAGACAGAGATTAAGATGACTCCGCTATAACAGACAGACGTACGGAGTATCTCTGTCTCTATCTGTCTACTGTCTATCTACTTCGTCTGTTTATATACTGTCTGTTTATATACTGTCTATAGTGTTACTGGTCGGCCGAAAGTGGCAAGACACGTGCCCGGGAAAGTTTCGGGATCCCGCGGGAAACTCTTTTCGGCCGTCGGGAAACTCGCCGAGTGGGGCGTGCCTGGCCGGGATCTCCACGCTTATGTCAGTTGACACTGGTACTTCTGCGCCCACCAAAAAAAGGAGTGAGAAGAAGTACCAAGTACCCTCGGATGTACCGAAGTGCCGCCGCAACTCTGATATGCCGGCGGCTTCCTGGCTTCCTCCTGGCTCCTGGCTCCTGGCTCCTGGCTTCTGGCTTCTGTCCTGGCTTCTGGCTTCCTGGCTTCCTGGCTTCTTCCTGCCGCCGTCCTTGGATGCGCATGGCTGGACGCTCTCGGCTTGCCCCAATGCCCCAAGCCCAAAATCCCCGACCTCCCTGGGGCTTCTGTCCTTGGCTGTTGGGGAAAGTTGGAGAAGTTAGAGATATATAAGATGCTCCCGTCGACCGCTCCATTAGCCGGGCTGACTTTCTTAGCATCTCCACCATCCGCTGGGTCCCCAAGGTTTTATCTTATCCAGTTTCCCGCCCGGATATCTGCAGCAAGCTTATTTATTTAGAGGGACCAAAAGTTGCTTCGACTTGACTTTGATACTTTTTTTTTTTACTCTCCCTCTCCTGTTACTCTCCCTCTGCTCAACCAGATATACATATCACAATGGGAAGCGTCGAAGAACCAAAGCAGCAGCGCTTGCGCCTGCCCTGGATCGAAACCCCTCTGATTGAATCCACCAGCCTCTCCAAAGCTGCCGGATGGTGCGTCTCGCCATCTTCCCAGACATAACACAGCAGTGCTAATATGTGTACAGCCGCATATTCCTCAAGCTCGACAACCTCCAGCCCAGCGGCTCCTTCAAGTCCCGCGGCATTGGTAACCTCGTCCGCGGACATGCCTCGGACCCCGCCAACAAGGGGAAGAGACTGCACTTCTTCATCCCTTCCGCTGGAAACGCCGGTCTGGGGGCCGCCTTTGCGGCCTCTGCCCTGAAATACCCCTGCACCGTCGCCGTGCCCTCCAACACCAAGCCCGTCATGATCAAGAAGCTGCAGCAGGCCGGTGCCCGCGTCGTTCCCCATGGCGCCAATCTGGACGAGGCCGCCACCCGTATGCGCGAGATGATGAAGGAGCTCACGGAAAACGGCACTCCAGGGGGCACCGAGGTCGTCGCCATTGAACTTCACCCCTTCGACCGCCAGCACATCTGGGAGGGTGTAAGCACACTGTCAGACGAGCTCGCATACCAGCTTCCCCCGGCCGAGGAAGGTGACCAGTGCACCCGCAAGGCCCTGCCCTGCGATGCCATCGTCCTCTCCGTCGGCGGCGGCGGGCTCATGAACGGCATCATCATGGGCATTGAGCGCCAGGCCCCCATGCTCGAAGCCGCTGTCAGCACCACAGCGGCCAATGGTACTACAACTGCAGCCACCCCTACTCCCACCAGGGACGACAACATCCACATCATTGCCACCGAGACCCGCGGCGCTCACGCCCTCGCTGCATCCGTAGAGAAGGGTGCTCTCACCTCCATGACGAAGATCACATCCGCCGCCACCTCGCTCGGCGTCCTCCGCGTCGCCGAGAAGACATACGAGAATTACGTCTCCCCGCCAAAGGGCATCAAGGTGCATTCCCTCGTCCTTTCCGACGCTGACGCCGCACGAGGTGTCCTACATCTCGCCGAAGAGGAGAAGATACTCGTCGAACTCGCCTGTGGTGTCTCCGTCGAAGCAGCCCTGGGACCCCATCACCAAGCCGACACCGCACCTCCGCCTGCAAAGAGAGTCAAGCTCGATGCTGATAGTGTCCCCGCTACCAACGGAACATCAGCAGCCAACGGAGTCGTGAACAAGACCTATTTGCAGCAGCTCATTCCCAACTTCGGTCCACAGACAAGAGTCGTCATCGTTGTTTGTGGAGGAAGCAATGTTTCACTTGATATGGCCTCTGAGTGGAGACAGAGACTCGATGCCGGCTGGGGAAGCGATGATGTTGGCACCATCGTCCTCCCGCCAACCCCAGCACCAGCACCGACTGCTGCATCAACATGAAAATACTCTCTTTCCTCGTTCTTCTTTTTTTGCATGATTGTTTTATTTACTGACATCCGGCGGGCTTCTCTTTTACCTAATGATTGCTTTATATGAATGGGTTCATGGCGTTTTGAGCGGTTTACAAAAATGTGGGACATGGCTTGTTTTAATACACCTTTTTATCCCCTTTTTACCTTTTTGCCTTTTTGCGATTGATGATTGCATACGGATGACAGTTTCATTTCCTCATATCCCATGTCCCTTTTCTTCCTTTCCTTCGTCGATGAGAAAATGTCATAACACCCCCTATACAGAGAGATATAGAATAGAAACGAAACGAAACACATAATCCAGCTACTTACACACACATTGCTTACATATCCAACGCCCTAATCCGATAGTTCCAATAATTCTTCCTGACAGGATCATACTTGTCTTTCAACAAGGTAAACATCCGCACTGCACTGGCCTTGGCTTCACTTCCACCCGCAGCCTGCGTTTCTTCAGCAAACACATCGCCCAACCACTCAAGCGCATGGCTGCTCTTAACCTGAACTTCGCCCTCGCCCTCAGCAACCACTTCTTCAACAATAAACCGCTGCGCAAAGGTCTTTAGATCCCCCAACCCTCGCCCAGCAACCCTGAGGACACCACGCATATATGCCCACGGACTCCTATTCTCAGGCGCCAGCACAATCTTCTTTTTAGCATACTCCACCTCCCCGTCAACCATATCTTCATCCACAACGACCATCTTGCCTCCACCAGCTCCAGCACCAACACCAACACCGGTGCCCACGCCAGGTAATCCACCATCAAACCCTTCCCGCGGCGCAAACCGCATGATCCACCTATGATTCCATGCCGAATTATTCCTCACATCCTCATCAATCATCCTTTCCACATCTGCTAACTCGGCAGGTGAATCCCATAGCTTGAAACGACGAAGTATCCAATGTCTGTATGTCCAGACGTGATAGTTTTTGGCATCTAGAGCAAATATCTTCACCAAGAAGTCAAGCTCCCCTTCCGGTAAGGTGGGGAAGGCAGATTCATTGGACATTATTACTTGGCGATGGTGCCTATAGGTATAGTTGGTCAGCGGGGTGATACGATATCAAGCCGAGCAGGATGGGGACGGTAGTACCATATCTGATAGCTTTTTAAATATTTAGTAGATAGCTGGTCGAGCCAGGCGAGCTCGGCTTTTAGATCTTTACCTAGAGCATTGAGGATTTGTGCTCTGTATAGCCTATATCAGATCAGATATTAGCATGAAGCCGTCCAAGCCAACAAACACAAATGGGAAATGGATATATATATATACCAGACTGTATAATGCGCTGGGTTCGACCGAATCACATCCTCTGTCAACGCCAATGCCCGATCAGACATCTCGTTTGCAGCCATCACGGCGCGCAGGTATGCTGTCGCCTCAGCATACTCCTCCGAATACGCAATTGTCGCGAGAGGTATTATTTCGCCGGCTACACCAGTATCACCAGCGCCGGCACTAGCACCAGCACCGTCTTCTCCCTGAATAAAGTGATTTGACCCGTCATCCAGGGGTATGGGGGTAACCGATGCCCACGCGGGGTCAGAAGAGTACTTGGACATGGTTGGGTATTTTCTCTTTTTCCCACAACGAAAAGCACAAGACAGACAAGAAATATTTAGCCTAGGTCTTTAGAGGCTGAGGAACTCGCAATTAACAGTTCCTATATACTCAAAGGGCGATGCGAGAACCATGAATCGGTCTTTGGTTTGTATTGTTCGAACAAAGAGTGCGCAAGACAATAGACATCGCGATTATGTAAGACCAACTCCAGCATATAAAAAAATATTGAATATCGATAATAGGAATATAAAATAATATTTAAATAGTTACGCACTGCGAAGTCTTAATCTAACGAAAACAACAAAACTCCCTACAAGCTTCATAACAAAATACACACGATGTTTTCGCATGGGCGGCTTGAAGGAATCGAGAATTGAACGTCATCCCTTCATACATGATTAAAGCATAGGAGGATAAAAATGAGGATAAAAACATAAATAACAAGCGTGTTAAGACGTCAAATAGCTCGCAAAGCCCCGAACCAGTAGTGCGTAATCGTCGATTGACCGAAAAGAAAAAAATAGTCCTTCATCATCATTCCACGGGGGCCTTCTATCAAGTTGCAGTGCCGCGTCTCCAGAACTTCCAGCCCTCTCTCTTCTCCGTGCCACCGACTCCGACTAGCTGCTCGATGCCGCTGATGCCAACGGCGTTTTCAAATTTCAGCTGGTCGATCTCCTCGCCGCCTTCTTCGTCGGTGCCGTTCTGGAGCACTGCAGGCCAGAGAACACCGACTCCGTCTCCGCCCAGGGTGGTCTCGTAGCGTTCGTAGCCCTCGTCGCTAAGTTGTTCTTCCAGATGCTCGACTGCGGCCTGGTTACGTTCGCCCTTTAGTAAGGTAATGGCACATCCGCCTCCGCCGGCTCCTGTCAGCTTCGTCCAACCGATTTCTGCATGGTCGACCAGCTCTCGAATACGTTCCAGGCGCGGATGGGACACGCCGAGTGATACGAGCAGGCCATGGTTGATGCGGAATAGTTGGCCGAAGTGATCAATAGTATCACTGCAGCGTTCGTCAAAGTCGTCTGATGCGATGAGGCGGTGTGCGTTCTCGGTGACCTGACCGATGCTATCCAAGATTGACTCCGTGATGACGGGATGCGCTTTCTTCAAGGCACCGACCTTGGCGACCTCCGTGGCAGTTGATCGTGGCTGGCGAGAATTGATGAGGAGAAGGGGTAGTTCGGGGAAGTCCAGGATTGGAATCACAGTCGGCGGTTTAGAATAGTCCCCTCTCCTGAATATGACTGCTTTTCCTCCGGTAGACACTGTATTATCAACACCACTCGGGTTGCCATGTATACACAGCTCTCCAACAAACGCCCACCGATTGATACGCTCGAGCTGTACTTCCGCCTCATCCGGTGGCTGATCTTGATGTGGCCCGGCCAGGATGCGAACTTGTAGCAGCAGTGCAGCGCTCAAACACACCGAGACACTCGCACTGCTTCCCAATCCAGCACCAAGCGGTATCGTCGACCGAAGCGTATAGATGGCAGCGTGAGTCTTTGGCGACCCGAGCGAGAGGAAGAGATATAAGAACTGATTGGCAGAGTGATGGTGAATTTTCCGTATTTCCTCCGGCTTATCAAGCGACACCAGCGCGATATGAGGCTTCAGGGCTTCGAGCAGCTCAGGATCCAGCTCCGTGACAGAGTCGTAGTAGAACTTCTTCTTGGATTTATGCTGGAAGACGTCCCACGGCAGGGAGTCGATATCCCAGGTATGATCCAACCCGATATCCCTAAAATTCAACGTAACCGTGCGATGCGACTTGGACAGCGTCGTGACGAGTAGATATGACCGCAGAGATATAGCAGCAGCCATTGCCTTCCTCCCATGCACCACAGCATGTTCTCCAAAGACGATAACCTTCCCCGGGGCCGAAACCATGAACGGCGGTGCCATTGGGGACGAGAGCTTCCTCCCCATCCTCGATTTGACGCTCAATCGGCCTGGCGGAAGCCCTTCTATTCCTGATCGTACCGGCGAGGGTGTGATGGCCCCGTCAGAACTATCTAGGGATTCATCGTCGGGTACGGTCATCCTCAGACTGTGACGGCCGTTGCGCATCGATCGGACGGGTATATTGCTCTCAAACCGCTCAACCATGGTCGCTCTTAGCCCGGAAGCTCTTCTTATTAATCGCGTTTGTTTCTCTGGTTCACGGCGAAGGGTGGTTTCAAAGCTTTAGGAGTTTCTGGTTATATTTTTCTTCGTCAACGTAGCATAGTGGCGCAGTGGAGGCCAGGAAAGGAGGGAGGGGATTCGACGGCCGTTTATATGCTGATAATTTAGATCGTATTTGCCTGGTCAATTAGCTGCTGTCTCGCAGTGGGATCAAGGAAGGCCGGATGGATCACGGATTCAAAAGGCACGCCGAACTTCTGTCTTCGTCCCTAGCTGTCCAGACTAATGTTTTAATTCTCTTGGTGATGTAAGCTCTGCGCGCGCGCTTTAGCCGGAATAGCTGTAGCTGAAATCTTAACTACCTTGTTGGGACAATCTGGATGTTTTCTTTTTCCCCGAGTTTCAGACGACAGGGATCCTGATACAGCCTTTATGCCTGTTCGCCGTTATATCGAGGCCTCCTGTGCGAAGTCCTGCTAATCTCGTCTTTACCAGTGACTGTGGCGTCTGATCTATTGTCGTGACTAAGAATAGTTGTATAATAGGCTGATACTGGCAAAGAGATCGAGAGGCAGTTGACATGAAGACGAACTTAATCTAGGTGATATACGGCGATATACAGGGGATGAGATAAACGATAAACGATATTCAACGGTTGTCTGCATAGTCGATATCAACTATGATTTCATAAGTGATCAATTTATGTAGTACCGAAATATATATACTTGTGGAACGCTAGAAACAGAATATCCGGAAGCTCTAGAGTAAATAACAATTTAAAGGTTCATCGTCACCGTGACACTGTTGCTGTGCACAAGTAGACATGGAGGAAGCCCGTCGCATAGCACTTCGAGGTCATCGACATAAGCTTCACTGGAAGCCTTGTCGCGCCAGACACCTTCAACGGGGGTCGGCAGTGTGGTGAATACCACGGCCGTCTCCTTGCTTTGTGATTTGATCAGTTCGTTTAGTATTAGATGCTGAGCTCGGCCTGGCAGGTCATTGAAAGACAGGGGAACTGCAGCCTGGAATGGGTATCCGGATGCTCGTGCTTGAGCTTCTGAGTCCCCTTCAGCTGGAGCTGATGCTGGCTGATCTGTAGTCGCTTCGGTTCTGGCATATATCGATTCATAGCCTGGTTTTGCCGTGCTCCCGCGGCGCGGAGGAGAGGAGTCAGCGAACATGATCGATGGCCCTACCCCTTCTTCAGAGACCACCTTTGTCACCGGGATAGGAGCCGAGGAGAATTTGGCGCTGGATGCGACACGGCCTTTTCTCATGAACTGGGCGCGCGGTGATGCGGTATTCGCGGTCTCTTCCGGTTCTTTGATAGTTGGAGTTTCAGAAGCAGCCATCGGGTCATCTTCGCCCTCTGGCTCGTGTTCGCTCTCACTCAAGTACGGCTCCAGGTCACTCTCGTCTGAAGACGATTCGTCATCATCGTTCCCATCAGAGTTGTATTCAACCATGGAATCCAACAGCCGATGTGTCTGCATTCCAAGACTGACGCCAGGTCCAAATGACCTCCTGCGAGATGATTCAAGGACTCTCTTCAGGCCCTCAAGTCCAGCACGTCGTCTTCCTCCTTCACGAGGCGTTGTAGAGCCAGATCCAGTGGGAGTTTGTCTCTGTGACCTTGTAGCTCTGCTTCTGGACTCTTCTGAAATGGCTCGATAGCGCCCAAGTTCCTTCCACCAATCCTCATCTTCCAAAGTCTTCTCGACGGAATCCATGATATCCTTATCCACGTTATTCTTCTCTCCGTTGATGATTACGCGGTAGGTTTGTAGGTCTCCGCTTGCTAGCCAAAACACCAACACTTCTGCACTAATTCGAAGCCTTTCAAGGAGGGTCATCACTCGCCCGCGTTCCTCCTCAACGTCCGTTTCATATTCTACAAACACTGCCACTCGAAGCTTGTACGAATGTTTCCAGGATGGAACAGTGTTGAGAATACAGCCAAGCTGTAAGATTAGCGTATAGGTATCAAAGTTGGTCGTAAGATAGTTGGTATGCGTGCGTCCTCCGCTTTGTGATATTTCTCCGGACATTTGAATCGGCCACAGGTCGATGTATTTAGTCGGTAAATCCCCGTCATTTGTCCCCGGCAGCTCGAGGTTCTCAAACCCTCGGGCGACTGCAACGTTGATACGCAGTTGAAATAGCAGATCCTCCAGAACCGTCAAGTAGCTTTGGACACTCATCGTCGAATCTCTTTCAAATGATCCCATTCTGCCCTTTCGAATATTATCTCTTTCGACCTCGCTGACACTCGAAAGGCGCCTTGTTGGTCGTCTCAAAGGTATACCAAAATCAAACGGGACGACAGGCTTCTCTTTGCGAAATTGGTCAATCACGACAATATTCGGCCGCATCCCTCCTAGTCCAGCACTCAAAACGATGTTCCTGATGCCCCATTCCATATTTGGAGCAGCTGTTATGCTAATAAAAGCCTTCACTTTTGAATATTCGATAAACTTATTCCAAGCACCCTGCTCCCTTCTAACCTCCGGAACAGCAGTCGCAAACTCATCCGTAACCACCACACGGCCAAGAACGAATAGCGCACCTTTTTTTAACGAATTACAGAAATGAATCATCTTATACTGTGACTCGAAATCGTTGACAAAGAGAAGAATCTGTGGTCGCCAAAATTTGACGTGCTCGGGTCGAAGGCGAAGCAGATATTTGCGAACTTGGTGGTAGATGAGACTTTGGCTGACATCTCCCCACGTCTTCGGAGGAGCCATGTAGTGGATTAAAAGGAACAGCGTCACCAACACACAGACACAGCCAGTGGCGTACACTCCATCAGTAAAGAACATGCTGGCTCCACTGATGACTGTACCGACGAGAGCAGTCGTTGAATTGAAGTAATGGAACGACGGTCTAAAATTCGGTGCTGAGCCAATCTTGAGCAAGAAACAAGCTAGATTAGTGACCAGGAAGGTCATCAAATATGCCATCGAGACGAAGGATGCGATTTGATTGATGTCGAAAAGTGTTGTTACTTGGGCTATTACGAAGGTGATTAGAATAGCACTAATCGGGTTGTCGTTGTTATCCGTTCCTTTTGCAAAGAGGGACAAGCCAGGCAGTAGGGCATCTCTTGCGATGGCTTGCAGTACCTTTGCTGCACCAATAATTCCCATAAGAGATGAGAAGAACGAGGTCGAGAATTCTCCCAAAACGATCAGGGACCCCGAGATACTGGTCTGTGGTTATTGGTTAGCGGAAGTGCCTGAGACCCGGGAACCATATAGTGTCACTAACATCTTGGATGATATTGACATCTTTATATAGTGATTCTCTAGTGACACTAGCTGCTAGTGTAAGAATAACGGCTGTGTATGTAAAAAAAGTAAGACCAAGGCCGTAGAGCGTTCCCTTAGGAATAGACCTGCTCGGGTTCTTGAGATCGCCAGACATGCTAGTCCCTCTGTAAACATATAAGTTAGCATAGTTACATGAGCGTTTGGGAAGGGTCTTCACGAACGCAAATATCCCAGAGGTTGCGGGGAATAGAATTCCGAACAAATCCTGAAAGGTTTCCCGCTTCTTTATCTGACTACCGGCCGCACCTCTGGTAAGCCTTGGATATAAATTGTCAAGGAACGACTTGGCGCTGAAGCCAGTGAATTCGATTCCTAGTCGTTCGTTTTTGAAAGGCTGCAAAATAGACGCTGACAACGGAATGCTGAAGGTTGCCACCAATAGAACGACGAGCAATCCATTACTCGCACGAGCAAAGACAGAGCTCCCTGCCAAACAGATTGCCGTGCAGAGGACCAAGATGATGGTTGCCCAGAGGTACTCCCACCAGAATCCCTCGTAGAGGAAATGGGCCTTGCTGCCGGAAACAACGCCAAAATTTTGTTTAAAACAGTCAATCAGACCAACCGCGTTCATTCCCGTGTTCAGAACACAGCCAAGATAGAACACTATGCCAATTGAGCCGCCAAACTCGGTACCTAACGACCGACTGATGAGATAATAAGCACCCCCACCTCTAACTGTTCCGTTTGTTGCAATTGCCGAAATTGACATTGTAGTTATCAAGTCAATGGCGTATGATATAATAAGCATGCCTATCCGTCTTCATTTAGAGCTGGATCGTCAAAAGGGTTACGGAGGGAGGATGTTCCACTAACCCATCATGCCCAAGACACCGCTCTGGCCTAAAATAAAGCCGAAACGGAGGAACATAAGGATACTCAGGACATTGAGGGTCGTTGGGACGAATACTCCGGAGAAGGACCCCAGCTTCTGTGCCTCATTGCCATCGTCCTGGGCCAGCTTCTCTCTTTCGTCTGGAAACCCGAGCTTAGCAGGTATGGGCCGGGCCATTGAAGCTCTCTGGAGTCGAGAAACACTCCGGCTTCTCTGTCGAAGCCCATGCTGGCCCTCATGGCCCGTTCTTCCGTGTCCACCGAGCCCTGGTATACTCCTATATAAAATGTTAGACATGGCGAGAAGACTCCTCGGTTCAGTTGGCGGTCAGTGGGATGTATCCTAACCAGCCAGCTCCAGAGGCGTGATCTGCCTCCTGAGTGCTATTGCCATCGTTGGCAGAGCCATTCCTCGGGCGACTCATGGTCGATGAAGAAGGCACAGGGAGTGTTGGAAACTAGGCAGGGGGTTGATGCACCGTTGGCACCCCCCGTCACACGCAGGACAAGGGCTCTATCGAAGCATACTCAACGCTGAACCTGTAGATAGTCAATACAGCGTGTCGAGCGGGACAGATATAAGGGTATGAAGACGTATAAAAGCGATGAAGTTGATATCTTGACCTGCCGCGTTTCGTCATCGGCCCAAAAAAAGAGAGCTCATCCACGTGACCATATCCTATTTGGTAGCTCATATCCCGATCAGGAACAAAGACTGTTACTAAGCCGTAGATCATTACTAATCAAGTCACCTGAGCTTATTTTCACGTCAAAATAGGTACGCTAGCCGTATGCGGTTAGAGGATGACCTAAGCACTGCGTCATAAGTGGTTGAGCCAATAAGCGCGAGCCCGTTTTTTGCGATTCGAACGACTTTCAAACCCTCGTCACGCTGACCGAGCACGAAACCACGACCACGACCAACCGCTCCCACGGCTGAAGCTGCTGACCGTCCTGCAGCATAAAACCCCCAGCCATCCCCTCCTGCAGAGCTGCCAGACCTGTCGTCCCACGGAGTACACGATTGGCATCTCTTGCGTCGGAACCTGAGCCACGGAGTGTGTCCGTTGATCTTGTGTGACGACATCTACCCGGCCTGCGTTTCACCCGTATCCAGCAGCCAGTGAGTGAGTTATCGGAAGATTAGAGAATCAGATGGCTGCAACAACCAGCGAGATGGACAAGGGAAAGGCTATACCGACATCCAACGGACAGGCTGCAGAGTCAACGCGTGGCAGAGCAATCAGCAGCACTACTCCTCCAGAGGGCGGCCTGGCTCCGGGCTCGCTCCCAAGACACCTAGCCACGGCCAGGCTGGCTTCTCCCGTCCCTTCGTCGTCGTTTACTGAAGCACAGGACCTGCAGCTAAGACGAGTTCCAACGCCCAGGCAGACCGCTCCGCCTGATGCCAAAGATGCCACCGACTTTAAAGCCTCGTCCGTCGTGCCGTCATCGCCCGACGCTCCCAGGCCGTCAGCCCTGACGAGCGCCCTTCAAGACGAGAATGCCTCCAGCGGAACCGCATCGTCTTCGAGCGGTGCTCCCCTGGAAGACGCAGAGGTGGTAAAACGACACTTGGTGCAACCACCGCTCGAAACGGCTGACTCCAATGACGCCAACGGGAAGAAGCCGGAGTCGACCAAATCCGGCGGAAGTGGGAGCGGCAAGGATGCAGCAGAGGAGTTTTCCAGCTTAAAGCTTCAAGGTGGTGACATAACGAGACCAATCTACAGGTGGGCCGAAGCAGAGGCTCAGGAGCAGCAGGGTCCCAAGAGACGGAAAAGTTTTGACCTTGCAAGGCCAGAACCCGAGGCTGAGACCTTGGATATCAACACGATCAGAGTTCCAGGTGGCTTCCGCCGAGACTACCTGCGTAGAACTGGCGGAGAGCAAAACACTCTCACTGCACCAGCAGATCCGGAACAGGCACTCGGCCAGCCTCGTTTGCCGACGAACAGCTTCTTGGAATTCCTAACTCTGTTTGGCCATTTCGCCGGTGAGGAGCTTGAGGAAGATGACGAAGTGCTTGGCCCGGGTGAGTTCTTCACCCGAAGAACTGGATTTGGAGAAGAGGAGCCGTCAGAGGAGACCTCGCTGCTTCGACCTGGAAGCGCCGGAGGCCGTACGCCCAAAGACCGCGCCGCAAAGGCTACCAACACCTCCATGGGAGCCGTACTCCTTCTCTTGAAGTCCTTTGTTGGAACCGGTGTCTTGTTTCTTCCACGCGCCTTTTTGAACGGCGGTATGGTGTTTAGTTCCATCGTGCTAGTCGCGATATCGGCGCTAAGCTACTACTGCTTTATCTTGCTTGTGAACACCCGGAATAAAATCAACGGCTCGTTTGGTGATATGGGAGGCGTGCTGTATGGTGAGAAAATGAGAAAAATCATTCTCCTCTCAGTTGCACTCAGCCAGCTTGGCTTCGTTGCAGCATACATCGTTTTCGTCTCGCAGAATCTCCAAGCTTTCATTTTATCCGTTAGCAACTGTGAGACTTTCATGAACATCAAGTATGTTATCATGATGCAGCTCATAATATTCCTTCCGCTTTCACTTGTGCGCGATATCTCCAAACTTGCCTTTACAGCCCTAATCGCGGATGTGTTTATTCTGCTTGGCTTGGTCTACCTTTACGGATTCGGCATTAGCACCATCATGGAACAGGGCGTTGCCGACATTCAGCCCTTCAACCCCAAGTCCTACACACTGCTAATCGGAACCGCTATCTTCACCTTTGAAGGAATTGGCCTGATCATTCCCATTCAAGAGTCCATGAAGCGCCCTGAGAAGTTCCCCGGCGTCCTAGCCCTGGTCATGGTTGTCATCACCGTTGTCTTCCTCTCCATGGGTGTTGTTGGCTATGCAACCTTCGGTTCCGCAACCGAGACCGTTGTCATCCTTAACCTCCCTCAGCAGGATAACTTTGTCCGAGCAATCCAGTTCTTGTATGCCATTGCTATCCTTCTGAGCACACCCCTTCAGCTCTTCCCCGCCATCCGAATCCTAGAAAATGGCCTCTTTACTCGCAGTGGAAAGTACAACCCCGGAATCAAATGGAAGAAGAACATCTTCCGCTTCTTCCTTGTTTTAGTGTGCGCTTCCATTGCCTGGGGTGGAGCCGGTGACTTGGACAAATTCGTCTCCCTTATTGGAAGCTTCGCATGCGTTCCCCTTGTCTTTGTGTATCCGGTATGTCTTTATCCCTAATCTTCCGTTCATGTAAAAACGTCAAAGCTAACCATTTCATTATAGCCCATGCTTCATTACAAGGGCGTGGCAACCACTCGGCTGCAAAAATCCCTAGACATCTGCCTCATGACCTTCGGAATGTTATGCTGTGCATACACTACAGCCCTAACCCTTAAGAACTGGGCAGGCGGAAGCAGCGCTCCCAAACTCCCAGGATATTGCGACAAATAGTGCATGAATCCCCCATTTTGGCGCTGTCTGGCGAACAGCAGCATCTCAATCTCCCATTAGCATTGAATTATTGTTTTTCGGATGCGAGCATTTCTCAGGGCCTAAATTCCGGTAAATCACACCCTTACCTCCGATTCAGGACGTACATATTTTCCGCTTGTTTCACGATATAGATTCCGTCTCACCACCACTACATTTTCCATACACGTGTTTGTCTCTTGTTAAATTGATTCCATTTTGCCTGTTTCTTTGGGTCGTTTGTTTATTTGTTTTCCTTACTCCTGAATCTAAGACTTCATTCCTCTTGTGGAATGTAGAGGTTAGATGTGATGGGCTCGTTTGGTTTCTTACCCTTTTGTTATCATTCCGGTAGATTTAGATACGCGGGTTATATTTCCATAGATAAACCCGGTATACACGGCTTCGCAATATTCAAGATTGGGTTCTACTTACATTGTCAACCTCGAAGATACTGTAAGTAATATAAGATATACAATCGAAGCTATCTCCTCTATATTTGTCCTAGCCTATTTAAAGAATGCAAGAACTAGATCATCCGCAGGTAGCCCTTCAATGCAGGAAATGCTGAATTCCCCGTATCGACTTGCACTCGAAATGTAAAATAAGAAATAAATAGCTTTATTAAAACACAAGTGAACAAACATAACAAACCAAACCGTGTATGCTTAATAGGTACAATCCAATCCAACGAAGCATCTATATGCTTTTGAAGGAAAGAAACGAGAAAAGAAGAGTATTTGCAAATCCATCAACCATATCTATGAAGAAGAGCTAGGTTCAGCAGCAACTTTTCCTACTTTGGCGCCGGCTTCCTTGGCCTGGTTTGCGAGAACTGCCTCTCGTCCTCCCCACCTAGACGCGAGAAAGAGAATCAATTAGTTTAGAGATCGTAGTTTATATGGCTAGCAACGACGTAAAGGGGAAGAAAGGATGAAAGATATGAAAGAACGACGTACTGCCAGTAGTTCATCCACCGGTATCCTTGAGTCAATTGGGCTCCGAAGTTGATGAAGTGGCATGCGAAAAGAAGGTAGTTCCTGGGCGTAACGGCGAGGGAATAACGCATGAAGGTTCCAGAGTAGATGACCAATGCACCGGTCATTTGTGCAGAGATGCTATATAGTATAGATAGTTAGATGGGTGATATTCGTATAGGCGCGAAGATAGCCGCTCAACCAACGAGGTTGACAGTTTTAGTATCAGGGGTCGCGGAAAGGGTGTGATATCTCTCAACGACGTACATTTCGGGGTCTTTTTGGGTATCCATGACCGCGGCGACTGGAATACCGAAGTTGGAGGCTGGGCCCCAGAAATCTATATATATTCAACACTCATTAGCATCCGGCTCAACACTGAGGCAAAGGGTGAGGCTGAAGACGAGCAGGATATCGAGTTCAACGACGCTCAATCCAATCGAATCGCATATCCAAGAGCAATTAGAAAGATAGTAATAGAGAAACATACGTGTTGAGCAGAAGTAGTCCAACACCTTGTTGGACCGTATCTTCGCATTGATCGCTTTTACGACGGCGGCCATTGTGGCGGTATTTCTCTGGGTAACGAGGAAAAGAGATTAAAGAAGTAAGTTGAAGAAGTAGACCGTATCTGACAGTCGACAGATGAAGAGTAGAGATGTTTCTGGACGCCGCGAGTCGAAGATCTGGATGTTTTCTCAAATGCTGAATTGCTTTCCCCAACTAAAGCTCCGAAGTCCGGAGTGAATATCCATATTGGTCACGTGAGGACATCCCCAGACCGCGCTTGAACTTTGGACTTTGTAGACCTGATATAGGACAATAAAGTGAGTAGATTAATTTATCTTTTGATAAGGTCACAGTATATAACTAGCAGGTGTAATATTCTCAAACTAGTGCCTCAATATTGGGAGGTCCTTTAGCCTTTCATTCACCGATACCACCAAACGCCATGGAGAAGAAAAATGCGAAAAGGGTAAGAAAAAGGAAACAAATGGTCTGTCATCATTGTTTGTGAGCAAGGGAATCATGCAATTAGGTCTTTGCTGCCGTTGTCAAGACACGCTGGGTTTCGTAATCCAAGTAGTGCGAGATTATCGTCCGCCCATACCAGGTGGGAAGCCCCTCCCTTGCCCTGGAGGCTGGAAGCCAGGTGGTGGTTGGAATCCTCCAGCTAAGGCATTGTCGTTAGTATGCGAGTAAAAAAGAACATGTAGGATAAACGTTGGTACTTACGAGGTCCGCCAGGGGCTCCAGGAGCGCCAAAGCCTGGTGGAGGTCCAAATCCGGCTATATCACAAGTCAGTATAAACAATTAAGAAGACAACGAGAATTCTAGGCAGAATAAAACGTACGTGGTCCTCCAGGCGGTCCTCCAGGAGGTCCTCCTCGACCTCCAAAGCCAGGAGGCGGGCCACCAGGGAAGCCCGCCGGTGGTGGGAATGCGCCAAATCCAGCAGGAGGAGGTGGCCCTCCAACGCCAGCAGCCGGTCCACCAAGACCAACAGGCAGCCCTCTTCCAGCAGGTTTGCTGATTCCAGGGCCCGCAGCGAGTGTCGCGGAGACACCACCAGGGATACCGGTAGCGGTCGTTCCTAGTCTAGCAGCTGGTTCTGCTGGTGGTGGGCCGTCGACCGAACATGATACAACGTGTGTTCCGCGCACGATCGTGAGTCCCAGCGTTCTCTTCTCCTCTGCCTCGACCAGCTGTGGGGTGCTGCCTGCCGCAGACTGTCCTCCTTTGGCGGATCTCTTCTTTACTCGACGGAACTCTTCGGTGTCTGCGAGAACGAGGTTCATGTGCTATACACCGTCAGCATCTCTACACCAATATCGAGGCTCAAGACCTATCGTAATCATCATATAATCGCACCTTGTCGAATGCAAGCATCTGGCCGGTCATCTGTCGGCCATCGGTCAAAGTAACCCTCATCCTATAATTGATCTAGTCCGCGCGTTAGCCAGACCCAGAACACGCCCAAAAGCGGATTGCACAGCATTGCATAACGACAGCGAGTAAGATAACCGTACGAGATTTTGCTAAAAGGCCATGTCAGCGATCGTATCTTGCTATCAGACGAAGCTCCAGCTAAACTCACCATCTTTCCCTGCTTGTTTGAAGCCATGCTGCTCCAAGTTGCGCACGGATGCGACTTTACAGAAACTCGGGGATAAACGAACCGCCCAGCGCCAGCAGCTCTGCCTTCAATACAGCAGCACAGCAGGTCTGTCGTGGAAATCAACGATCTGCTTGATATATCTCGTCTTTTGTCGACTTGAAGATGAAGATGCGATTTTCACCTGTTCGGGTTTAGCGCGCCGCCAAGCCGCGTAGGGTTTTTTCGCTTCCGCGCACAACAAAAGTAGGAAAACACAATCGCGATTTCGACAACTTCGATATCTCTGCGCTTCCTCGACCAGCAACTCCGATCCCCAGCAACGACCTCACGACTCACAATGGTACGTCCTGGCCGCCGTGCGTGCTCTATGCAGAAGACTAACAAGATGGCAGGCCGAGGGAAACGACAAGACCTCGAACCCCATGCGGGAACTCCGCATCCAGAAACTCGTCCTCAACATCTCCGTCGGCGAGTCTGGTGACAGGCTTACTCGTGCAGCCAAGGTGTTGGAACAGCTGAGCGGTCAAACTCCAGTCTACAGTACGGATATCCCAGCGATTGCAGCGGAATATGGAATATGGAATGTTAGGAACTGACAAGCGACCGCACACAAACAGGCAAGGCCAGATACACCGTCCGTACTTTCGGTATCCGACGTAACGAGAAGATCGCTGTTCACGTCACCGTCCGTGGCCCCAAGGCTGAGGAGATTCTCGAGCGTGGCCTCAAGGTCAAGGAATACGAATTGAGGAAGCGAAACTTCTCTGAGACCGGTAACTTCGGATTCGGTATCAACGAACACATCGACTTGGGCATCAAGTACGACCCTGGTATCGGTATCTACGGAATGGACTTTTACTGCTGCATGTGAGTGTCATCGGAGGACTGCAGAAACAATCATGGCCGGATTACTGACCACCCGCATCTAGGACTCGTCCTGGTGAGCGTATCGCCAAGCGCCGACGATGCCAGTCCAAAATCGGTGCTCCTCATCGCATCAACCAGACCGAGACCATCAAATGGTTCAAGAGCAGATTCGAGGGAATTGTCCGATAAATCAATCTTTAAAATCAAACAAACTTCCAACCTTTTTCCTCTGCCTCTCTTCTTTCCCATTTTTTTTGCCCTCTAATGCCCGGTTCAGGCGAGGAAGAAATACCATATCAGACAGCATGAAACGGCCACTCCCGCCCCGTTTCTACTGCTGAGCTTCGCAAAACAACCCTCTCTTTGCTCGTTGTGTTTTATCATTGGGAAACCATGGTGGGGTGGGTCATTAAAAACGGCGTGTGCGTGCTAGGGCATTTTCCAACGAAGAAGACTCAACGGCAAGCAAGTATGATATGACATGCAACAATAAAATTTACATTTCAAATGGCTTTCTTTCCCAGCTTCACAATGGAGGCTTCACATAGGGTGTTGTTCCGCTTAACCATTGCTGAGAGGGACGTTGGCATTATGCCATACATTTCTGGGATGGGAAACGACCTCGTTTCTTGTTCCAGGCGGCCTATTGAAAGCTTCGTCTGTCTTGTCCTACCATCTCTTTCGAGAGGCTGCCGGACCTGATCAGGCTGGCTCTCTGATTCATCTTTCTCTGCTCGCATGTAGAACATCGTAGTGTGTCATCTTCAAAGTATGTAAGTGTTCACGTAAGTCGTAAGGTAAGAGTAGATCCTATATTGGTATTGCAATGTTATACTAACATAATACGAAACTTGATAACATTAATAATCGACAAATGAAATAAAGCAAACGTTATTAACTCCAACATTAAGCAGAAATAATGTCACAATCATAAACGACTCAATTCTCCTACACATTCCTTAAACTGAAAGGAGAGTTGAACGGTCTGTTATCCAGTCCACTTTTGCATGTGAGGCAGTTTCAAATCATATACCCATACCTCCGAAGATTGCAACTTGATCAAAATGCAGCGATCATGAATCCATCACTTGTTCTTGGGAACAGCCTTCTCTCCCTTGACGAAGCTATATATTCACCGTCAGCATCAGCCATGCTTCAACCCACTCAGCGGTTATGTAGTATAAGACGAGGAGAACTCACTTATCCCACCACCTTCCGAGGAACCTTCTATCCTCCGGCCCGGAACCAACGGCTTGCTCCCTCCAGCTCTGTCTCCTATTGACATAGAGCGGATCACCGGATAGACGCTTCTGCGTCATCAAGCCTGCATATGGCTGGTCAGAGTGCGAATTAGTTCGCTTCGACGCACCCTGCTGTCCAGGACTAGATTCAGATTCAGACGAGACAGAAGCTGAACGTTCCTTCGTCGCAAATGGGAAGAGGTTTGATGCCACGCCCGGAGACTGAGCTGCTTGGGCCGTGGCGGATGAAGTAGATGAGAACGAAGCTGATCTCTCGGGAGCAATGCCAGATATGGCTGGGATGCTGGAGCTGGTAGATGCCTGGATATCACGACGTTAGCAAGGGACGATTCTTTGCACTGGCATAGGTATAGTATCGGTATCTCCTTACCCTTCGCAGCTCTTCGTTAGCTGCCTCCGATGGCATAGAGGACCGGCGAGGATGGTAGAAGTACGGCGTTCCACCCCTAACCCATACCGGCGGACGGTCTGGACGGTCACTCATGATGTATATTATATATATCGGTACTGATATCGAGTGTTCTTGGTGTATACGTTTGGACAGTCACTTTATCCTGCTCTCTCAAAGACAATATCTAGAGCAATGAAGGAGAGCGGGGGAATCGCCTCTCGTTCGCTCTTTTACCTCTTTTGCCCCCTCCCCAGTCCAAGGCAAAGCCCGGTTGGATCCAGGGTCGATCCAGGTCCAGGTCGAAGCCATAGCCTGTGGTTGTATCTCGGTGAGAAAGCTGCTCGTATATGGTGACCTATCGATGTGTACGTGTTGGCGTCTACTTTCCACCGTTGGGTCGGTTTGAGAAGCATACAACGGTCTCTGCGGGTTAGTAGTATGATATATAGCTCTATGCCGTTGTATATGTCGATAGATTCCTTGTAAAAGTCGACTTGTTGCGAACTGTGTACTTGTAGTAGATGTAGGAGGTACTTTTGCTCGTGTGATGAAGCAAGCTCTATACAATCCGCTATGATGTCACATCTTGCTGCATATCTGATTGGCCAAAGGCGCACATCCTCGATATATCATTCGCTAACTATCATACGATCAAGGTATAGGGCCTGGCATAAGTAACAGCGTTGAAGGCTCTAAATAACAAACTGGATGGGGGCTATATATAAATAACGGCGTAACAACATACAACTTTTAAGTTGCTTTGGTCATTTTACAGATGAGATCCTGTCCATCGACGGAATCTCCCTCCTTAACATGCAAGCTAGCAATTTTACCGTGGTGAGGTGCGGAAATAACCATCTCCTATACGCAGGCAGGTTAGTTAGTATGTAGTCAACGACGGGAAGGATATACAACGTTAGACGTACCATCTTCATAGCACTGAGCACGGCAATGGGGTCTCCCTTCTTCACCTCGACACCCTCATGCACTCTGATCTCCACAACAACACCGCTCATCGGGGCGCCAACTTGGCTGCTATCACTGGCATCGGCCTTGAGGCGGCTAGTATCGTCCACAGTGGCGAGGACATCGTCAACAGAAACCTGTCGAACTTCACCGTTCATCTCATAGAATACCTCTCGTTGACCAGTCTGTTCAGACAACGGACCCACAGCCAATAGTTTCAGGATAAGCACCTTTCCTTGCTCGAGCTCAACGCTGAATTCTTCGCCGATCTCAGGTCTGGCGAGGAAGTATTTCGTAGGCAGCACAGAGAGGTCACCGTATTTGGCTACAAAAGTACGGTAGTCCTGGTAGACCTTGGGGTACATGGCGTAACTGGCGACATCGCACTCGGTAGCGCTGCCGAATTTCTCCTTCAGCTCGGCCTTGATCTTGACTAGATCTAGCGGCTCGAGGTGGAGACCTGGGCGGTCCTCGAGCTTTCGGCGATCGCGAAGGGCACGGGAGCGGAGAGGTTCGGGGAATCCACCGTAGGGTTGACCCATGAGGCCCTCGAGGAACTCGAGGACGGAGCCGGGGAAGTCAAGCTCGCCGGCACGGGCAACCACGTCGTCTGGGCTGAGCTTGTTGGAGACCATGAACTGAGCCAGGTCACCGACGACCTTGGAGGTAGGGGTGACTTTGACGATGTCGCCTAGGAGGTCGTTGGCTTGTTCGTAGGCCTTCTTGGTTTCGGCCCACTGAGCACCGAGACCAAGCTGATGGGCTTGGAAGATGAGGTTAGTTAGTTGACCACCTGGGATTTCGTGTTCGTAGACCTCTGGGTCTGGGCCTGTGAGACCGGCTTCGAAGGGAGAGTATAGGAGACGGAGCTGAGCCCAGTAGGAGTCGATGGCGCGGACGTTGTGGATATCAAGCTGGGGGTCTTGGTCGGTGCCCTGGAGCGAGGCGAGGATAGCACCAACGCTGGGCTGAGAGGTCATACCGGACATGCTGTCAGTAGCAGCATCAACGGCGTCAGCGCCAGCATGGGCACAAGCAACCATAGACGCAACACCAGTTCCTGCAGAGTCGTGGGTGTGGACGTGAATGGGCAGGTCTGGGTATTTCTTCCTGATAGATCCAATGAGCAGGGTTGCAGCCTGGGGTTTGAGGACACCAGCCATATCCTTGATACCGAGGACATGGGTGCCGAGGGCAACGATCTTGTCGGCAAGATCAAGGTAGTAGTCCAGGTTATACTTCTTCTTGGGGTTAAGCATGTCTCCGGAGTAGCAGATGGTTCCTTCAATGACACCACCGGCGGCAGCCACAGCCTTCATACCAACCTCAAGCTGGTGCACGTCATTGAGGGCGTCGAAGACACGGAAGATATCAACACCATATCTCTTCGCTTGCTTGCAGAAGTGGTAGATGGCATTGTCAGGGAGACTATCAAATTCACATTTTAGCAGTTGTCCACCTAATTCATATCAACGTGACGGAAACTTACGAAGAATAAGCCACACCGTTGGCACCACGCAGCAACATCTGGAACGGAATGTTTGGCACCGCCTTTCTCATCTTTCTGAGCCTATCCCATGGATCTTCATACAAGAATCTCATGGCAACATCGAACGTTGCACCACCCCAACATTCCAAACTGTACGCATTGTTATACGCATAGCTTGTCTCTCTGGCAATGTTAACCAGGTCAACTGTACGAACCCTGGTCGCCAATAGCGATTGATGGGCATCACGCCAGGTGGTATCCATGATAAGACATCCCTTATTCTCACGGACAGCCTTGGCAAATGCAGCAGGACCCTTGTCGTCGATGATCTGCTTCCATCCCTTCTTGCAAGGAGAGCTGATATCGAGTGGTTTGCCATCGGCATCGCGCATGATAGGCATCAAAATGTTGCCCTTGAACTTGGGATCGCCGACCTGGCCCTTGATACTGCTTCCGTTGACGGCGACATCACCAAGGTATGCAAGCAATTTCTGGGCACGGTTCTGGGAACCGATGAGGGCAAATAGTTCGGGGGTATCGTCGATGAAGGTGGTCCAGCATTTGCTTTCGATGAAGGTTGGGTGGGTTAGCAGCGAAGCCAAGAAGGGAATGTTTGTCTTGACGCCACGAATACGGAATTCGACGAGGGCACGGAGCATCTTTCGTCGTGCGACTTCGTATGTGGAACCGTGGCAGGTACATTTGACCAACATGGAGTCATAGTGAGGGGTGATGATGGCGCCGGCGAAACCGTTACCTCCGTCAAGGCGGACACCGTTACCACCAGCAGAGCGGTAGACTTCGATCTTGCCGGTGTCAGGCTGGAAGCCCTTGGTCGGGTCTTCGGTGGTGATACGGCATTGGATGGCGAAACCTCTGATGGAGATGCGGTCCTGGGTAAGGCCGAGCTGTTCCAGAGTGGCACCGGCTGCGATCTGGATCTGGGCAGCGACGATATCAATGCCTGTGATTTCTTCGGTAATGGTGTGCTCGACCTGGATACGGGGGTTGATTTCGATGAAGTAGTATCTGTTCTGCTGGTCGACGAGGAACTCTGCGGTACCAGCGTTGCGATAGTTGACATGTTTAGCGAGCTTGACGGCGTCAGCCAGGATGTTATCACGGACTTCGATGGGGAGGTCCTTGGCCGGAGCCAGCTCGACGACCTTCTGGTGACGGCGCTGGACACTGCAGTCACGCTCATATAGATGGACGACGTTGCCGTGGTTGTCACCCAGAAGCTGAACCTCGATGTGCTTTGGTTTGTCTAGGAAACGTTCCACGAAGACGGTGCCGTTGCCAAAGGCCGTCTTGGCCTCTGAGGTCGCACGCTCAAAGGAGTCACGCAGAGATTCCTGGTCACGGACGACACGCATGCCTCGTCCGCCACCGCCAAAGGCAGCCTTGATGATGATGGGGAAGCCGTACTCGTCGGTGAAGGACTTGACCTCCTCGAAGGACTCGACCGGTCCGGGGGTACCGGGGACGACGGGTACCTTGCACTCCATGGCAATGGTTCGCGCGGAGACCTTGTCACCCAGCCTGTCGATGGTTTCCGGAGTTGGTCCAACAAAGACCATACCGGCCTTTTCGACCGCACGGGCAAACTCGGCGTTCTCAGACAAGAAGCCGTAGCCGGGATGGATGAGATGGACGCCATGCTCGGAGGCGATGTTGACGATCTCCTGGCCGGCCAGATAGGCGGCAACAGGCGTATACTGACCACGCTTGCCGATCTGATACGCCTCGTCGGCCTTTTGACGGTGCATGCTCAGCCTGTCTTCGTAGCTGAAGATGGCAACGGTCTGTAGGGAGAGTTCGTGGGCGGTACGGAAGATACGGATGGGGATTTCGCCTCTGTTGGCGACGAGGATCTTCTGGAACTGCATGATGGAGGAATTGGCCCGCAGACGACTGTGGACAGAGTCCTGGAAGTTGGACGGGTGGTGGTCTTCCATGACATCTTCTTCTTCGATGGCGTCCTCGCGGATAGCCGCGACATTGACGTCTGGTATTGGTACTGGAGGGGGAGCCATTGTGCAGGAGGGATAGATGAACGGGGGTATCAGAAGAAGATGGCGAGTCCTGATATCACGCCGTATCTATACGCAGAGCACTTCTCTGGGGTGATTCTTTTGACTGTATCTCGCCTGTGCCGTTCTCAATGTTATTATTCCTAGAGCATCGAGTTAGCATCGAGTCTTCCCCTAATATTCAATGGCCAGAGGGGCATGAAGCCGCGGCATCGGCCTGGCGGAGGAGGGGCTAGGGAGCAGTCCGCGGTGGGGCAGAGGCCAGCAGTTCCTGTCTAAGCCGACCGGGCAGCGATTGACAGCGGCCACGGCGCCGGACAGGACGCTGGGAGCTGGGGACGTACCTGGACACTTCGCTGGAGCGGCGAGCAGTGGAGGAGAGGCAGGCTGGAGGTTGACGATGTCCGCGATGTCGCTGGGCGGGCGGGCTTCCCTTATTATGTGCCGCCCGCCCGCCGAAGGTTAGCTTAGGTAAGCAGCTCCGTCCCGCCGCCCTGGCTCGCGTTAATTATTCTCCGCTCACGTGGGAGGCACATGACGCCGGCACATGACCCAACACTACCACTACATATAAGATATACACATATATATACAGATACAGATATAGATATACATAGAGATATATACATATGATATATATATACAGATACATAGCTATAGATAGATGCAGATAGAGGATGGAGATAGATACACGTAGAGACGGCCGGTGTACTCCCGCCGGAAAACCCCCTGGCCTCGGATTCTCTCCACCAAGCAAAAGACTGAAACCAGAAGCCGAAAAAGAAAAATGATATCATCAGCAGTTGCTACGACATGGGTCCGCCTTCCATTGCCTTCTCTTTCTTTGACTAATATCATTTGAGTCATTTATTCATCTCCCGTATCCTAAGTCTAGCCGAGCAAGAAAGAAGCTTCCCTCGTTTCTTTTTTCCCCGGTCGAGAATTTTTTGTTTTTCCTTTTCCTTTTCTTTATGCCTGGTTTTTTTACGTTTGCTTTCAACTCTTCGCGCCGTTTAGCCGAGGATAAACCGGTTTGGTCAAGGGTGGCTGCTGTATAGGTCGGGGGGTGGGTAAAGACTCACGTACCACTGCGTGTTGGGGTGTGCTCCGACTGGCTAGACGATCTATTTACATTCGGCGGTAGTATAAGTTAGGTAGACGGTGGTGGTTGCGGTGCTGACGCAGATGGCTTCACCTCATCACACGGTTGGGGAAGTGATCGTATCGTCCTGCATCTGGGGAAAGTCTAGTCTCTCTTCCGGAGAAATAAATATCGGGCAACTAGTGAGGTGCACGGAGGTCCGTCGGCAGATTCAATCCATTTACCGAAGATAAGACGTTCAATTACAGGGAAAAGGAAAATAAAAAGAAACAAATATCTCGTATCAAATACATGGTGAAGAAGGGGACATGACATGGTTACATTTAAGAGGTGGTTAGGAGCCGGGGAGCCGAAGCCGAAGCCGGCCGTGACGATGGAATGACAACATTAAGGGTTTTATTTTGTGAAGCGACGAAGAGAGTAAGCAATAGGGAAGCAGGACAAAAGAAAGAAAGAAAAAAAGAAGCAAAAAAGGAATCCCCTCCTCCATTTCCATATTTCGCAGTCCCAGATGATAAAGAAAAGAAGTCAGAGTGGTAAGGGGAATAATGACAAATGAAACCACGACGATCTTTAATTCTAATTACCGGAGATAAGAAAGATAACAAAACAACCAACCAGCCCATTTTCATTCAACGGTCAGGGCTCGTCTGGTTATCTTCGTCTCGTCTCATCCTATCTTCATCCCTTGCTTTATTTATCCGTGTGTGTTCGTTTGCTCGTTCGTGTTTAGAAAGGTCGGAACCCAGTAGGCTGAGGCGTTATTCCATTCGTCTGTCCACCGAACATCGAGGGCGCTCCTCCTCCCATCGAACCGCTGGGACCTTGAGTCAACATCAGCCTCGATCCGCCCAGAATAGGCGTGTTGTCTTCTTCCTTCTGCTGTGTGGCTTCCTTGGCCTTGCGCTCCTCGTTATCCTTCTTCAACATCTCGATGGTCTGGACTTGCTGACTGAGCATGTTGATCATGTATGGCATCGTGAAGTCGTGTAGGCCGTGGCGCCAGGACATCTCCAGAACCACGTCAGGGCGGATGAGCTCGTAGCAGGCGTAAAGCATGCCAACGTAGCATTCGCGGCTGCCAATGTCGACGAACTATATATAATTCATTAGTATACGTAGCATATTTAGGTGATAGACAGTTACTCACGTAGCGCAACAACTCCTCGACAACCTCGGGCTTTCCGGAAATAGCTGCAGTCTCAATAGCATCCTTGAACAGCTTATCCTGCTTGGATAGCGCAATAGACTTCTCCCATCTCTTGTTCTTGCGGTAGATGTTGGCAGCAATCTGTCTGAAGAACACAAGCTCATGCTTCTCCAGCCTCTGTGCCAGCTCGACAGGGTCATAGTTGTCATGGTTCTCAACCGAGTCACGGAGCGTCTTGTGGTCTTCCTCCTCGATCAAGAGGTCGTTAATGGCATTATTAACAGCACGCTTGTTCTGTGGCTGCACGTTAAGTAGGAACGGCTTGATCAGCGGGATGTTGTCCGATTTCTCAAACATGCGGACAACTCGGTTGACGTCGATACGGGCAGTGAGGACTTGGAGCAGATCAGTCAACAAAAGTGGCTGCTCTTGTAGGTAAAAGTTCAAAGCGCGGTAGTAGATCTCGAGATTGGCAACTTTGACGACGATGTCCTTGAAAGAGTGGTGCTCCCATGAGTCGGCGGCACGCTCCATCATTGCCAGAGCAGCGTTGTCCCATTCGTCGTAGTGGCAGTACAGGAATACAAGCTCCGGCCAGAGGTTGGCATCCTCGCACGCACGGATCATCTTGGGGATATTGATTCGGGTCCAGAACAGCTTGAGATGTTCCATCACGCGGTCGGGGTGGTATTTCGACAGAGCAATGCCTAGTTCAGTGAACATGCCCATATGGGCTCTCTCAAGGCCAAGACCAGCCTCGAGCAAAGCAATGAGCTCGTCAAAGTAGCCATTGCGCTCATACTGGCGGACCAAGTCTTGCAACTCCTCTGCATGCACAATGAGGTTCAAACCGCAAATCTGAGCAAGGCGGAATTCCTTCTTAGCAACACAGGCAGCGTTGACTTCTTTCCAGACCTTGACGCTATTGCCCTTACGAGCACACTCAACAGCAGCTTGGTAATCCTCGAGGTGGACAAGAGTAGTAGCAAGTTTCGCCCAGTTGGAAATGCTGGTAAAGAAAATCTTAGCAGCCTGGTGGTAGCCTTCGGCGTATGCTTTGTCACCAGATGCTTCGACATCAGCAACGTTGATTCCGCGAAGGAAGTCGTCAAGTTCGGAAAGCTTATCGAGTCTGGCAAAGCTGAAAGCCATGGCAGTATCCACAGCAGGCTCTCGGAGCGTCTTGCGAGCCATCTTGAGGTACTCAACCAGGTCCTCATCCTTGCCGGCGTGAGTTGCGGTTTCAATAACCTCGTTGTAGTTCGAAGGATCACCGGCACGGATATAGGAAGCAATAGAGTCGGAAATGCGAAGACCGTCCAATTGAGCCTTGGCGACCTTGCTCCATACCTCGGGAAGCTCAACACGTTCAGCATAATCTTGTGCGCGGTCGATGCTGACAATATGTTCGACAAGGACGTTGGTGGCAGCTGGGTGGTTCTCAACCTTCTTGTAGATCTCGAATGCCTCCTCGTACAGGCCAACAGACAGACACATGCCCGCAATCTCATCGGCGTTGAACTCGGTAAGTTTATGGATGTAATCCATCAACTTACTCTTGTCAGCCTTGGCCGCAGTCAGCATCAACAAGTTCTGCAAGCTGCTGTTATCGCTGAATGGAGATGGCTCCAAGATGATCTTCTCTAAGAGTTCAATAAGCTCAGTTGGGAGATCAGCTTCAAGGAATGCCTTGACTGCTACAGACACCTTGTCGGGCTCAGACGACTCTGGAACTGCAGTGGCGATAACCTGGTCAACAAGGGATCGTCGATGAATGTTGTTTCCATTCAAGACGAAAGCCCAGATCTCACTGTCGGCTCGCTCAAGCAGATATCTGGCTTGAGCACGATACATCGAGTTCTCGTTGGTGATGTTGATGAGCTCAAGGTCATTCTGACCCTTGCGGTATGCAATGTAGGCAAGGTTAGGATCACGTTTCTCGCAGTACTTTCCGACAGTGAGAGTATCGTAAAGGTCGTTCTCCTTGAGGAATTTCTCGGGGTTGTTGTTGCTGTCAATGTAGATCTTGGCCAGAGCATTGTAGACCGCCTGCTGCTGGTTGCCGGTGCTGAGTGTATTCTCAAGGAAGGGGAGAAGAATCTTCAATCGGTTCCTCTTCTCAACCTCGCCAACAAGCTCATCAATAGGGATGGAGGCTGGGTCAACAGTGGTAAGGAGGTTCTTGATAATGGACTCATCACAGTCAACATCAAGGAGCCCACCGACAACGGCAGGGGTTCTGGATGGGTTCACCCTCTGCACGTAAACCTCGATGGAGGAATACTGCTGGTTCTGGTAGAGGTACAGAACAAGGTCGTGAACAAAGTTAAATCGATCGCAGACGGTGATCAAAGGCAACTGCTCAGTAAGCTTGGCCTCCTTGAGGAAATTCTTGACTTTCTCGGGGTTGTAGTGGTTGCTGTCACGGCAGATACGCTCCACTTCGGTCATCTGGCCCATACGGGTAGCGGCCTCGATGTATTTGAAGTGAACATCAGCATCTTCACTCAGGTTCACGATGCTACCAAGGTAGTAGTAGAGACCCTCAGCGGTGCGATACTTCTCGAGTAGTTGGATGAGGTTAGTAGGGCCCAATAGATCAGAGAACTTGGTGGCGATCTGAACAACTGCTTGGAGGTTTTGGCGAAGGTTAGATTGAAGCATCTCGTTCAGGCATTCCAAGGACTGCTCAACAGAAAGGCGGCCGAAGAACTCCATCAGCCATTCAGGGCTCAACTTGTCAGTACGGACGATGTTCCGCATGATCACAGCAGAGTCGTCGGTGTTTTCAAGAGCACGTTGGAAGAGTCCTGCGTTCTCACAAAGTTGCGAGATTCTAGCCCTGTCGTAATGGGTGAACATCTCGTTACCGAGAATGGCATCAGCAACCTGGGGCGCGTTGACGAGGTTCATTTCCAAAAGTCTGGTTTGAAGTTTGGCATGCTCTGGCTTGTTATCCTTAAGGGCATCCAACAAGAACGCAGTAGCCTGTTGAATCATGTTTTGCGAGACGAAGACATCGACAACTCGGTCAAGATCAACAAGGGCACCGCTGTCATCATTGGCAAGTTGTCCAGCGAATTCAGCACACTTCTCAGGGTTGACTCGGACAATATGTTGTAAGAGCTGAACATAGTCGGGCTGATAGCCAACTTGCTTAGAGTAAGCCAGGATCTTGTCAAATTGACCCGTCTCGGCGAAACCAGCAACGACCTTGTGGGGAACATTGGCCTTCAGGTAAATGTTCAATGCAATGTTCATATCATGTGGTCGTACAATATCACCCAACTCTTCGGAGCATTCCAGCTTGTCTTCGCTGAGCCACTTCTCAAGGAGATGTTTTCGGTTTTGTTGCAGCACAGGTCGGGTAAGTTCAACACTCTCGTATACATTCAGGGACCCCTTATCTAGTAACATTCCAAAGTATTGGAGAATGACAGACATGCCCTGGCCCGTCTGGGAGACAGCCTTGAGGCGGTTGATGGTGTCTGTAGTTCGCAAGAACCCGCGAGGCGAGTTGGCAGCAATTTTGGCAGCCTCGCCATAGTTTCCTTGAGAAAGTAGCTGCTCAAATTGTCTTTGGAGGAGATTATCTGCACCTGGAAGGCCGGCTTTGGATGCAAGTTTGACTGCCAGAGACGTGTTTGCTGGGTTTTCAAGGAGGTATGGGATGATGGTGCTCTCGTCCACGCTGACTGAGAGCACCTGGCCCTTGCGGTTGACACCAACAATACCGGTAGACTCGGTGTTTGGTGTGGTCACAAAGATGGTTTCGCTGGAAATTCTGTTCATGAAGATACAGGTGCCGGTCTCAAGATCGTAGAGGTGGATAAATCCGAACTTGGTGACGAGATAGACGACATCGTATTTCTCAGAGACCTGCATAGCAACTGGGAAATCGTTGGTGGCCTCCTGTGGGAAGTATACCTCGACGGCCTTCTTCTGGAACTTAGGGTTAGGCTCTTGGTGGTCGATTTCCGCAATCTGTAGCTTAGCACCAGTTGCGGTCCTCACGGCGAAGGTGAAGAGCTTGTGTGGCAAGGGCGATCCGTCGACCTTGATAGTAGCAAAGGCCGCAGCGTGACCTTCAATATGTTGCGATATACCTCGCTCAACCGAGTGCAGCTGCATTGTTCCTACTATTCGCCCTTGCTGTTGGCTGATACCAACGACTACCATCCATTTCTCCTCCTCATTAACTCGGTAGCTTATGATTTGGCAGTTCTGGATTCCAATTGATTAGTCTTCTTTCTGTTAACGCCAAAAAGTAGTCATTCAACACCTACCGCCAGGTTCGTAATCCTGTCGAACATCTTAAGGGGCGCGTGCTGGGTGGCGTCAAAGACATTCCAGTGGTAAACCGAAGATTCAGTGACCAAGCCAATGCTTGTCTCACTGTACCACTTCCAAAACACGACATCTTCAGTCATCACCGCGGACTTGAGTTTCTGCTTTGCTTGGAGGTCAAAGACCTGGATGGTCTTGCCTTGGGCTTTGAGGGCGATGATGTTCTTGTTCCAGTGCATGATAGCACTATCGGCGTTGATTGGGCGCCGGATGACCTCATTGTTATTTTTAAGATTGACTATGATAACTTGCGTCTTATCTTCATCGTTGACTTTTTGTCGTATGCAGACGAAATTATCGGATTCTAAAGTCTACGCCACACCAACACATCATGATTAGCAATTGCCGGCATAAGGCGGAAAGGCAGTAACGCAACGAGACGCTGGAATATCACACTTACACATGAATTAAAGCCGATAGATGCAGGCTAGATAGAACAGAGGCAACCAGGCAAGGGGGCCCAGAGCAATTAGCTACCATTCCAATTTCACATATAACTTCCCCACACTCCTTCGAGCTACTCTGGCGCTCGATATGAGCCCGAGACGCGCGGTATCGAGGGCAACATCACGCTGCAGACCTCGTCGACTCGTAGTGATAAGGAATGGGGGAAGCCTCGCTCGCGTGGAGAGTGATTGCGTACCACAATATCAACATTCGTTAACTACATCACCACAAAAACCGATTAGTAAAATGTAACTCCCACGCCGCCCAACGCAGCCATCCAGAAGATCGAGACATACCTGTAAAAGCTCCGTAAACTGAATAGGAAGAGGAGCCATGATTTCGTAATGGCCGTCAAGGCAGCGACCTCATCCAACCAAACCAGGAGCGCCAGCTATGCCGAAGAGAGGAAAAGGAAGGGTGGAACAGCGACCGGGCAACGAAAAGAACTAGTGGAAAGGGAAAATAGGAGTGAGACGAAGAGAAAGAGTGCTCTCGTAGATGCTATCTGGATCGCAGCGGTTGATTAAAGGCAAAGAGACAAGGAGAAGGCAATAATAAACAAGCTTCAGGAGGTTTGCTGGCCAGATAATAGAGACAGTCACGTGGTGTTCCCTTAGTAAGCTCAGCCTCGTATCAGGCACGAAGAACAGTAACAGTGAAGGAGAAGTGAGAGACTGGAGAGAGAGTAGATAGATAGAGGGAGAAGAGAGGTAAGAAACTGTGAAGTGCTGGTGAAGAGATGGTGAAGTACGGGGTATCCGGTGAAGGGTTGCCTTCAACGTTTCGGTCTTTGTTAGTGACGGCGAGAACAGTGAAGCCTGACAACCTAGGTATGCACCAATTGTTCTTTCACTTCGGAGTACTCAGTGTAGAGTACCCATAGGCAGGAAGAAGCTGCTATATACTTATTCTGCTCCGTCGACTTGTTCCGGATGGGAGTTCCTTGTCTGTAGAATTCACTGTTTGCATACGGGAAGTAGATATCTCATTCATACTCTACAAAGCACATCTAAGACACGATCAAGGCAACAGGTTGAATCAATGTCTATAACCCTCGCTATTCCGTATACACATTTAACTAATCAACCTCGAGCTGTTCTAACTCTCTCGCCTGTTCTAATGATGCTGCCTGTTCTATAGAGACGGCGAATGTCGACCCCACGTGACCTTAAAAATGCACATAAATTTCGACTTTATTTTTTCTCTTCTTTTCTCTTTCTCTTTTTCTTCTCCATGAACAACGCAAATAATCACATTCCACCAAAATGTTCTGCGAAAGTTCCTTCGGGAATTCATGATGCTAGGACGTTCAAGTAACATGACTATGTTTCTTGAGGAATGGAGAAGGAAAACAAGATTCGGTCTTGGGTGCAGTGTCATCCAATTTATGGATGGGATTGCAATGATTGAAACTACAATTATCGCTTTACGCGCCACTATTATCATTATGGAAACAGCTCTTGAAGACGTCAAGGTAAAGGTGAAGAGATTTTCATGGGTATTATTAGTTCAAATTACAAAATATATCTATCTTGGTTATACAAATGGCCCGACTTTGTCCATGATCGCCCGAGTGAAACCAGAAAATCGTTGCAAACAAGGGGTATCCCGTAATTCCCTGCGTTTCCTTTATTCCATAACTAAGCCGTAAGCCGTTTCGTCCTCTGGTTCGGTCGAAACGGAAAGCGAGAAACAATCATTGTTCGTTCATGGTGCGAGTTTCCGCCCGATGTTTCCGAAGCAAACACAGCTGCAGAAGAGCACGCTGGCAATCCACGTTCCAACTGCGAGCTGGCCCTGGGAAAGGTTCATGCCTGCAATGCCGCTCTTGAACACGGTGTCGTTCATTGTGGTGGACGCGCTGGTCGCGTCGTCGGGGGAGAAGACTATGCCGGGGTTCATTTCAAGTAGAGCCATCATGCCCGTCAGCCCAATGGCGGTGGAGAGAACGAAGCCAGATTTGGAGCGGTCGATGAGGTACCATAGGAACGGGTTGACGAGGGCGAGGGTTAGAGAGACCTGAGTCGTGGATTGCCATGGTAGTTTTCGCTAGGCGAACGCATGTTAGAGTCACGAATCCTTGATAGGAAAAGGAGAGGAGAAAGAACTTACAATTGCAAACGCAACTCCCACAAAGGCCCCGATACTGCGCACCATCGGGTTCCAGCCTGCTCCGCTGTTCCCCCCCTTGACTGGCTTCACGCCCATAACGTCTTCCCACATAACATCGAACCAGGGCAGTAGATTCCCCAGCGCAACTCCCGCCATACCCCAAAAGACCAGATAGTGCCACCACACCAGTCCAAAGTTTATAGCCTCCACTCTGACGGGGATATGAAGAGGTAACAACCTCGCCATCTGCGGACTATCGTGTAAATGCATAATAATGACGCCGTATATCACGCCAAAGACGAACAACAGCCCACTCTGTTGCAAGGTAGGCAATAAATAGCCACGAACAAGCCCATGCCTTCGACGAGGAGATGGTCGGCGTCCAGCTTCAGCCCTGGCCTGTCGTTGCCGTTCTTGCTCTAGCTTGTATAATTGTCTCTTCTGCTCATCGGTGAACCTGTGCCCGTTACCGTTCCCATTCTCCTTCCCATTCCCATTCTCATAAATCGTCGGTTCTCGCAGGCTGGGCGTCTGCGCACCAGTCCCCCACGGCGTAGCTCCAGGAATATCCCTCTCTTCACGACTCCCGTCAAACGCGGTAGGCGAGTAAATCCCCAGCAGCGTCGAGGAGGTCAGGTTTATATCGGACCGTGTTCGACTAGACGGTAACAGCCCATCTTTGTCCTTTCCGGTCACGCTGCCGTTTCCAGCAAACATCTCCTTGATCGTCTCTTCTGGCATCGGGGACGGGGGAGCCGTCGATTCGGCAGAAGGAAGCTCAAATGGTTTCCTCGCGCGCGGCCGTAGAACCCGACCTTCTTGCTCCATGTCTGCTGCTTCCGTATCAATTTCAATTTCAGTGTGTGTCTGTCAACGGCAGTCGTTAGCTGTGGCCACCCAAGGTTCTCTCAGTCTGTTAACAGTGAATTCGAAGCAAGGTAGGGGGGCGGCGAAAAAACTCCAGGCCCAAATCACATCAGAGTTCCGTATTTGCATACAGTCATGTGCAGCCAGGGGTAGCAAAAAAAAGAAGATTTACCAGATCTGCCGTAGCGGAGGTTTAACTTACAGCGAGACAGCTGAGTGTCAGGACGAGTAAGAAACAGGCTGTTAAACAGGAGACTTAAGGACCAGGTTAAAGAATTAAGGAGTAGAAGTAGAAGTAGAAGCAGAAGCAGGAGTAGAAGAGTATACAAGTGTGTATGTGTTTATATTTTTGTTTTCGGGAAGTCGCTGTCACATGCTCTATCAAGTCACGACCTCCTTTTTCCTCGACGCCACGCTCGCACAGCTTCTTCTTTGCTATATCACGAAGAAGAGGATGCTTGCCACCAGGATGTGGGAGTCCGGCCGAGATGCGTGTCGGACGGGCAGGAGTATGGAGACGTCGACTGCGGTGAGGCGAGAAAGGCCGTCAGCTATACATCCAGCTTCAGACATACGACGGAAAGTAGAGTATACATCCAGCTTTAGATAACGACGTGGCAGATGAAGGATGCTATGCTGTTTGATCGCAGGGAAGAGAGCGTGTAGATATCCCTGTGCGTACAGGAACTTGCTCGGAGTGGACTGGCTGGGATATATGCATATTGCTTTAACAATATCCTGCTTTATATGGAGTACATGAGCTGTAGAAGTACGAGTAGAGTAGAAAGTAAGACGACGGAATGATTATTTATGCCGTATCCTTCTCTCGCCTATTCCCTCCCTATAATACTACAGAATATAAATGTACAATCAGACCCCAGCCCAAACCCAAGCCAACAATGACCTACATATCCTGACCAGAACGGACGAGCCACGACACGGTGGATAGAATATATGAAGAGAGAGCAAAGGTCTCTAATTCCCAATCCCAAGGCCCGCCCATATTTCCAATCCCAATGCCTAGACCTCTCGTCTAACCCTGAGCCATAATCTCGTCGCCGTCCTTGTCTACATGTTCACGATCACGTCCACGTCCGCGCTCGTCTGCATACCCGTTTGTGTCTGGCGTATCAGCTGCGGCAGCCAGGGCGGTGGCAACGACATCTTCCTCTGTCGAATCATCGGAGTCGTGGTGGCCGTTTATCGAGGCTGGGAAGGTCTTGTCATCGGCAGCAGCAGTGATGGCGGATGGCGCGGCAATGGCTCCAGATCTGGGTTCATGATCTGGGTCTGGAAGAGGAGAAACGGAGAGATGTGATTCACCCTCTCCTTCAGCATCTTCATCGCCGTCACCGTCATCGGCCCCCTCGCCACCATCGGCACTAGCATCGCCCAGTATATCTTTGTCGATATCGTCTAGTCCGCCATCCTCGTCATCGTGGTCGTGGTCATGGTCATGGTCATGCTCCCCGATATCTTTCATATGCACGTCGCCCCTGGATGGTGAGCTAGGTAAGCCTAGCTCAGATCCAGCCGCACTCGTACCAGCAGCACTCGCTTCCTGCTTGATAGCCAGCGTCTTGTTAGTAGCTGCATCAGTCTTTGCTGCAGCCGCAGCCGCAGTGGCAGCCTTTGATCTCCCTCCACGACTTTTCCTACCCCCCTCACCGGCCGGTTTGCGTTCAGGTAGCGGCTTGCGGCGAATATACTGCCTCTTACCAGTCGGCGTAGGTGCAGCGAGTCGGTTAGGGTCCGGCGTCGACAGCTTATCAGCATTAGATTTGCGATCTCTTCTGCCTCCCCTGCCGCTCTTAGGGGGCGGAGGAGCGGCGGGCTCAGCTTCTTCCTCTTCGCCCATACCGCCGTTGGCGCTCGCGTTCCCTAGCCCGAGGTTATAGTCGTTTGATAGCCCATTCGGCCCAATGTCCTTATCCCCCGAGGCGATGGCCTGCCAGTCCCATCGATGCATGCGTCGGGCCACCTTCTTCAGTACGGAGAGGTAGTAGCTCCCTGACTCGCCATAGTCTTCCTGCTGAGCGTTTGGGTTCAGACATAGGCCGCCTTTACCCCAGGAGTGGTCGTCGTCAGTGTCGTAGTCCGCCGGGAGACATTGAAGGAGTCGACCGGCACGGATGAGACGGGATCCCTGTTCTCTGAGATGGCGAGCTTTGCTGTATTCCTCTGCACGGCGTTGGGCAAGGATGTAGTCTACGCGTTGCCGGCGGTTCTGCTCTATAGCTAGTTGGTGTTGCGTTAGCGGTCGAGGGCGGCGAGAAGATGATGGTGTCTGTCCTGGTGCGGGCGAGCCAGCGCCAAATTGGTGGAGGACGGGATGGCTAGAGCCAGGAGGTGCGGGTGAGGAAGCGTCGGGAGTTTGGTCCATTTTGGTTTTCAGGACAATACGGGTTCGTCCAGCGTTGGTCGCTGAGCGAGTGGCAGATGAGTCTCGTTTGCGTTTATTCCGTGATCTCAAGCTTTGGACTGGAGTATGTAGCTCTTCGTCTTCGTCGTCGCCTGGTGCTGGACGTTTTTGATTAAGAGGCGTGAAGAAGCTCGACTGTTTCTCTCGACCTGGGAACAGGGGTTAGCTTCGACCCGACGATGAGAGGCGGCATTGGGTACACTCACCAGTATGAGAAGGAGTGCCGCTCGTAGGGATATCGGCAGACATCTGGTCATCACTCATCACATTGTCTATAACATGTTAGCATCATGATCGCAGTTTAGCTAAAGGAGGTACGACTCACCCTTCTTAACCCGCTTGCTTCGAGAGACGATATCGTCGTCATCAAGTATTCCTATACACCAAGTTAACACAATCCTAAACCACTCCATGCATTAGATATAACATACTCTTGCGTTCCTTTTGCTTCTCCTCTCCATACAGAATCTCATCCTGGGTATCGACATTCTCCGCATCGGCTTCTTCCTCCGTCAAATCTTCCAGCTGAGGAATCTTCAACGGCGAGCCTTCGGTGCCCTCGCCAACCACCCCAGGGCCAAAGGGGTTATTCAGTGCCGCTTCATCAGAGAAATCACTCTCTAGATAAAACCACATCAGCCACAGGAACGCCGTGGCACGACTCTTACTACTCAACGTGGCACGCATGACCAGGTCGAAGAAGTCGTGCGGCGAATGGAAGTGAATTTCCGATATTTTAGGTGCGTATTGAGTTAGTACGAATATGAGGTTGACGGGATTGGTGCGCGGGACTGGAGTCTCCTTTAGTTTCTCGATGGTATTAGGTTGTTCGGTATCTTCGGAAGCACCCTTGAGGATCGATTTGAGACGAGGTGCGTCTTGGAGCTGCTTGTATGCGCTGGAATCCTGGTGGGCCTGGAGTGAAGGGATGGAGTGGTATGTTCGTAGCTGTGCGCGCATTTCAGGGAAGACTAGTTATAATATTAGCACTGATAGAATAAAGATGGGGCATGAGACTCACAGTTAAGGGTGGTATTCATCCTCCCAAAATTAACCAGTAGACAGACCATGGCCATGTTGATAGCCGCAGGTTTGTCACTGATCAATTTATCCTTCAACACCTTGCTGGTCTTGCTACTCTTCGCCATGGCGTCGATATATACATCCGCAAAGCTCAGTCCACCCTTCCCATCCGAAAGCCGAGTGAATACAGGCGTAGTATCCTCGAACACCATCCGTAAAAAGCGATGTTGGATATCCCTTCGCCAGAGCGGAATACCGTCGTCTTTCTTGAGATGGCGGATCTTGTTGCCGGAGTAGACGCTGCCAATTGTGCCGTTTGCCTGTCGACGAGTACCAACAGTTGCGTTGGCTGTCGAGTTGTTATGTGCAGCGTTTGCAGCGTCTTGCTGGTCGCGATCCTCTGATGCATTGACGGCCGATGTAGCTCCTGTCTTTGAGCTGGCTGCCTCAGAAGCCGCACCCTTCTCGCTCCCTCCATCGGGTTTGCCATTCACCTGTTCCCGTCCATGCTCTTGTTCTTGCGTCTGGTCATGGCTATGCTGTTCTTTTTCTTTCCCGTCCGGACCAGGAGTACTGCTCTTCGGTGGCCAGTCTTCCCAGCTACCCGACTCTGTCCAAAACCCCTGTAGCGGATAGTTGGGGTCGTCTGTATAATGTCTCTGTCTTCCGCCCTTTGTTCCTGGCTCCGGCTCTGAGAGACGCTTCACACTTGTCCTCGGAAGCGGATATCGGGAGGCAGGAAGCGGAAAATCCTTCCTCGAGCCAGCGTAGTAGCCTCCATCAGGCTTGTCGAGATGTGTTTCCTTCTCGGGCTCAAACGCGCCTCTATCGTCGTCTGTCGTCGCTATCGACAATACCTCGGGCTGTGCTTGTAGTTTCGGCGTAGAACGAGACTCGATCTGCGACTCGACAGCTTTCGACGGAGCTCGTTCAGGTGTAGATGAAGATGCTGGAGCTGACGCCGACGCCGACGCTGATGCTGATGATGATGCTGCCGGCGCGGATACCGGTGCAGCTGCAGCCGGACTGGCCTGGCGAGACGGCGAATTGGTGCTCGCCATTGTACAGACAAGCAAGCTCAGCTCGACCTGAGCTTGGGACGTAGGAGAAGGAGAAAAGACGGTTAGCGAAGCACCTGAAAAGGCCAACGGGCGGTAAAGTTAACACTAGTCGAGTGCAGGCAGGATAGTAATCATTGTTCGTGCCAGCCTCGATCGTAAGCTGAAGTCGAGTCGGGCGAAGAGGGAGAGCAAGATGGAGAGCAGAAGGAAGAATGAACGAGGTTTGGAGGTGAAGGCGAAAAAAGTGCGCGCGGAAGTTTTGCACTGACTAGTGAAGCGAAGTTGGAAGGCTGGTCAGGAGGTTGTGCCCGTACCTTATCTCGAGTTGCATCCTGTCCATGGCGAGGTACCTGCGGGCCCTGCCAATTTACGCGTGGGAACGCGTACCTCGCCATACTATCTATGCGCCACCTGCACCTCATGCGTCTGTATACATACGCTCTGTACAGTCGAATAGGTAATTAATACTGTGAGATGCTATATTATAGACCCTCTTATGAATAAATACCCCGTAGATATCTTGCATCGCATCTCCTTATGCACTATTCACAGGGAAGCGCTAAGAAGAAGAACAACAACAATAATATGACTGAAGGGTTGCATTTTTATAGTAAATAATATTAATCTGCTGCTATTTCCATTCTATTCCATCTCATCCCATCCCATCTCAACCATGAGAGAAAACGACCAGCCAAACCGGGCCGGCAAAGGATAAAAAAAAAACTCCCCCCTCTATGAGAAGTCTTTTTTCAAAGTTCATTCCCTCTCGTCTAATTTATGGGAAATGACATGAATGATATGGAAGAGACAAAAAAGGATGATGACTTCGTATTTCTGCTCCCGGCCAGGGGGTGCGACGCAGTACGTTGACGCCGATGCGATGCGGAGGAACGTAACCGTCGCCTAGCCAGGCTTGTTGTAAAAGACGTAAAGAAAAAAGACATTATCGGGGCGGTGGCGTACATGTAGGAGGGTGTGTATAAACATGCTGGAAGGTTGTTAGAGGTAGGAGGTAAGTAGGGAGGTTGTTTGGTTGTTGGGTATCTCATAGACAAGCCATAGGCAGAAGCAGAAGCAGAAACAAAAACCCATCATGAAGCAGGCGAGCATGAAACATAAGAAGAAAAGGAAAAAACAACATGAGAGACAAAAAAAGAAACACTCCACAATCAACGCTAGTCTATATGATCTTCATGCAAGTTCCGATTCCCCGATTCCCGATTTTTATTTTTCTTCCCTTCCTCTCTTTCCCTTATCCGTTGTGGGTTGATGGCTCTCGAAAAAAACGACGAGGATAAGGAAAGAAAAGAGACAAAAAAATGAGAACAAGACAAGACAATGCAGAGAATGCAAAGGCCCAAACGACACCACCACAATGCAGGTATGCAGGTAATGTTTTCTGGACAGTTGCAATGCGTTCGTAGGAAGGAAATGTGACAGAACCTAATCAGCCCACCCGGGACTCAGCCTGCACTCAAAAGACGACTCGAGTTAAGTCGAGTCTGATCATTGTGCGTGTCTGTGGAGGAGTGTTCATGCGTGTAAGAAAGAAAATCATGTCGAGATAAGCGCATACTTCTGTTTTTCTGTTTTTCTTTTTTTTTTTTTCTTGATGGACGAAATGGAATGAGGATGTTGGGAGGGAAAAAACAAAGGAAAATAAGATAGGAAATAAAAGAAAAGAAGAAACGAAAAGGAAGGGATATAATAAAAGGAAGAGAAATTCGTAGCAGATCATCACAAAAAGCCTCTCCCTCTCGTTGTTTATCCTATCCTCTTCACTCCTTTTTCCCCTCAATGAAACAGAAAGTCACTTTTCAGTCGTGAGAATTCGAGATCGAATTTGAAAACCGTTGTAAAGCAAGCTGGACAAGCAGATTGTGATTTTATCAAACCATCTGCAGGTGTTGTGTTCCGTAGTGGAATAATTTACCACCAGGATGAAGGGCCAGTGGGACCGGATGGGTTGCCATAGCTTCCACCTCCGTAACCACCGCCACCACCATATGGAGCAGCACCGCCGCCGTAGTTACCTAGTAGACAATATTAATACAATTCTGCATAATGAAGGAAGAGAAGAATAAGGAATTCTTACCACTACCACCGTAGCTTGGGGGAGCAGCGTAGTTGCCACCACCACCGAAGGCAGGGGGACCACCGCCCATTCCACCACCCATGCGACGCATATCACGGTTAGCACCAGTAGAACCACGGCCACGGCCGCGGCCACCACGACCACCACCAAATCCGGCACCCTCGCGAGCAATGTTCTCCAAGAAAGATGGAACTTCCTGGTGGGCCTCCTTGAGTAATTCGATGAGGTCACGGACAACACCGCGGTTTCCACGGTTGAAGAAAGCAGTGGAGATACCAGTGTTTCCGGCACGACCGGTACGACCAATACGATGAACGTAGTCATCGATGTCAGTGGGGAGATCGTAGTTGACGACGTGAGTGACGTTGGGGATATCGAGACCACGAGCAGCAACAGCGGTAGCAACGAGGATTGGGCATCGACCGTTGCGGAAGTATTCGAGGGCACGCTCACGCTCACGCTGGGTACGGTCACCGTGAATAGCGGTGGCAGGGAAGTGCTGGTTGATCAGGAACTCGGAGAGAGAATCAGCCATACGCTTGGTCTCGACGAAAATAAGGGTGAGACCAGCGCCATGGGTGTGCAGGATATCAAGTAGGACGGAGCGTTTGTCACCATCCTCGACATATTCGACCTTCTGGGTAATGTTCTCGGAAGTGGAACCAACACGACCAACGGAAAGGAAGACGTAGTCCTTCAAGAAATCACGGGCGAGCATCTGGATGTCACGGGGGAAAGTGGCTGAAAACATGAGGGTTTGACGGCCAGCAACTGGTGGCATGTCTTCACCTTCAACAATACGACGAATTTGAGGCTCGAAACCCATGTCAAGCATACGATCAGCCTCGTCAAGAACAAGGTACTTGATGTTGCAGAGAGAGATACGTCCACGCTCGATGAGATCGACGAGACGACCTGGAGTAGCAACGAGAAGATCACAGCCACGTTCAATCTGGCGGAGCTGAGAACCGATATCGGCACCTCCGTAGACGACACATGGGCGGACCCAAGAGCGGTAGGCGAACTTTCTGGCCTCGTCGTAGATCTGAGAGACCAACTCACGGGTGGGAGCGAGGATGAGGGAAGTAGGGTATGCCTTGCGTTGACGGCCGTAGCTGAACTGACCGCCCTGTTGGGTGGGAGCAGCGGAGGGACCGTTCTGGAATGCCTGTGAGAGAATGGGGAACAAGAAGCCACCGGTCTTTCCGGAACCAGTCTGGGCACAAGCCATCAAGTCACGGCCTCCCATGACAATTGGGATAGAATACTTCTGCACGGGGGTAGGAACCTTGTAAGAGGCAAGCTTGATGTTAGAAATCAAATGATCGTCCAATGGGGGGTTCGTAAACGTGGAAACGGGTTCGGGGACGTTTTGGCCGGATGCCTCGACGGGGATATCATCGTAGTTGGCGAAGTTGATACCGGTCTGCTGCTTGCTGGGATCGTTGGGGACGCCGAAGAGTTCACGTTCGATACGGGCGTTTGCGGGACCTGGAACGTGTTTACCATCACGCCACTGACCATCACCAGAGCCTCGGGCGGCGCCGGAGCCACCACCGCCATAGTTGTTTCCTCCGCCTTGTTGACCTCCTTGGTGACCTGGGTGACCGTAAGCATGTGGATCGAAAGCACGACGGGAACCAGCGGGTTGACCCCAGCCAGAATTACCATTCACGGCCGGTCCGCCACGGGGAGCGAAGTCGCCAGCACCCCAACCAGGAGCGTTATTAGGACCAGCTCTATTTCTTCCACGAGTTAGTAAAAGAGGTTGAGATAAAAGTCTTTTCAAAGGATCAGGGAAATACACACCCAGGAGCCCAGGCGCTGGCGTTCATGCCAGCTGGGCGACCGTTTTGTGGTCCGGGGGCGGGAGCGTGTCCGTCCATAGCTTCGACAGGAGCAGGGCCGGGGGCAGGATCAGCGGCGGCAGCTTGACGAGCTTGACCACGGAGATGGGGAGGGATGTATGCGGAGCGTCCAGCAGCGTTGGGCGCGTGCTGGGAGTCGTTGAGGGACAAGTTTCCAATCTTGATATTATCAGCCATATTAAAATCTAGAGGGCAACAGTTAGCCAAGTGAGGTCTAACACACTCCACGCAGGAACACACAAAGAGAATCACTCACTGGTTTGAAATATCAGATAGTCCGGTGTTGATAGTTGATTACAGGGCGCGGCAGGGTTTCGTGGAGGTCGTTACGAGGAAAAAAGCAAACTGAGATTTAACAGCACAAAAAAATAAAATAAAAAAGAAGAGGACTGAGATTTTATCTAAACAGCAGCAGAGAAGACCTTGAACACGAGATTAAAAGGACGTCTCTCTCTTATTTGCGCGTTGTGTTGTGTGGGATGTGTGTTGTGTGTTTTCTGTGCAGGCGATAAAACAAGCGGCGAAACACAGGTCGAGGCGGTGTAATTAAAGTAGATTGTAGTGTAGGGATAGCAGCTGAAAGCCCTTCAAGCCTTACTTTTTCTCTAAAACCAAAGAGAAAAACAAGACCAGGAAAACAGATGAGAAGAAGAAAAACAACAGACTGAGTGTTGGTGGGAGGAGTGAGTGATGGGAGGAAGAAGAAGTTGAGGTCGGAGGAGGCGAGAAGGGAAGAATATTTTTTTTTTAACCAAGAAAAAAGAAGAAAGAGAGAAGGCTTGGCATCACTTGGCTTGGCGCGTGCGGAAGAGTTTTCCCCGCTTAATAAGCAGTATCCATCTTACATGACGAGACAACGGAGGATCTGGTTGGTCAGTCGACGTTACAGATCCACTACGATGGTATACTGTGACAGTACAGCTGACTCAGCCTCGCCCCCACGCCACATCCATATATAGAGATATAGAGATATAGATATAGAGATAGAAGATATAGAGAGATATAGAGATAGAGATATAGACTTAAGATAGAGATATAGATAGAGAGATAGACTGGAGATGGAGTAGAGTAGTCGTAGTCTGAGGTTGGTGACAGATCAGTATGACTGTGGCTGATCTGTCATTCAGGGGTAAGGCGCCCGATAGGACGAGGCTAGGAGCGAATAGAAGAGAGTAGCTAGGTTGCCGGATGCATAGTATCTGTATTCAGCTATACACCCCGGCCAGTCATCATATAGAACAGATACGCCCAAAATGTACAAAACTAGAGGCAAGGAGAAGACCACCCAACAGTAATGGTATACGCAAGAGTGAAACAAAAGAAGACAAAAGAAGCCAGTCGTTAGAATCCCGTACTAGTTTCCCTCCAGAAGGCTAGGCCGCCGTAATCGCAGACGCTGTCCATCCACATTATCGACGTCAGACACTGCTTTACCCCTTCCCACGTCGATAGGCCCTTCATCCGCACCGTCTGGTCGAACCGAGCTGCAAACCACTCGCTGTCAGGCATCCCTCTCGACGCTATGCCGCCCATCACGATGATCCACAGATATATACACGACACTCTCTCCTCCTCTTCCAGGCCTAGTCTGTCCAGGCTCTCTCGCCCGTAGTCCCATGGCCATTCCCCGCATTCGGCCACCCAGCCGTGCCCGTCGCCGCCGTCCACGGCGATCAGGGCGTTGATCAGCAGCGAGACCAGTCTCTTGAACGGCCTGTTTGCTGCTGGTAGAGGGAAGATGACCAGCATGCTGTACACCATCGCTGCGAGACGGCAGGCTTCGTATAGTCTGTAAGTAGCGACGTAGTCGTCTGGGAATTCGTAGGAAGGAGGTAGCGAGACGAGGTTATATTGGATGTAGTTGCGGCGGTCGGCGATGACGGAGAGTTCGAGGTTGGGGAGTAGACCTTGGGTCTGTAGGTCGACGACGATGTTGTACTCGCGCATGTTTTGGAGGATGACTTGAAGGTTTGGAGGGATGGGAGAGAGGGGGTTTGTGGGGATGGAATTTTGCATGGGGCGGGTGCTGAGGAGGAGGTGTAGAGTGTTGGTGGATGAGGAAGAGGAAGAGTCGTCCGGTGCGTTGGTGGTTGGGGTGTTACCATTTCCGTTGGCGTTGTTGCTTGTGGTAGGGTTGAGAGAAGGCCAGTTGGGTGTTTGACCATAGGCAGTCTCCCTGAAGATGGGTACGAATGGCAGACGAGGTTTGGCGAGATATTTCGTCGACAGCATAACGCCAGATCTAGAGAAACAGTCAGCATATGCATCCATGGTATATTGAAATCGTCGGGAAACGGGAAACATACGTAGATAACGTCTCGGCCAAGCCGGGCATCTTCAACGCCTTCAACCCTCCTCTCGTCTCGATAATTGCCATCAACCCTTTAACATGGTGGTCGTTCAACGACAACCCGCCGTAGACATCCAGCCATTGTAGATTCCTCAAGGGAGCCTTGGGGGACGGATCCGATACCGTCCAGCCCGAATAATCTATCCGGTTAAAGGCCATACACAGCACGGCGAGAACGACTTCATCCGAAAACGCCTGAGACGGATCCTTCATCATCTTATTCAGCTGCTTGATCGTCTCTGTTTCGCATACAATCTGCTCCAGCTTCTCCTCCCTCGTCTGAGGCACAACCTGTACGCTATCCAGACGCCGGCGCGTTTGCATATGGCCTGCAGCTCCGTACAGGAATGCGGTAAATAGCGCTGGGTTCGCCATGGCGCGAGGCAGCCATACTCCCGCCGCAGCTTCACGGTCCCAGCGCTGTCCTTCAGCGCCCAGCACCAGACCAGGCCATAGATCAAAGGCAGCGTACCGCATGAGCTTACTTATGGCCGACTCGTCAAGCATGGAGGGACACATTTGACCGGGATTCTCGAGCCAGTTGATAAGTTGGTTGAACGGACGGTTGACATTGTTGTTTCTATCCACGCTGGATCGCATGGGATCAGGTGTCCAAATATGTGGTGCTATCGCGCGACAGCCTGTCGGAGGCGGAGAGCCCTCAGAGTCACTGTCGTCGTCCTCGTAGGTTTTGGGTTGTATTATCTCCTCTACATCGGCATCTGCATCCCCTTCCACGCCGTTGGTGGCGCCGTTGGCAGCAACGCTGGTATGTATATCGCTATTGGGCTGAATGGCTGGAGGTCCCTGTGTCTGCATATGTGATATGCTGCTGACCATGGTCACGGCCTTGTGCACAGTCACTCCCATTCCCACCCTGCTGCCCAACGGTGTTTCGTCCTTGGCTCCCGCGGTCCAGGCCTTGAACGCCTGTCCACGACGACGAGAAGCAGCGACGGTCTTGCTGGCCTCAGCTCCGGTATACTGGCGTACTGCCAAACCGGGTCCGTTCCCGTTGCCGTTGCCGTTGCCGTTCCCGCTCCCAGCTGCGCTCCCGGATGGACCTCCCACGCCGGCATCCGCACCCCGTATCGCTCGGTGCTGCCTCCATATGTACTTGCTGGCGTGCGAGCGGATCAGCGTCCTGTTCTCAGTCTTTTGGTCTTCCGATATGGGATTCACGGTAACGAAGTGGAAGACATCTCCGTTTTTGTTGCCAGATCCGTCTTTCCCCGTAGCTCCGGCCGCGGTGGCCGCAGCGAGGGCACGACGTTCGGCGAGCTTCGACTTTTTCGATTTGGGCGGCATGATAGAAGATGTTGTGGGGAATTTGGTGGTTTCGTGTATTGATCAAGTGGAGCTATTCACAATGTCACCAATTCATTCTTCCAACGCTGTTTATTCATATGTGATATAAGAGATTACCTTGAACGCTAAGTCCTAGATGGGTGGGCGTGGATGTTCACGGTAAGAGATTGAGATAGATCAGGAGCGAAGAACATGGTATCCGCATATCATATTGCATATATATCTATCCTCTCGACCCGTTGCCCTGTCTCTGGGTGTGTAACGGGATTTTGTATCGTCTGCAGCAATGGTCCCTGTCCTGCCAGTCCGGAGGGACGGGTCTGGGCTGCTTAAAGGGAAAAAAAAGAGAGCGATGAAAAAGAAAAGCCGGCGGATTGAGCTAAAGTGCGCCAGCAACAGGCCCAGGTCGCACCTGGATGCGTTAGTCATATATCTATTCCGTCGTTAGCACACCTTTTTCCCGTTGCGTCCTGGGGGGCGGGAAGTGCAGCGAGCAGTGGCATCAGCAGCGGCAGCGGCAAGCATCCAGGACCAGAACAAGAGGAACACAACGACCAGCAACAGGATACAAGGGCCAGCTGCACGTCCCATCGTCCGCCAAGCTCTCTAAATCTCCATCCTGACCGAAAAAACAGAGGTGAAGAGACGGCTAGTGGGCGCAAAAAGCAAATACATGCCTCGAGTCTTTGCTTATCCTGCTCCGTTTTTGGCTTTTTCCCTCATCTGCCTCCGCCCTTTTGCCCTCCGACTCGGTGAGGATGATAGCGAGCTAGGTGTTTTGGAAGGTTGGCAAGGCAGTTGCAGACGCAGAGGGCAGACAGTCTATTGCAGCCAGGCGTAGACAACGCGGCAGAAGCAAACAACCAGCCAGCCCCAGTCGAGCTAACGTTCTCGTTGTAGTGAAGTCTTGCAGTGAGTCTGTGTGCGTAGTAATGTTAAGTCTCGTAGTAAAGTCTCGCAGTAATTGTAAGTGCGAGATTCTCCACAGCCGTTACATGGATCGCGCCGTCGATGGCAGCCAGGACAGGACAAGCTGTCGTCTGCTCGGCCGTGAGACACTGAAAACGAACGTCGTACGGCGTGCGGAAGGCTGTCTGTCAGCCACGGCGAAGCATCTCCTCGACAGCCCTCGACAGCCCTCGACAGCAAGTATCCCATCTCCTCCGTATGTCGACCCTCAGATCTCCACATCGCCGTCTTCTCGGCTCCCTACCGGCGCCCTCCTAGCGTAGACTGATATCCAAACTTTCCAGTGACAGATGGAGTGTAAACGAGTAGCCGGCGGTCGAATCGGATAGTTCCAGTGAGTGAAACCTCGCCGAGGCGAAACCTTCTGCATGCATAGATCCCTGAGCGACAAACGGGGGGGTTTTTATGCTATCAGACGCATCAACTTCTATTTCCGTGGATCTGTCGAGAGAAGAGTTTTCCCCGGTTGGCCCCAAGCACATCCCCTTCCGTGCGATGGATGGTGGAAGCACCTCGAGGGTTCGTTACAGGCGGCGTAGAGCGTCGGGCCAGTCTGTGATCGTCCTTTCATCAGCCATGGGGGCAAATGGTGAATGTTGTTGCATGCTGCATGTCTGCATGTCGTAGATCGCCTGCGCTTCTCGAGAACCAATCCGCCGTCCACTGAGCTTCAGGTCCCGGATGGTTGGATGTTGGAGATACAAGCATAGGAGTATACGGAGTAGCAGTTGGTGTCACTCGGGTGGTTATATCTATGCAACATTGGGGATTGTGCGAGGCTCGATGTCAGGAGTCAGGAGGTCTGGTTGTGGTGGTGCAAGGGGCGCTCGACGAGGCACAAAGTGATACCACAAATGATACCGCAGTCTATACTCGTACCTCGACCTCGACCTCGACCTCGACTCGAGCAGAGTCACTGTGCGCCATATACTTGTATAGCCTATCGTATAAGCCCCTTGTGGCTTAATACCCGACTTAGACTAGAGGTTGTCTCTAGTATTCAGCTGTCGCCATGGCATTCTATACGGCGCAACACCCATCGACGCTCGCTAACCTAGCCACGAACGGCTAGCATTCTATATCTCTTGGTGAAGCCAAAGGCATGGCAATTAATTATTATTATAGCAGATATTCTATAGGCTCTATATACTTATCTAAGTTAGCACGTGTGTTTCATACAGCCCGCGCAAAGGCAAGGGTGTACAGTTTATCCCACTCCCTGCATATAGAATCTAGATTCCAGACATCTTCAGTAGGGATAGGCTTATCTTTACCTCCTCTCAACAGGCCGACAGACGGATACTGCTTCCAGCCCGGACCGGCTTTTGGATCCTTCACAAAGTCTGCCCACAGCTTCTGCAGCCAGAGCTCGTTGGCTTGTTTGGGGTCACGGAGCCCCTGAGTGCCAAACACATAGCCAATCTCAGAGGTGTGGTATACCCCCAACTCTGGATACCCCGGGTGCCGCGCGGCAGTATCATTAAACAGATATTGCCATACAGGCACACCAAGAGCTGTGGAAGTTAGATTGGCGACAAGACCTGCAGGGCAGCGGAATGTTGCGTCCGTAAGGATCTGTGAGATGATTTGGTGTCCCGTCGAGAGGCCTGCTGTGGCCGGCGAGTCTGGTGCATATAATTCGGTGATCACCTTTGATACCTCGGGGGGTAATGCCAAACCCTCAATAAACGCAGTGACATTATCACCCGTGCCGTGAGCAAAGGTTGATCCGTCATCCAGATTCGAGCCTATAAGAATTGGAACTTTGGATGCCTTGCCAGCGGTGTATGCTGTTATGGGTGATGCGAGAGACGTGGCATTGTCTATCACGGGCGTCTTGAATGATAACCCGGTTTTCAACAGTATCTCTCGAAGGGTGTCGACGCTCGCAGCACGAACGCACTCTAGGATGGCGGCATCTGAAGCACCCGTGCAGTTGAGTTGCTCAACTACGCCAGTCCATGATGACGCCTCGCTGTTGGGGGGAGCTGGGGGGATCTGAAACAATGCAGAACCTGACTGGAGAATGGCCCCTCGAAAGGGTAATTCTGGGGTTGCCGTATTGATAAGATGTCCCACAGATACTGCACCAGCAGACTCGCCAGCAATTGTTACTGCATTTCAAAGAAATTTAGCGGGTTGCATACATAAACAAAGAAGTCAACTCGTTCATACCTTTATTTGGATCTCCGCCAAAGGCATGGATGTTTCGCTTGACCCAGTCAAGAGCCAGCCGCTGATCAAGTAGTCCAAGGTTCCGTTTGTCTACCGGAAGCTGCGGTGACCGAGGAAATCCAAACACTGCATTCGAAAGAGGTTAATCCATATTCCTTCGTCGGATGTACGGAATATGCCTGGTATCAAAACTCACAGTTCGTCCGGTAGTTTGCAGTAACCACAATGATGTCCTGGTTTGCAGCAAGGCTTGAGCCATTGTAGAGAGGAAGTGAACCGGCACCGAACCTATACGCGCCACCAAAAATCCAGAATAAGACTGGCTTACCCTCGCATTCACTACTGGGCCGATAGATATTCAGATATAAACAGTCCTCACTCTCGCCTGGAGGTGGAGGCGTGTTAAAGAGCGTCCTTTGGAACTCGCTGCCAGAAGACTTGTTGCCGAAATCTTGAATGCAGGCTGGAGGGCTCTCTATAACATGCTTGGGCTCTCCCCAAGGCAGAGGCTGCTCTGGAGGAGAGAATCGGAGATTCTTGACTGGTGGTTTGGCGAAGGGGATACCAAGAAACTGATGTACGGTTGACTCGGAGCCAGCTACGTGCACATTTCTACCGACAATAACACCGGAGTCAATGGTCACGGTAGGACTGGATATTTCGATATCGCGGCCCTTGAAGAGTTCATGAGGTGAAGAGGCTGTGGCTGAGATAAAGACGCCGCAAAGTGCGATGGTCTTTGGGAGAATACGCATATTGAGGTAGATTGTTGACAGTATTTGAGCATTGAAGTTGCTACTCAGAGAGCCTCCATATACTTATATATTTGTCATCATCTCAATGATTTTGTATTATATATAGGTACTTACGTGCTAGACAACCGTTACTCCATCGATCGGCGGTGAGGTTGGAAATCGAAGGATCTCAATGACCAGATCAGGTTTGACACGCCGCCCGTGGATACTTGGATATGGTGGCTGACTGAGGCGAAGGATCAGCTGAATGTGCCACGCGTATTTGCCTTGATCGACCCCAACGATGCAAATAGAATCAAGATCTCGAAGGATAGAAGAAGTCAATACACAGTAGGCTTTCTTGGGCCGTTTGGAAGTTCAGTGATGATTAACAGTGTAACCGATCGCTGTCCTACCACCAGCCATCACAAGCAAAAAACAGGTAATTTGGTGATCAGAGCACAGAGTATATAACGCTACGGACTTGTGTATACTTAAATGGGGATTTGCGTTCTGTTATGTACCTGAGAGAAGTAGGTATACAGAAAGGGTAAAATGTACAGCGGTCTGAATGGCAAACGAAGACAAGAGGGCTAAATATTAAAGCAGTTGCAGCAGAATATAAATCATATGAGAGCATGGTATACGGCGTCTACTATTTGCTGGTATCTGGCTTCAAGGGGACATTGCCCTTGTTATATCGTAATCGTCCAAAGAGTCCTTAATTTCGTAAATTGACACATTTCACAATCATCAGCGGATCCGGATTTTAAACGGGAAAGAAATTGAGCACACGATGGTAGCACTGAATAAGACGGGACGGGACGGGACGGCAGACAGTGTACAGACGTGCAGGTTCAATGTAAAAAAGGGTAGGATAAAACCATCTAGATTTCATCACGGACTGGGGCCTCTTCTTTTTGAGTGTCGGATGATGATTCTGTACCTTCTTCGGAAGAAGCACCTTGTTCCTTTGGCATCTCAATTTCTCCGCTCTTCACGATCTTGACCTCCTTGCTTGGGCGGTCCTGAGCACCCTTTGCGACGTTTTGGATTTTGTCGACGATGTCGTAGCCCTCGAGCACTTCACCAAAGACGACGTGCTTGCCATCCAACCAGCTATTATCATGATCAGTAAATGTACATGGCTGATAGATATGTAGTAATAATGTCGATGATAACATACCTGGTGATGGCGGTGGTGATGAAGAATTGAGATCCGTTAGTGTTCCTTCCAGCGTTGGCCATGCCTATTCGCAGGAATACGGTTAGACAGTGTCAACTACCCCACTAGCAGCAGATGATACATACTGAGAAGACCAGTCTTGGTGTGACGTAGCTTGAAGTTCTCGTCCTTGAACTTCTCGCCGTAGATGGACTTTCCACCGGTTCCTATTTTTTTTGTTAGTAAAGACGGACATAGCAACGCAGGTACGGGTCAAGATGGTACTAACCGTCCCCCTTGGTGAAGTCACCACCCTGGATCATGAAGTCCTTGATGACACGGTGGAAGGCAGAGCCCTCATAGCCGTATCCCTTCTCGCCAGTGGCCAAAGCACTATAGCGCTGGTCAGTCCTCGATCCCCAATACCAATTGAGCGGGTTCAATTGCCGGGGGACGTAGTGAATGCATACCGGAAGTTCTCAGTGGTCTATAACACAGACAGTTAGCAAGATATAACTCCCATTTCGTAGATACAGGGGTATCAACCCACCTCTGGAACCGTCTTTCCGTACAATCCCATAACAATCTTTCCAAGAGGCTTGCCATCATGTTCGATGTCGAAGAAGACCTATGTACCGTGACCCTGTTAGTACTCTATCAACCTCTTCAGCCTGCTATCGTGACAAGACACGACGTACCTTGTTGGTGATCTTTGGTCCTTTGGCCTCGACCGTCTGTCCCATGAAGAGCAGCAGGCCCAAGATGGCGCAGGCCGCAATGGCCAAGACACGCTTGATTCCGGCCATGGTGACGTATATGCAACAATGAAATAAGTAGAGGCACTTATCTCGCGGAGGATGGAGGAGTAAGTGGCTTGATGGGAGAAGGAATCAAGAAACAGGCCAGAAACCCGCCCGAGTTGGACACCTTTTACGTACGCTTTAAGGTTGTGCCTGGCCCGAAGAGGACTAGCGCGTGGGGTTATGAATAGAGTCACGTGACATACACTTAGACACGGAGAAGCAGAGATATTATAATAGAAAGAAATATTTAATTCATGTAGCATACAATCTAGTCTACGTAGCACGGAGTATACGGGACATACGGAGTAGTTGCTGATATCTGGCTGTCATCCTATGTGGTACTATCTACTTCCAAGACCGGGTTTGGTGACGGAGAAATATTTATCCGATATGGCCAAAATTATCCCATCGACAGTTAACAATTTGATATCAAGAGCAGCAGGAAAGAGTGCAGCATATACACCACATCAACCACCATGGTACGTCGAATGACACGCCTAGACATCCCAATTGAACACTACGAACTAACTCGCATGGCCAGGTCTTCATCTTAGGTTCCAGTTTCCCGGAGCGGCAGCTCGTCAGGGCAAGTTCACTCTCATCATACCCTCCTCAACGCCCTCTCTAACAAGCCATCCCATACAGAAAGCCCTCCGCTCCTTCTTCGGCATCGGCGAGCTACGATGCAACATGCTGATGGCCCGATTCCACATCCATCCCACCGCAACCATCGGCGAGCTAGCAACTAAGCAAGTCCTGGACCTGACGGGCGCATTGTCCAACATGAAGATCGAGAACGACCTGAAGCGAGAGATACTCAACAACATTAAGAGATTGAAGGATACTGGAACGTATAGAGGAAGGAGACATGCCCTCAACCTGCCAGTTAGAGGACAGAACACTAGGAGCCAGGTATGCACTCCGGTCTTGATATTTGGGGCTGTTACTGACATATGTAATAGATTAAATCCGCGATTGAATTCAATCGTATCGACAGGCAGTTATGATTGCGTACCGCAGATATTTTCTCTTTTGTGGTGTACTGTTATAGGGTATTGGGCGGCGTTTATCGACACATATCTGCCATGTAACAATAGAATTTACATTTCACACTCTTTAATCTAACACGGCTGATCAAACATTTAAGGCGGATAACGGCCTAATCGCATTCATTTCTTCTGTCTATTTATTTTGATATCACCTCCTTTTGAAGAATACCTTTTCCTCGATTTATCTGAACAGCCTTGTCCTCGCCAACACTCGCTATTCCAACTGTTTTATCCCAGCAGACATCAAACACTTTAACGCCATCACCACCTACTCGCTTGCCTTCTTCCTCAACACTCTTTCTTGAAATAGAGTATATGCTCTCTCCAACAACGCCGTCCTTCTCGGTCTTCGTGGACCGTATATCCCATATCCTACATGTGCCGTCGTGGCTGCCACTGATCAATCCGTACTGACTGTTCGGGTCTCGGGCAAGAGAGACGACAATGTTAGTATGGCCTCTCAATGTCATGGCCGAGACGGCCGTTGCTGAGTCTCGAGGATCAATCAGGGTAATATGTCGCGCGGCTGTACCGGCTGCAAGCAATGTGAGTTCTGGTAGGTGTTCAACGCATAGTAGAGAATAAGAGGTAGTTCGGGTATCAACGAGAGCGGAAGTGACCAGATCCCAAGTACGAAGCGAATGATCCCAAGAAGTCGAATAGCCAACAGTTGAGTCCTTGGCATCAAATATAGCAGCCGAAACGGGTGCGGTATGCGATTCTAGTATAGCCAAAGGTCCCCGCTGAGGGGTGCTAACGGAGGACTTGACTTTTCGTCTTTTGGCGCTTCTTGCAGCACTGGATGGCAAGAGATCTGCAGGAGCCTCAGGGCTTTCCGACTTTTTCGTAGACCAGAATCCGACCGTATTATCAGCGGAGGCAGACAATATCCTATTCGACGGGCCATGGACAGCAATAGAGTCCACGCTTCCCTTGTGCCCATAATATTCAATTTGCGGCGTGATCGAAGCAGAAAATCCGTCTTGACTCTCGCTGTATTTCCATAATCGCACAGTCCGATCCATTCCGCATGAGACAATCTGATTTGGCGAGATCATTCTAGCTCCTTTAACTGACGAACCGTGTCCGCCGTTACCAGCAGACGGAGAAACAGCAATTGTCTCCCCGGACATATTCCACATCCTCAGCAACCCATCATAACTACCAGACAGTATCCTCTCTTTTCCTGCTTGTATCTGGTTGCTGCTCCATCGCGCAGCTGGAGACGTTCCGGACAAAACATCAACGGCGCTCACCCAGTCGTCATGCATAAAAGACGCGACATGGAGTGGGGGTATGAGAGCTCGAACATATTCAACGTCGAGCACAGTTTCCGCTGAAACACCATTGGCCGTGAGATATTCGTCTATCGAAGTTCGGAGATATCGCCCATTGATTAAAAATTCAAAGGGTATTGGTTTCGGCGATTCGAGCAGGTTATTCACAAGTGTGGATAGCGCATATCGTCGTAGCTCTTAACATTGAGAAAATGGAATGTCAGTTATAAATCGCAATACTATATATAATTATTTCTTCAAGCAACGGAAAAGGGTGTGAACTATACCTGTAGGCACAAGGATAGGACCTGTTGACTCGGGCAATGCGAGATCTGCATGGCGCGAAGTGAGTCGCAGCCTGACCTGTCGTTGCACTTGTGAGGACCCCTCCTCGGCAGCAGATGTAGAGTCCATCAATGTATCCATGATTGCGATTTTGAAAGACCCAATTGAATAATGCGGGTTTATCAACCATCCGGAGCTTTATCTTTAGTATTTTTTTATCGCCAAAAACTTTTTACGGTGGGCAGAGAGAACAAAGAGTGCAAATGCTTGGCGGTTTCTATCAAGTTTACTGCGAACATGGATAGATTGGAGCAGATCAATTGTTATTTAAAAGTAGATATATAGGGGTCTAGATGTTGGAGAATCGTCATGGCTACTATGAGGAGCTCCGTATTTCTGAGATTGCCTTCCTCCTGTGCTCAGAGTCCGCGAACAAAGCCTTGATCAGATCTATGAGCTCATCGGGGGAGAACTCCAGCTTCAATTCACCCTCGGTCCACAGATACTTGATATCTGCCAGTGAACTTTCCAATATGTTCATCAAATATTGGAATTTCAACCAGTTCGGAACGTATATCGCGGTCATGGCAATAGGTTCATCCCCAGCTTCTGCGCCAGTTTTGGGTGTCTCGGGCAAGAACAAATCTTCGAGTTTCGAAATAAGGCCGCAAAATCCGGCGAGGCGCTGTGATTCTGGGTCGGAGATGTCACTTAGATCTTCGATGTCAAGAATGATCTTGTTGATACCCGTTGAAAGTAAAGACCCTGTTGACTGTAGTAGTACCGAAGGGGAAAGTATAGCCTTCCACTCGGTATGTACGCTCCTAACCCTGTCAACGGTGGCCTTGATGGCCCTCTCACATTCTCCGAGATAAGGCTGAGAATTGCAGCTTGAGAATCCCTGGCATCCATCAAGGAGATCCGTTAATATCGTTCTTTGAGAATGCATCTCCCTCCCGTATGACAGCCTCCCGAATCTTTCGATCGAGTCGATATCTGTCCCTAGCCTGGAGAAGTTGTGTACCTCAGAAAAGGTGCGTAGCTTCTCTGCTAGGTAGATACTGTCATTGTAAAGGTACATATGACTAGTGGCGGATTTTTGAGAGTAGAAGACAGGTGCGGTGGCTTTAAACATAGCGACGATGAGAGTGGGTATCCCTAGAAGAGCTGCACCTGACGGCGCAATCTGAGACGATGAGTATCTATGAATATGTTAGATAGGTTCATATGAACTAGCCTGTGAGCGGTGAGTGACTTACTCTGGCTGTTTGAGGCGCTCCGAGTCGGAGACTTGATCTCTTATCACCCCAACGATGGCATCTGGAACATTGGTTACTGTATAAAATTCCCTTAGAGTAACTTCTCTAGGAGCTGGTTGCGGCGGGTTGTTCTCTTTTTTCTCTGATGCTTTGTGGGCCGATTTCGATGGCTCATTCAGGGGCGTATCGTTAATTTCATCCTCGCCCCATCCCCAGGCGTCATCTACATCATCATCTCCCTTACCAGCCTCTTCGGGTTCTCCCTTGTCGTCGTCATCATCTAAGCCCCAAGCGCTTACATCTTCTTCCTCGTCATCTACCTTGTCGTCTTTGGTAGTGGGTTTAATTCCTTCGTCATTATCATTTTCCCAGTTGGCATTCCAGTCATCCTCTACGTCTGCGTCTGCATTTTTGTCCTGGAACATCTCATCTGACTGCAAAACTTGCTGTTTCTCTACCCTCTCCGCCTTTTTGAATTCTCCAGAATCGCGATAAACAATTAACCGCACTTGATCTAGAGCATGAGCCCGTCGTCGAGACAACCACAATCTAGGTATCTGTTTGGCCCAGGATTCTAGCTCCGTAGGTTCGTTGCAGCCCAAATTTTTAAATACCTTGGAGAATTGCGAAACGTCGTCTAATACATGCTCAAAAGTAGTCATATTCTCGACAGATACCGGTATCGCGGGCGACAGCCACTCGGATATGAGTAGCTGGATAACAGAAACGGAAAGAGTAGGGGAGAGCAATTCCCATGCCTTGGCCGGAAGATTGTTCTTGATGAACGTAAAAAGAGTGAAAATTGTGGCTAGAATGTCCGGTATCGAAGGCTTTGCGGTTTGGCTGTTTAGTCGGATGTGGTCCCCATCAAGAGAGAGTAGCCTATATTCCGCATTCTTTGGAGGAGATAGTACGGGCTGCAAAATGTATTTTAGCAACTTATCTCGGAAAGAATCAAGTGTGTTCTCCAGAATCCCTAGGTTGGAAAGCCACGTTAAATGGCGATCCAGCGCCGATGGGTCTATATCATGTTAGAAATGAGTGAAAATATAGTCGTAGGGAAGGGCGTCCATACCCTCAGACTTCACGATAAACCTCCCTGCTTCCTCCTCTACGCAGACGATGCTATGCCATGTATTCTGTAGCGCAGTGCATAGTGAAGCACGAACAGTGGAGGCTTTTTCTGCCAACAAAATGATGATATTAGAGTCCTGGGGTAGCGGCAACTGTTTCAATTCACCGTCAACCTCCTCAAGCTTCTGAATGGCCGTTTCCAAATCGTCATTATTACTAGCGACCTGGGCACTGGCTATATTTTCATCGATAACGCGCGCTTTGTTAAGAGCATCCCTTAATGACCGTGTAAATGCAGTCTCGCGCTGTAACAGGCTGACCTTGGCCGCTGTGTCGTCGACCTTGATCTTGAGTGCCTGGGATTTTTCATAGTTTTGGACGATCTCTCTCGCTGTCAATTTCGACCTCTCTATATCTTCGTGAAGTTGTTTCGCCTGCGATATCCATTCGTCAACATCAGAGGCCTTATCCTGGCTCAGCGCGCTGATCTCTCTCTGCGTAAGTCCAATATCATCAGCAATTTGCTACTACCTTAAATCCAGGCCCATATTATCTCGTACCTCGACCTTTTGCCTAGCCTCTGATATCTGTTCAAGTCCGGCGGGGAGAGCTGCAACCGGGTAGTCCGCCTTGATAATAGCTTCTGACTCGGGGAATGAACCGTCCGTTACGAATTTGAGTAATGCCCGATGCACTTTGTCCGCAGAAACGGTGGCCGGCATGGTGATATGGGCTTCTTGAAGCTTGGAGTGACAGCTGGTCTTTCGGATGTTAGTATTAACATGTTAATATAATAATTTAACACCCGCAAAGCTTACCAAAAGAAGACAAATTATATTTAGCAGTTATCTCACGTCTAGCTTCCCATTCCGCGCAGCTAGGTTCATTATAGAACAATAGTTGTTATAAGTATGGTGGTGTGTTTGGTGTCAAGCATGCGGCGGCCTTTTTTAACGTATCTCACCACTCGATGACCGCCACCACTCGATGACCACCCCAACAAAAATCTTCATCTCGACAACCACCTATCTTTAACCACCCACAACATGCCTAATAAAGAAGCAATTGCTTGTGCGATTAAAGATTTAAAATCACAGGATGTCCCTAATTATATACAAATAGCTAGAAAGTAGAAAATCGATTAGAGGACTCTTGCGCGTCGATATTTAGGTAAAATAGTATCTAATAAGGAAGCTACCTTAACTCATTATAAAAAGTTAATAGATACTTAAAAGGAAGTCCTTTTATAGTATATTAAATATTTATTAAATAGAGGCCTATCTTCTATACCTTAAATTATTATAAATCTTATTCTAGAGCTTACTAAATAGCTAATTAGTATTAATTAGGTATTTCGATTTTATAAGAGATATTAGGCCTAGATAATATTAAGATATCTTTAAACGATTAATTAATATAGACATATTATAGATAACTCTACCTATTTTAAACATTTCTATGATCTTATAAGTATTTAAATATTTATTATTTATTAGATATCTTATTACTAATACCCTCTTCTTTAGCTAGGGAAGGTAGTTAATAAATATAATATTACTCTTAGTAATATCTATAACTTTGATAAGAAAGGCTTCTTAATTAGGCTTAGATATATAGTAAAACGCGTAGTTGTCACAAGCTGACGGCGCTCCTTGATTACCTAAAAGTGATCAGAGGTTCACACCTGCTGTAAGACAGAAGGTACGAAGGTCTTAGGGAAAGCTTAGGTTAGAAGTGAGTTGTTGTAGGAGACGGCTTAGTACCAGAGTAAGATAGAATACTATAGTAAGACTATCCCTTAGTTCTAAGTGTGGCTTTAGTCAGTGCCTGGGTTAGATAAAGGCTAAAGGTCCTTATGAGTAGTGAAGACAAAGTTGATCTGCATTAATAGGCAAAGGGGTATTCAGTGAATATAGTATAAGACAACTGGAATGGTGCTTTGTATTGAGTAGTATAGTAAAATTGTAGCTGGTTTGATCGCGAGTATAAGACTCTTGATCCTGAGGTAATGAGTATCTTTATATATAAGTCCTTGTATATTCTATTCTCCCAAGTTGCTTAGTCGCACTGTTGACTCCGTCGACCTAGCAACTTATACTAGCTCTCCCTGCTCCCTTAGTCGCTCTAGTGAGTCGGGCGACTGGGCGAGTGGGATATGGTTGTTCTGTTCCGTCTTGTCCATCTAATGAGTGTATACTCTGGGGCTGCGCCGCAGGTAGTCTGTAACATTATCCCCTTCTTTCTTATCAAGTCGTCTCGACGAGTGCATAAATATCTATGAGTGTCCTCCCTTCGTGTTTTTAGTGTCTTCCTTCCTTTTCAGCGTCTCTTATTATATATTAATCATATCGTCTAAATCTAGTGATTCTTCTCTTAATAGGCATCGTCTTGCCAAACGTATTGAACGCTCTGGTGTTGTCATGGCCTCTTGTTGTTCTCATTGTGCTTGTCTTCAAAAGGAGTGTGTCGTTTCTCCCGAGTCGAAGAAGTGCAGCAAGTGTACTTGTTCTGGCAAATGGTATAACGCTGGTGACTTAATATCAGATCTGGATTGGAACAAGCTTATTCAAGCTACTGATCGCTTGGAGTGTAAAGAAGAGGAGACTTGTGCTTGGGTGTCGGAACTGTTTGGTTATCTTTCCTGCATTGAAAAATAACGGAAATTGCTTCACTCTTGTGCTGGCGAGTTCCTTTGCTCCGATATGAAGACTATGGAGGATCTGGAAGCCTTAGACGCTGAGAGGGAGCAGGCCTTGGCTACTCAGGCTTCTCTATCTAATAACCAGGCTTTCCTTTAGCAAGAGGCTCAGGATCTCTTCGCCCTGACTTTTGGTGCCTCTTCCTCTAGTGATTATTCTATTGATCAACTTCTTGAGGGCCTTCCTTCTCCTGGTTCTTTACCCGTCGGTAGAAATTCTTCACCAGGCGCTGTGAATGCTTCAGGTGCCTAGCGGGTTTGTAAGTGTTTTCTAAGAAGTTATATCCCTTTTATTTAACTAAGTAGTGAGTTCGTCTACTAATCACTTTCTTGTCTAGGATCTTCTCGACTTCGTATTCTTTTTCTTGATTTTCTGGTTATATTTCTGGTTTGTATGGTTTGGCGTTTTGGGGTGCTTTTTCAAGTAATGAGACGTGAAACGTTGGGTATATTTGCATGTGGTCTGGAAGTTGGAGTTTGTAATTGAGTTGTCCAATCTTTTCCAAAATCTTGAATGGTCCTAGTTTCTTATGGTCCAGTTTGTCGCTTGGTCTCAATGTCTTGATGTTTTATCAAAGTAGGAATACTTTTTCCCCCTTCTTAAAGTCTGGCGCTTCTATGTGCCGTTAGTCGTAGTAGTATTTCATTCTGTAGTTCAAGAATTTGAGATTTAACTATAGGTGTCTATAGAGTTCGCGCATTTGTTCTGCTGAAACCTCTGCTTCTAAGGCGTGTGTTTTGCCTTCTCTTAGTGTTTTTATTGTTTCTGTTTCTCTTCTATAATTTGTAAAGAAAGGTGTCATGCCTGTTAAGGTGTTCTTCGCTCCATTATAGGCGAGCTATGCTATTGGTAGTAGTGAAACCTAGTTATCCTATTTATAGTTGATGTAGTATCTCAGGTACTGTTCTACTATTTGGTTCATTCTTTTACTTTGTCTGTCTGTCTATAGGTAATATGCTGTTGAGGCTTTCTGTTTAATCCCTATTCTTTCAGTGAGTATTATCCAGAATTTATATATGAATCTTATATCTCTGTCTAATATAATTTTGTCTGGTAACCCTTTGTCTGCGAAGACATATTGTAATAGGATGTATGCTGTCTCTAGTGATATGGTCTTTTTAATAAATGGTATGAAATAAGTATACTTCGTTAGTCTGTTTATGACTATAAGTATTGAATCATATTAAATGCCCGTTTGTGGCTCTGTTGACTTTGGTAGCTTGACTATAAAGTCTATCGCTATTGATTTCCATGCTGTTTCCTTGTATGGTATAGGTTGTAGGAGTCCATATGGCGCGTGTCATTCTGATTTGTTTTATTAGTAAACTTTATACTCCTAGATGTATCATCTGATCTCTCTCTACATTCCTGGCCAATAGTAGTTTTGCGTAATTTGGTCCATGGTTTTTTTAATTCCGAAATGTCCTGCAACTTTTGCGTTGTGGTTGTCTCTTAGTATTTGTGGTCGTACTTCTCTAGGTATATATATCAATCCTTGATATAGAAGTATTCCGTTTTCCTTTTTGTATTTTTTGTTATTGTCCTTGATTTGTTCGAATAAGGGATCTTTTATTATTGCTTTTTATATTTCGTTTGTTAGAGTGTCTTCCTCGATCGTGACTATTTGAGTAGCCCTCAATGCTTGCTGATCTAAGATCATACCCTTGGTATCTGGATCTAGATGTAATATTACTCTGGATTCTCTTTTCTTTATTATTAAATCTGGTCTCCTACTTAATGCGTCCGCGAAGGTGTTCTCTGTTCCTTTGCAATATTATATCTTGAAGTTGTAGTAGGCTAGTACCTCAGTGTACCATCTTGACTGTTAATAAGTGAGTTCCTTGATCGTTGTAAAGTATGTCAGATTCTGGTGGTTGCTAATAACTGTGGTCAGATGCCTTGCTCCTTGAAGCTCTTGTTTCCATCTCTTAAATGCTGCAACAATCGCTAATAACTCTTTGTCATAGATATCATAATTCTGTTCTGCAGGGGTTATGGTTCTTGCATAGCATGCAACCAATCTTAGTTTTCCTGTGTTGTCTTTTTGTTGTAATTGTGCTCTGATTGCACAGTCTGATGTGTCTATATTGAGATAACTCTCTTTATTTAGGTTAAAGTGTATTTGTATGTCTCCTTAACTAAACTTTTCTTTAAGTTCTTTGAATGCTTGTTCTTCGTTGGTTCCCTAAATAAACTCTTTTGCCTTCCTGAATAGGTCTGTCAGGGGTTTTGCTGTTGCTAAGAATTTATATATGTATTGTCAATAATAATTTGCTAGTCCGTGGAATTGTTGTACTTCTTTGACTATTGTTGGCGTAGGCCAATTGATAATGGCTCTGATCTTGTTTGGGTCCATCTGGATTCCTTCCGTTAATATAATATGTCCTAGGAACTTGACTGATTGTTTGTAGAATTTGCACTTTAATGCTTTGAGGTAAAGCTCATACTCTTTAAGTTTCCTAAGTACTTGTCTGACTTTCTCCGTGTGATCTTCTTGGGTTCCTTTGGTAAATATCAGGATGTCGTCTAGGTATACTACCACAAATATGTCCAAATATTTGCATAGCACGTTGTTGATAAGCGCCTGGAATGTTGCTGGTGTGTTGGTTAATCTAAAAGGCATAACTAAGAATTTGTATAATCCGAATCGTGTCCTGAATGCTGTTTTCTATTCTTCGCCTTCTTTCATTCATATTTGGTAGTAGGCTTCTCATATGTCCAATGCCATAAAGTATGTTATTCCTCTAAATCTGTCTTGTATCTCATCAATGAGTAGTAATAGGTATCAGTTCTTAATTGTTATATCGTTAAGTTGTCAGTAATCCACACATAATCATAGACTTCTATCCTTCTTTAGTACAAAGATGATTAGGTATTCTGCTAGTGATTACGATTGTTGTATATATCCTTTTACTAAGTTGTCGTTAATATATCTTCGTAATGCTTCGAGTTCTGTCTCAGTCAACCTATATATGGGTTTATATGTAGGCATCTTCCCTTCCACTAGGGGTATCTTATAATCC